TGATGCAGTGTGGATGGCACTCCCACCAGCCTCGTCTTGTGCATTCACATTGGCCCCATTTTCAAGCAGCAGCTGCACAATGGCTTGGTGACCCATCACTGATGCAGTGTGGATGGCACTCATACCAGCCTTATCTTGTGCATTTGCGTCAGCCCCATTCTCAAGCAGTAACTGCACAATGGCTTGGTGACCGTTCGCTGATGCAGTGTGGATGGCACTCCCACCAGCCTTATCTTGTGCATTTGCGTCAGCCCCATTCTCAAGCAGAATGGAGGCTATTGGCAGTGAGCCATGCAATGCTGCACAGTATAAACAATTTCCCACTTTGAGTCTGTCCCTCTGAGCATAATCCCATTGAGGTCCCCAATACATATTATACCAATCACTGTGCTCCTTAGCAAAAATGGAGAATGAGAGTATGGTAGATTTATTAAGGGAAGAAGCATAAGACACTTGTGATGCATGTAGTGACCAATATTGAGCTGTGTAGGAAAATAGGGGGAAGTAGATTGCATGACTAGGTGGTGTTTCTGATATCTGCATGATATACACCAAGCAAGCATGAACAATGGCTGCATGAGCAAGTTGAGCCTCCAGGTAGAAGTGTGATGCAGCACTGCTTCTAATGCGTTCTGCAACAAGATATTCCTTGACCGAAAAATGGGCTAACTGAAGGGTATTCTTGCCATCAGATGTGAGTGAAACTATTAGTGTGGAGCATATGCCCAACACATCTTCTGAGTTTGGAAGGCGATCAGCAGCAACAAATGATGGGTCCTCCTCAGAGGAGAATGCTAAGGTCTCTGCAACCTGCTTAACAGACAAAGGTTCTACCGAAAAAGCTAGCCAGAGTAACATTTGTCGAGCATATTTTCGGCTTGGTGAATCATAGATGCTCTTCAGAATACGCTCATAAGTTTCATCGAGTGTCTCAGGCAGAGTGTGGAGAGCTTGACGGAGAGATGCCGGACCAACACATTTACGGAGTTCTTCAAGCTGGCAGTACACCCAGCGAAACCTGACACAGAAAACATCATTCAACATCAGCATTGAATAGATTAACTAATGATAATATCAACGTACATGCCATGAGCACCTCGGACTAATGTGTCCTCAATCTCGGCTAGCTCATTGGGTGGCCATCTTCGAAAATTGGAGTGCTCCTTATGTATCGCAGAACTAATGTAGCGACGGATATCATCGCTAGGCCCGAGCTCAGTACCAAGTTGAATCCGTGATGCAGAAGGAATTAGACGGTCAAGACGCTGTTTGATATCGTGCTCTGGGCGACTCGTCAGGAGCACATGAGTGTTTGAACACAGCGACCATTCACATAAATCTGTCAGAAACTGGAAGACATTGCTCCACTGATCTGTCGCGCACTCATCGAGAGCGTCTATGACAAGATAGCTGATCTCAAAGGACTCGAGCATGTCTTGAAGAGTGGACTTTAATCCTATAAGTGAGAAGCCTCTCTGCCCGAGGCACTGTTGGTGAAGGCTCCGAAGAGTATCCGGGATATCGGGGCAGTGATCAAGAAGCCGCCTGATGAGTGAGAGAATCAGGCTCTCGCAAGTCTGCTTTGCGGGATCACGGAAGTCAAAGTAGTGATAAGCGAGAGCAGCAGACCCTCGAGGTTTGGTGGCGACAACATAGTCGAGCATGTCAATCACGGTAGAGCTAGTAAGGTGAACCCATGAAAGTATTTAGCGAGCAAAGGAGCCATCAAACCTTCATGAACTCACCTGAGAACGGTCTTGCCCCAGCCCGCTGCACGCCCACATACGTCAATAGTCGAGCAGCAAGTACATGGAGAAAGCATAACTCACGACCACCCGACAGCCACATAGCCGATCCATCCTCATTCTTCCAATTCAGAAAGGTGGAAGACTCAATGAACCATGCACCAGACCCGCTCATGCGCTTCTCGCGTGCCGCGTTCTGATTCCTAGAAACTTCCGGAGCAGACAGCCAGTCGACCAGTTCCTTTCGCTCTTGATTGTCTATAGAATGGACATGCGCCCTAGGTCAATATGTTGATCGTGCCCAAGCAATGTAGACATTCACACTCGAGAGCCCTGAGCCGGCTGTCTTCGCGGCAAACAGCGGACCGGATCTCCTCCAGTGCGGAGCGCGATGAAGATGAATCGTCTGCGAAGGACGTCAGTTTCATATACAACCATTACTGGCAAAGACTGACCGTGCAGCCTCGTAAAAGCCTCGCTAATATTGATCAACATATTTCTCGTATCGTCGGATCCCTCTGGAGACTGAATTATTAGCAAGATTGTTTAAATGTACGGGGTGATACCACGCACCCACGGCGAGCTCACACAGCTTGCTCAGAATGTCGTTGGTCACGACGCGTGTCGTCGCGGAGACTAGCTGATGCTCTTGACTGGTCAATCGCGCTAATTTATCGAGAGCTTGCTGTACGTCGCCGTTCTTCCCTACCAGTGCCTTGAAAAATTGCACTATGCAAAATGGATGCGCGGTTACACGAGTTGATACAAAGTAGATGATAGAATAAACTCACGTGTTCGTCCATTCTTGATGCGCTTGGTCGCCAGTCCGAGTATAGTGAGCATGTGCGCAAGGGCCTGTACCATGATCTCCCTGATCGCCGGCGTGGGTTCGTGCACAAGATGGATCTCGTAGCGTTGAAGCATGTAGGAAAGACTCTCGAACAAGTCAATGATGGAATCATAGCTCTTCTCGACGTCTTTGGCAGCCTGATAGACAACGATACGTTGAACCAGAGTTACTCTCGAATGGTTGAAGGTAAACCGAGAAGGTAGGGACGTACTGCAATAAGTCCGCTGATTGCAAAGAAGATGGGTTTCGCCACTGATGCATGCTGAGTGAAGACAGCGTACGGTTAGCGTCTGGATACGACTGATACGAGGAAGATAACCACTGACCGGTGCAAGCGCCGCTCCTTCGCCCATCGTGTCCGCGAAGCGCTTGATGAGATTGACCAGAGGATCGAGAACGTCAAAGATCTGCTTTCTCTTCTTTCTGAAGGCAGTAAAATCTTTCTGGCGTTCGTCCACATTCTTCATGAGACCCTCCATGTCGTTAGGAATATTGCTTGGATTTCCTATTGTGTTTCCGGACTCGTTCTTGTACTTCTCCACGGCATCGTCCCATATCTTGTGAAATGTATCTACCCCAGCCTGTCGGATAGACATGATGAGAGCGGGGTGAAAGCGAGAGTTGTGTGGTGCAGAAGTGATGGTGGTGGTATGGGAGAGAGAGAGAGAGAGAGAGAGAGAGAGTTGGGACAGAGCGTATCGTTCAGAGCGTGTGAACCTCGAGCTGTGTTACATGGAGGCTATGTACTCGCACGGACGGCATCGGATAGCATTTATAGCTCTTGTATCGCCCGTCTCTATGAGCAGAAGAGCGGAGATGAAGGCAAACTATGGTGGCGTGGTCCTAGTGATGAGCGAGTGCCAATGCGTGTACATAGAGAGCATAGGCGTACCTCGCCGAAAACCTTCGCAGATGACGGGTATGATTCGTTGTATAGGTTTTGATGGGCATGAATTGCGAGTACATGTTACATTGTTAGGATGGAGCGCGCAATGCACCCTAACACACCCTGCTACCTTACCCGTATCGGTGGCGTGGACGAAGCGGAGACCTGCGGAGACCCAACCTGACGGTCAGTAGAGGCGCATGGCATATGCGGGGCATGAACTCTGTGGCAACCTTAAGCCCCGCCTCCTTTCACCTCCTGTTCTACTTTAATTCGGAAGAGTATCTCACCGAATTCTGACTCGGAGTGATATGTGTAGGTACTTGGCGGCACACCCAACGTTTGTTTTTGTGGACGCGAGTCGTAACGAGAAGCCTTGGACGAGACAGCGATGCTGTAGCCTGCAGTGCCAGGTACTTGCTACAGATGGTTCATCGCAGAATCGAAGGTTGATCCGAGTCTTTACCTATCGCCGTATTCTCTATCTCCAATATAATCTAACCCAACAATAGACCTGCTTCTGGGCTCGAGCGAAGGCTCATGTACTGGTCTGTACTAGGATGCATCATCGGCGTTCAGTACGTCCACGAGTGGTTCGTGTTATGGTGCGTAATCGTCTCTCTCTCGTCACACATTCCACATTCTATCCTGCTTTATGTGCGTTCCGAGAATTCTCGGATCTCCATCTCTTGTCATTTTTCCGTACTGCGATCCATGCAGTGTCATCCGAGCCTTTATCCTACCCCACCCCATTCCCGTGCCCCTTCGTCCAACACAACTTGAATATAACCATGAATCCTAAACCCCCAGGATCCCATTCTACGAAGTACCTCATCAAAACGCTTCTTTTCCTCTATCTCGCCCTCCCACAAACGCACGGTTCGACCTACATCTAAGACTACCAATCACACCTCCGCCCCCTGCTCACGACCCACGAATCCCAAATTGGCGCCGCCCTCGCTCAATTGAAAACGCGCGTCCTCGTCTTCCTTATTGAAACTCTAGGAATTCTTCGCTGTTTCTCTTGGGAATGCTGCCCGCCCTGGTTCATCATCCGCAGCGGTGGGTGCTGGTGCTGGTGCGGGACGCGTCTTTGGTGGTGCTGGTGCTCGTGGTGTGGCGGTGGGCGGTCCGCCTCCGAGTATGCGAGACCTAGCGTCGTGACTTGCGCAGATGCTGGGGAGTCTGTGCTATGGAGGACTTATGGGCCTGCTATCATCGCCGGTGGTGCTGATTTGCTGCACCGACGCAAGGAAGTGGAGAAGGTGACCAGGCGTTCAGATGGTGCTTGCTGTGCTCGTCGACGTCCAACCTCTTTCCTTCAACTGAAAAAAATCGATCGCGCCTCTCTTCTCACTCTCAGGGTCACTAGTACTGCTCACTTCACATTCGCTTTCTCGGCATGGCATACAGACTGGACCACTGGCAATTACACTCTTTGTACGTATTCGTGTTCGTGCGGCTCATTGTGTACATACATAAATCAACGTCCGATTCAGCTGCGGTGCAGCGCTGTACAGATTGACAATGGGTATGAACTCGAATGTTTTCTCTGAGTATGATGACCATGGTCTCGTCTTAGGCTGAATCGTCTTTCAATGATATGTATGGTTGACAGCGGCGTCTATCCGAGTCCAACGAATGTCGTCACAGCAGTTTACTGGTTTGGAATCAAACTCGAAGCTTTCAACCTCGTTCTTTGCTCCTTCGAGCTTAGACTAAAGACCTTACCGGCCGCGGTGAGTAGCTGCACGAGAAGACGAGAAGCATATGCCTCGCCCTCACTGTTCCGAGATTCCCAATCAGATTGACTTTTTGTTTGAAATTCGTGAGTGCTACTAGTACTAGGAAGGAATTGGAAGGAAGTGTGGTATGCGGTATTAGTACCGTGGCGTACCCGAGGCTTGGCCGAGGGGTTGACCGGGTTGTGTGTGTAGGTATGGATGGGCGGCGTCGCCGTGATTATAATTTGCATGTAGTTCACTGCGTTCAAACTGTGGCAGCATTCCCGAGTCTACTTCACTGCGATGTTATTCTCGAAGCCAGTGCATCTATTATACAAGTCCGCCACTGTATCGAGTATGCAGATCCACGAACCCGGGCCCGATGAAGTCCGCACCGCTCAAGCCTCGACGACGTCGCATCTTTTCCCTGCGAAGATCCGTGGACTGATTCCTGGTGGCAATGGATCTTCTGTCATCCAGGGAAACGTTGATCATACTCAATTCGTGGCGCTCGTTCAGACGTTCTGGTTCTAGTGGGTTCTTTCAAAGCATTGGAGCGTAAGCGCGCATATTTATACCGACTCCGAGGTCAGTGATACAGAGACCGTTCGTACGTACAACTAACTTTGCGACTACGACAACAAAAGCTTCTGCAAAGGACCGTTCCCGAAGAGGAAAACAAAACGGGCTCGGAAGCAAAAGTGCAGGGTGAACTTTTCCTTCCGTAGACCGTAAGAACGTCGTTCTTTGCGCCCATTGTCCAACCTGCTTCGGCATGCAGACTACCTCTTGCAGACAGTCTATTTGAATGCCTGGTATTCGGGAACGCGGGTCGAGATCCACGAGAAAATCCGCGGCGAGTTGCAAGCTAGGTCATTCGGAGCCGTAGATTACCTCACCTGTCAGGTCCCTTCAAGCTCAAGATTGATGAAGAGCCAAGACTGAATACGCCTCAGAGGAACTGAGATAATCAGGCCGAGAGAACGAGGAGTCGTCGTAAATATGCGTTCAGTGGCGCAATAAGCAAACGAGTCGTTGCGATAGTGACGAGCCGAAAACCTAATCCAGGAAAGCGCAAACATGGCGACGAGGTCCAAAGGGGGATAAACAGCACCGCGGAGCGCAGGATTCGAGGAAGGACGCATGTGCAGTCCGATTTATACATCCGTGCACGCGCAAGCATCGAGGTCGTCCAGTTCCGGGAAAGGAGATGTCTTTGTGCAGGTTCCTTCGGGAGGCGATATGCAGGAAGGCCTCGGACACCAGGGACACCGTCAATGCAATATATACTATCGATGCAATTAAAGGCTGCCAGCCTTTTCGTGCCACTACGCGCTTCCTAGCTTCAATGGCCAAGTGTCCGTATGGGAAGCCTTGCGTTGCTAATTGACAGAGATTATCAAAGAAGCGTGGGGCGGGGACGAGTCGGGCAGCTGAAGAGGAAGTCGAGGGGAAGGATGTGGAAGAATGACCGACGTTTTGCGGGGGAATTGCTGTCGATTGGGTAAGAAGATCGTCGAGAGCAAAGTTGGATCATTCAGCGCAGTATTTCGAGTTGCCGAACGCCTCGGACGACTGTAGTGTAAGTTGCAAGTAATGTCGAGGGAAATGGACTCGTCAGACGACGATGGCATGAGTTGCGAGTCGGGGTAAATCCTGACAAAATATCGAGTCGAGGCCGCGTGGAGTGTGCCGCTGAGTTGGCGGAGATCGAATTAGGAAGGAAGTCGGGGCGGGATCGAGCGCCGCCCGATTGGATCTGAAATGGGGCACGGATGGGAATTGATCGCCTGCAGAGGCAGTCTCATTCGCTCTCCCCAATTTCTTCTTCCAGTCCCGATGTCCTTTATAAACAACCTGCCTCGAGCCCATCACCCACTTTGACCCCCGCACCCTTCCTTGTCCACACCACCACCACCGTCGCGTCGTCATCCTCGTCATCGTCAACAACCTCGAGCTACCAGTCTTCCCGCCACAGAATTCACTGACTCATTCGTCGCCCATGCCGGCGAACGCGAACGCTCGCTCCGGTGTACCCCAAGAGAAAGACCCAGCGTCGACAAAGGCGCGTGAGCAGGAATGGAAACGTGCGAGAGGTGCCATAAGTTGTGCAGAGTGTAGAAGGTCTGTTCACGGTCTGTAATGACCCATTGCCGTTCGCAATCAACTCCTACCGTCCAATGCGACCCCCCAGACGGTTACATGGAGAACTGGCGCACGGCGTACCCACCCATCTTCTCTCGCTCGGGCTGACAATGGTTCAAAACTGCAGGCTCAAGCTAAAATGTGACAAGACTGTACCGTGCTCCTCTTGCAAACGAAGAGGATGTGCTCCTATCTGTCCCAACGGTGCGTGCATAATATTCTCTAGCAAGTAGCCGGTTTGCAATACACCGTGAGCACCTGGTCATCGCTGCTATCTCCGTCATGCTTCGTCCGTGTAATCGACGCCTCGTCTCTTGCAATCTTCTGCCATCGCTTCGCTCACCATCATCCTGTCAATGTGTTTACCCGAAACGCAATATATCCAATTGTATCCCTCTTTCGGACGTAGCGGTGAACATTGCTGATCTTTGGTGCTTCTGCGTTTCCAATTTCTCCAGGCAGCCTCGTCACAGGCCAAGGCACTCGGTAAGCGAACCCCTCCCCTGTTGGACTGCGAGACTTTATCAACGGTGCAGTCTCCCGCTCTCCGTGCAGCTTTGTTCTGGCCGACACCGACCGATTACACAACAAAATAACGGAAATGAGCACACGGATACGTCAGCTCGAGGATGCTCTCGCGCTCTCCCACTTCAACAGTTCTCGAGACCCGCATCCTCTCCTTAGCCGTGAAAACCTCAAAGTCAAGTCAATCATCGACTTGCACGCCGCACCCAACGCAGGCCCTCTTGATGGCGAAACGAACGGCGAGGGCGAGGGAGATGGAGACGACACCCCGTCCCTCGATATTTTTGGTACTCTGGCACTGAGAGATGACGGCGGCTCGACATTTTATGGGCGTTCTGCAGGTCAGGAGGTATGATCGTCTCACACACTGATACGCTCTCCTTGCGAACGCTGACGGTTGGTATCGGCAGAGTCTTCTTCTGGTAGGTATCTCCATTGGTTGCGAGCTATTCACACGCAATGCCGCTCACTTTTTTCAATCGTCTCGTCTAGGGAGAAAGCGACACGCCGGAAGGGAGCCCTGCTGGATTTCAAGACGGCGAGTCGAGTCCATCCATTGCCAACGTCGCTTCTCTGGCGGAGGTAGCCGCTACTGCGGGAACATCTACCGGCCTTCCTACCCACGTCCTCCAAGTTTCGTCCGCTTTCCCAGATGCATCTGTCAGCATGCCCCGGTACACTCTGGAGGCCTATCTTCCGCCATACGCACGGGCAGTCGAACTGATTGCGCTCTATCTCGAGATTGGGCCTTGGTTCTTCGGAGCAGTCAAGGAGCGGCAACTGAACGAGGAACTTATTCCTATGTTCTATCCGCTGGACTGCAGAGCCGAAGATACCTACTCCTCCCCCTCGGCCTCAGGTTCTACGTATTCTGCACAGAGCCCTAGCAACAATTCTGACACCCAAGGGCAGACTCCTAGCAGTACATCGGCCCAGCCCAGTTCAGCAGCTCAGTCTCCTGCTGCGGCGTTTACTCCCGGTTCAACAGGAGGTGCCTCTCAATCGACCTCCAGCTCTTCCCTACCGGACCCGACTCCTCACGATCTCTCGCTTCTCTTTATCATCTTCTGCTTCGGGGCTCTGGTCGACGAAAATCTTCCGGCTGCACCTAACAATCCAGAGGCGGAGCGTTATTTCCTGTTGACGAGGGCTGCATTGGCGCTCGACCCGGTTTTGGATAGGGCGCCGGCAGTGAGCACGGTCCAGGCGTTGAGCATGATGGCGATCTATAATGGCCTGGTGGCGAATGAGACGAGTATCGAGAGCACGTGGGCGTATTGGGGGCTCGCCGCGAAGTTGTGTCAGAGTGTGAGTTTATCATCCAACTAACGGCGCGCCTCCATGACTCTGAGATGCTTACCGACCATACCCATGCAGATAGGACTCCGTACGTTCTTCCCTTCGTCTGTCATATATGAGGTGAAATTGATAGGCTGACGTATTGGTGCACTCGTTCTATCACTGTTGGCTGGCTGCCACAGACCGTGATTGCGCGAGATGGAAGCTGTCTCCGGCCGAAGTGCAAAAGCGGAGGGCTTTGTTCTGGGAGCTCTTCATCACTGACTGTTGGCAGGTACGTATCTTTCACTTTTCCCCATCTCGCTTGATAAGTGTCTGACTCACCCCGAAATATATACAGAGTCTTGCGACGGGCCGCCTGCCAACTTTCGCGTTAGCCTTTGTGGACTGTGAGCTTCCGCAGGATACTGAACAGACCTTATCAAATGATGGGAAGCCACAACATTCATGTACGCTTCACCCTCCCTATATATATCAACTTTCTCCTTCGGGGTATTGACTTCCGTATCTGTCAGTTCCGTACTGGAAAGCTTTGTTCGGGAAACAGTGCGTCTCTGCCGTCGTCACAGGCATTCTCACAGCGCGCCCGCCAAAGTACTCCGTCATCGTCGAGGTCGACAGACAGGTGCGGGACCTGGACTTGCCACAATATGCCGTCGATCCACCGCCGAGGGGTGCGGGTCTGAGTGTGACGATGCAACATTATATGCCCATCAATTATTTCCATTTCAGTATGTCTCCTTCATTCCTTCCTCCCTGCCTTCCTTCCTTTCATCCCGCTGACTTTGGACGTTCAATGTTGCATTCGTGAAGCGCTCATCTACACCCACCGCACGTTCTTTGCGCAAGGGCTCTGCGACCAACCGCTCGACCCGCTGAAGTCACAGTATGCGCCGAGTATATTGGCGGGGTATAGGAGCTCTTGTGATTTGTTGTTGTTGTTGAGGGAGCAGTTCACGTTGTTTCCGGCGAGGATAGCGAGGTTCTGGGTGTTGTGGACCCATGCGTTTTCGGCGTCGGTGAGTCTCGATCTCATACCGTCGATCTATTTTCCTTGGGACTTCTAGTCTAGGATATATTGAACACCGCTGGATATATGGAACGCTGCTGACGGGAGAGCTCTTTGGTTGGTTAGGTCATGCTCGCGCTGATCCCCGTCCGCGCACCACAGTCGAAACTGGCACATACGGCTCTTATGGAACTCAAGCTCGCCTCTGATCTCTTCGAGGAAGCCGCTCCGTACGGCGGGCGCGCGGGGAAGATGTTGGTATGTATTCGTGGAGCTTTATTACTCGGTTCCGCGGATAATCATCGCTGACCGTGCTTCCGCTTAACCTTTGCAGCCAGTCGTAAAGCGCCACCTCTCGAAAGCGTACAATTCCTTCCAGACCGCCCGTTCGCAGCTATCCAAGACGCCCGAGGGAATCTTTGCGCATCCCGATCGGGACGAATTTTCGATGTTCTCTGGGGTTACGCATACGGTCAATACGCGTGCGAAGATGCAGCCTCCGAGGCTGAAGATCACAGGGAAGAGTTCGTCGACACCTGCATCTACGTCGGGAGGTTCAGGTTCGGCGCATGGATCGCAGACTGGTACGCCTAGTACGACTATGCATACGCCTGATATGGAGCACCCTGAGGCACAATCACAATCGCAGCAAGGACAAGGACACAATCAGCTTCGGGCTCAGAGCCAAGGTCATTCAAGTCATAGTCAAAGCCCGAGTATGGATACCGATAGTGCTCAAGGCCAGGCAGCGGAGCCATCGCACGTACAGAATCAAGCTCATACTCAAGCTCATCAGCATCCGTACGAGGGAGACTACGCTCGTACCCAATCTCAATCTCAGGACCAACAACAAATCCTCCAGTACCCCGAATATCCCGAACAACACGCCATGGTCGTCGAGCCGCCAGTGGTGGCGTGGGGCCAGGCGCATCTGCATGCGTCGCTCGTCAACCAGCTCGCGACGTTCGACGGGACTTTGGATGCGCAGATTAGTAGTGGGGCGGCGCAGCCGGGGGTGTGGCAGGGTATGCCGGCTGTTATGGATGTCGGTCATGGTCATGGCGGAGGTGGGGGTGGAGGTGGACATGGAGACGGTGGTGGGAGGATGGAAATGAGTTCGTTCGTGGATCATCATCGTCAACAGGGCGGCGGTGAGGCTGGTGGTCACAGTCAGGTTCCGTCGTATTCGCAGGTGGCGCCCATGCAGCACGTACCGGCCCAGGCTCAGGCTTTGGTGCCACATCAATCGCATGCTGTTTATGACCCGCGGCAACAGCAGCAGGTTCATTCGACGTATGAGAGTGGTGTTGAACGTGGAGCGCCGTCTGGAATACCGTCGTCGTATCCCGCCCATTATGACCACCATCCTCAGCATCCTCACACTCAAGACGGACAGGGGTACACTCAGCACCAGTATTCTTCGACTTCGTACTCCGCCTCTTCTTACGATGCCGGACCTTCACATTCGCATTCACATTCACAGCATCAGCCACCACCATCGGACTCGTATCAGCATCAACATCAACAGCAGTATCATGTGCAGTATATCCAGCATCCTTCTGGCCAGTCACAACAGCATCAACATCCACATTCGCATTCGCAAGGACAGCATCATCTTCGGAGTCGACCGTCATACCAGGATATGTCGTCGAATTCAGCAACGGCGACATATGCGCCTTATTCCCAAGCGTCCACGTCTACGTATTCTGCGTCGACGGATTACGGTGTTCCGGCCCCTGACTCTGCAATGAGTGAAGTGCCACCACATAACACGACTGGTCCCGCTTCTGGTCATGGTCCCGTCCCAGATGCACACCAACATCAGCAACAGCGGATATGGAACGTCCCGCACAGCGAGCTGCAGAATTATGCGAGACCGCCTAGGGATAAAGCACGGGACAGCGCGGTGCGGATGAGCGGGGATTTGAGCTTGACGGAGGCGTGGAGTGCGTTTATGAGTCAGAATTTGGATGTGCCGGGTGGTCCAGGCGGTCCCCCGGCGGGGATTCAGGGGAGGCGGTAACAACAGTACTCGGGAGGAACGACTTTTCCCCTAGCTTTAGAGCTCCGAGCTTCAGTGCTATGGAAGGTCGATTGGATGGATTCTGCGTCATGGACGTTCGTGTTTTTCTTTCTGTGTCTTGGCTGTTACGTAGGATTTGCATGTTTTCTTGTCTCGTTGCATCTGATATGTTCGTGAATCGTGTGCATTTATATACTCTTGTCTGTGTTTCTATCCATCTATCTCTTTTCTGAATCTCTTGCGTTTTTCCCTACACATTCAGTCCAACATCAATCTCCCTTCCCATCATGACATGCTTTATGCATACAGTAATTGCATCGTATCGTATCGTTCTCGTGCTCGTGTTCTTCATTTGGCTGCGTCACTTGTTTGAAGTTGTGCATCATGTACTTTATACTCTTTGCCTCATCTGTACCTCTTGCGGAATGGTAATTTCTTGGAGTTGTTGTTCGTTGCGGTGAGCCCTTTGGTGGCACGTTGGACGGGCGAATGAGAGGTTTTTGTAGTGCGTGTAGCTACTGTACTCATCGGCATGAATGCACACCGTTTTCTCATTGGGATATAGTATGGTCGCCTATGCTTTTTTTCGTGTTCTTCCAATTGCTGAAATCAGAGATGCAAAGCAATCGTGTCTTTGTGAACAGCGCGAAAAATAACTTTTTGATCATCCTTGGCTACGGCATATCGTACATTCAACAATCCGCCCAGTTTCGTCGACATACCTTGGTCGAGCCACACATTCAATAGTCATTCAGCGACACAATTCACCTAATGCCAGTAGTTCGACGCAAACGGTTTCACGGATTCCCAAGCCTCATCAAGCGCTTTGACTACCGCCTCAGCTACATCGTCCATGTCCAGTCGTGGACAAGTATATCAGTTGATGATTGAATGGCTCAAGCGAGACCGAATGAGCAACTTACGCAAAGGCCCTTTCTCCAGATCAACCAAATTCTGCTCGATGTGCGTCAAGCTGGACGCTCCGATGAGTATCGCATCGCCGTACTCGCGCTTCATGAGACTGTGGTGCGAAACCCAGCGGAGGGCGACCTCGGCCATGGTGAGGTTGTGAGCCTCTGAAACGGCACGGATACTGTCGATGGCTTTGAAATAGGGTTCTTTCCAATAGCTAGTTGATTAAATCGGCGAAAGTCAGCGTTTGGAATTTGGCGTTCGACAGATTGAGGGATCTAAAGGAGACACTCACCGGGCGCGGTAGTTCTGGACAAAATAAATGAAATGAAAAAGAGAACAGCGAAACTATCAGTTGCGAACAGGCAAACACATGTCACGAAACAGTACAGACTTGACCCTGCCCCTTGTTGGGGTCGAAGCGCGAGCCGGCTTCTACCTGGCCGTCGATGGTGTTGTACCTCCCCGTAAAGAATCCACCACCCACTAAACGCAATATTGTTATCTCATTTCACAATTTCAAAGAGGCTGTGGTAAAGCAATGCGGACTCACATGGATTGAATTCATAGAACGAGATCCCGAACTTGCGCAAACAGGGGAAGAGCTCGGGCTCCACACCACTATAGCAAGAGTCTCTCGAGTCAGCTCTCAAAAGGATGGTTTAATACCGAGGATTGTACAGACCGATGAATGGCGTTATAGATGCCCTGGTATGCAGTAGGCTGAATCCACCCATTGTTGCGGCAGATATAGACCATCTCGGCCACTTCCCACCTGTTTCGGCATTAAAGCCCACCTAGCGATCAGTCCGAAGATTATTGAGTAGTAAGAGTTTGGCTACGTACGACATGTAATTACTTATGCCGAAGCGCTTGAACTTGCCCTCCTTGTAGAGCTCGTTGACCGCACGAAGTGTATCTTCGTACGGGGTCGTACGATCCGGGCCGTGCAAGTACCACATCTCGATTTGGCTAAAGAGGAACCGCATGTCAGCGACAAACATCATAGAACCAGATAGTGGGAAAATATAGGGCGAGACATCTGGCTTACTCTACATTCAGACTCTCGAGCTGGCGCTCCACGTACTTTCGCACGTCCTGCACGACGATGGAACATCAGTGTTAGATTCAAGAAGCTGACTAGTATCGAGAACGTGCCGCTGGTGTGTGCGAGATTCTTTCTAGACCAGCAGGAAGCTGTACGGCTTTCTGTACGAGGATTTTAGCCAAAGGCAGGAACCATACAAAGCTAGACGTTTCTTACGGTGTTCGGGTAGAGCTTCGTCTCGAGCTTCAGCCCACGTCCCTTGCAATCGATCTTCCCGAGATATTTTTCGCTAGTTCCTCCCGTGTAAACGTAGGCGGTATCGATCTATATGACATCAAGGCATTTTAAGGAACATTGAGCTGCCAAATGTGACGAAAGATAATGGTTCGTAACATACCTCGTCGTGACCGTGTTTCTGGAAGACGTCCAAGATAGCCTCGACGTCTTTCAAGTCATGGACTCGGGAACCTTCGGTGCCAGGCTCGCCGAAAGTCATTGCCCCCTATCCGTTCATGAGTACTTGAGATGTAGCATCGGCAGCGAAACACGTACCATGACGACCTTGATTGCACTCTTTTGCTCAGGCATGGTATCACAATCCGGAGAGGTGCAGAGTGTCTTGGGAAATCGATGGTTCTATCGAGACCAGTAGCTTCGGCTTTTTATATCAAGTCAACACGCGGAGCGAAGGTGGGTAGCAAGTGGCACGGTATCCACTAGACTCAGTCAGAGAAACTTACCAAGGAACGGCTGTCAGCGTCGAAGACGTAGAGACGACTAAGAATGCTTTAGCAGTGAGGGTTCGAGACGTGCTTCGGCGGCTCACCACGAGATCCCGCTCTTCCACGACACGGCGTCGACGGAATCAACGGGAGCAATGGCGAGCGAAATATGTCTAGATATATCGGGAAATCTGTCCGGCACTTCCCCGAGCACCGAATGTCCTTCAGCCTTTCATGTAGAATATCTCTGTTTAGGTTCTCAGCCAGAGAGCGCAAGTATATTGTACATCGAGTACTGGGAGATCGAAAAATGTTGCAGTGACACACTGGACGTTCAACTTCAAGCGACCCTGATGAGCAAATTCCCAGGCTCCATACGCGGAATTTCAATCACTTGTCGTTGCCACTGTGGCACCAACAGGATGAAGTTCTTCCCTCCTGTGTTCGCCGTTGTCAGAATTATGAAGTGCGATGTTTACGAAATGGGGAGAGACATGGAGACACTTGCCTTCTGTAACTCTCTGACGAGACCGTCGCAAGCCCATCCGGCACTCGTGTTGCGCCACACACTGACACGTTTTGGGTGCACTATTGTTGAGCGATGTAAAGGGAGGTTGCGGTGTACGGTAAAAACTAAGTGGTGTCTCGAATGACGGACACGCATTTCGAGCATAGGTAGGGGTATTATTCAGATTACACGATGAACAGAAGGCCCATACACGCAGAATATAAGCCGCGTGGCACCACAATCAAACACCACCATAAAACCGGCATACTTAAACAAGACCGTCATAGGCCTCTCAGGTAGAATCAAACCAAAAGTGAGAATGCAGCCATACCCTAGAGCGTCTTCTTGAACCATGCAGCCGTCTGTTCCAGAGCGCCTTCATATGCCTCTTTCACGTCGGGCATGCTCAGGTTTGGTCTGGCGGCGAATCCATGCACAGTTCCTATTGTCAGAGAGTTAGTACCAATGCACCCGAACGTAAATGGTACGTGAGTTTGAGCTCGAACCTTTGTAGTCCACGAATTCGTAGTCAACATATTCGGGCTTGTCCTTGCGAGCAGCGAAGACGGCTTCGGCCTCACTCCGGATATCCGGTGTGAATGCCATATCGTCTGTTCACGCAACAGAAAACAGGAATATGAGTCACGGCTGGCAGTAGTTTGACATCAAACGATAAACCCTACCTTCTGCGCATGCCCATGCCGAAGGAACCTGTAAATGTGAGGGATTAAACATACTTATACGGTTGCAGCGTGGGAATATGACATGCCTTAATACTGCGAGATCGAATGGCGTCAATTTGGGCTTGAAGAAAGGAGGTCTACAACACGACGTACGCTTCGATCTGCTCTTCCTTGAGCGCAGATGGATGGCAGAGTACCAAGGAATTCACATTTGGGTTTCCCGGTGCGATCCTGACCGCGACACCCGCACCGAAACAGTAGCCGACGCATCCAATCTTCTCGTATTTCTTCTCGGCCTTGATTTTCTCGATGAACTAAGCGAGAAGACAATAGTGAATATAGGTTCCGCTAAGCGAACTGGACTGTAAGGATGGCGAATGGAGGTGTCCTTACGGATGTGGCCCTAGGATCGACGACAGACTGGCGGACGGCGAAGATACGAAGCAAACGAGTCAGGGCGACGACTACGAGTCTGAGCTTGCTCCATAATGTCATCTTCTCTCCAGGGCGTTGTGGGACCAAGGGCTCAAGGTCGTCCACCTCGAACGCAGGACGTCCTATGTTCAACAGCCACAATGCAATTTAACATGTCTATTAGCCTATTTCCATCTCGCCGCATTCCGCGAACATGCAGAAAATAACACGCACCATCAAAAAGATCCGGGACCCATACATCGAATCCAGTCTTCTCGGCCAGCAGATCCGCGATGATCTTCGAGTTGATCAGAGGCAGCCCGAAGATATCCGTGAGCAGTACGATGGCGCTCTTGGATTCCGTGCCAGATGGCGCAGTACGAAAGTAGGCACCGCCAACCATGGTGCCGGTTGGTTCTCCGGGGATGATATATCCTTTTTTGCAGTTTTCACAACTGGCAGCCATGATGTATCAAGGTGGTGGTTCAGACGTGAGAGAGATGATGGTTCGCGTGAGATTATAGAGCGCCAGCCACCGGAGACCTAGCGAGATGAGAAGAAGCTAAAAGTTGCCCAGCAGGATCAACACCGACCATGTTCTTATAGGTGTCGGTCGACGGTCGTGAATTGGCGGCATCGGGTGGGTCGAAAGAAGTGATGGAGAGAGCATCCGGAATCCGTTGGCGGTAGCCCTCGGACCAGGCCGACGGACGATAGGGACGCTCCCTAGACTATACTCGACATTGACTCCGGCTTCGAGGAGACGTGTTAGCTCGGCATGAAAGGGTGGCAAAAGATGGGCGTAGTATACGAAGGTGGTTTGGAGGAAGATCTTCGTCACCGTCTGTTCGCTTAGCGGTGTGGCCATTCGTCAGCATGCCCAACGGCGCGCCACACCTCACTGCCAACTTGCCGCCAACCGTCTCTGACTTGTCCCTGACACTGGCGATGACCTTGACGGAAAACAAGTGTCGGTTTTATTAGATTCACTTCACCGTGAGTAGTTATATGTCTAATGATATGGTGAGTAGCTGAATATTCTTCTCCTTTACTACACTAGAATCACCTGTGCTATCCAGTCGACTGACTTAGAGGAAAGGCCGACCTTGGATGGTCTTGAATGCGAAGGCGCTGTAATGGACTTCACCTCATCATCACAAAGTCATACCACAGCCATTTCGTGGCAGCACTCTCACTGGGCCTCCTCCCGGACCGCGTTCTTCTACCCATTCACTTTGAGGTGGCGCGTCGATCGGTCCTTCAAGTCGAGGGCTTGCGTGTTTCAGAGGAGAACGGGATCTATTTTTAGTATAGATCCTATTTCGGTAGGCCTCAGTCGCATCAGTCTCACAAAGAGATCCTCAAAAATCAATGATGGCAATGGGCTGTGTGCTGCTTGAACGAAATATCGAGCATGGAGGTAGACAGAGCGGCCAGCCAGTGAAAGCGTCGTGATTGATGCGTTCGGGGAGTCGATGGGGGAGGAGAAGGTAAGCCACACACATGATCCAGGTGTCAAGAACTCAACAGAGACGCATCCAGGATTGCTCATCAAATGGATTCTCGGGCGACCTCAGGAGTCAGAATCGAGTGTCGGAGTCGTAAAACAGGTCGTTTGAACTCGACTCGTAGGTAGGAGATGTGCTATCACGTCCTAGAAATAATCTGACAGACTGAAAGATGGGAACACCAAGGCTGTTCGACACGGACTACCATTGGCTGTTGGACAATATGACGGTCGTTGTTCGGTCGATGGCCGTTGATGCATGATGCGGCTGAGGAGAATCAGAGTATGGCAAGCCAACACGTGGAGAGGTCAATAAAACGAGACGTTTCAACAAAGCGCTTTCTTCCAGGCCTCTCATTCACCCCAACTCTGTCGCCTTTTCCTTTGTTCCTCCTTCTCGTTTCATTCCCAAGGCCGGTCCTTCACCTCTAGTCTTACTCAGTATCCTTGTGTCAAACATCGTCGGCATACAGAACACACAATGTCCAGCAGTGGTCTTGACTTCTTCGACCGTGTACCCGCTTACGAGCAGCATCCAGACTTGACGAACAAATATACTGCAGTTAATGAGCCGAGCCACCTTTCTCGAAACAAGACAGAGCGTTGGCGTCTCCAGGGTCTTCAGAGGACCCTTACCGATCCCAGCACTTCGACGAATCCAGCCGACTATGTCTACGTCCCGAAAACTTGGAAAGAGAAGTGGGATCTCTGGATGATCAACGAGGGCGGAAGGAGGATCTTCTTTTTTGCATGGGTCTTTCTCCATCTTGCTGTCGCAGCCCTTGGTTCGGTCCACTATGGTCTGAAAGACAACCTCGTCACTGCCCGTAAGACGTTCGGCATTACGTTCGGTGCGTATCCACGATACATTTGTTCATTATCCTTATCTGACACGAATATCTGCATTCGTTCGGACACAGTGATCGCCCGTAGTGCTGCTCTCGTCCTTCACGTCGATGTCGTTTTCATCCTGCTTCCGGTATGCCGCAACTTCATCTCTTTATGCCGTCGCACTCGCTTGGGGCAGATCATCCCGTTCGACAAGAACATCACCTTCCATAAGGCGACCGCCTGGTCCATCGTATTTGGCTCCGTCGTGCACATCATCGCACATATGGTCAACTTCACCGAGTTAGCATTTGCTGACCCCGACGCCACAACCCCCGCGAAGCGTTTCGTCATATTCCTGACGGCCAACTTCGCCACGGGACCCGGTCTGACCGGTTGGATCATGACCGCTGCGCTGGGGATCATGGTCTACTACGCCATGGAGAAGAGACGAAGGGCTAGATTCGAGGCGTTTTGGTATACCCACCACCTCTTTATTGTGTTCTTCCTCGCCTGGCAGTTCCACGGCATGTTCTGCATGATTCAGCCGGACAGGCCTCCTTACTGCTCCTTCAACACTATCGGTGTCTTTTGGGTGTGTTTTCACTCTCTCATCGTTACTTTTAGGACTGCTTTTTGATCCTATCGTATCAGCGATATTGGCTCGTCGGGGGTGTCATCTGGATAATCGAGCGTATCCTTCGCGAAGTCCGTTCCCGCCATCGCACGTATATTTCCAAGGTCATTCAACATCCTTCGAACGTCATGGAGCTGCAGATCAAGAAGGATAAAACAAGAGTTCGCGCAGGACAATACATCTTCCTTTCCTGCCCCGAAATCTCTTATTTCCAGTGGCACCCTTTCACTCTCACCAGTGCGCCCGAGGAGGATTATATCTCCGTGCACATCCGTGTCGCTGGTGATTGGACGACCGCTATGTCCAAGGCGGTTGGTTGCGACTTCAAGAGCAAGAAGGGTGAAAAAGACAAGGATGGTGGAGGAAAGGTTATCGGCACCGACGTGAACCCGCCTGTTAACAAGATTTTGCCTCGCGTTATGGTTGATGGCCCGTTCGGCAGTGCATCCGAGGACTTTTTGAACTATGAGACAGTGCTGCTGGTCGGAGCTGGTATTGGTGTTACGCCGTTCGCTTCGTAAGTCCGAATTTCTTCCGTCCCTCGAACCTTCACGCTTAGAACGACGGTACGTCCACGATCCGAAGAATCTTGAAGTCAATCTGGTATCGGATGAACAATCTCAACAACTCGAAGCCAACTCGTCTCTCTAAGGTGAGTGTAACCCCTATCTATTCTCGTTATACATTCGACGCCGGTCGTCTAACTCCGCCTCCTCAAGGTCTACTTGACTTGGGTCATCCGTGACTTCGGCTCCGCAGAATGGTTTCACTCTCTCCTGCACGCCATCGAGGAACAAGACACCCAGAACCGAATCGAGATCAACATATACTTGACTGCTAAGATCAAAGAGGACGACATGAACAATATCATCGTGCAGGATGTCGGAGCCGAGAAGGACGCCATCACGAGCTTGAAGGCGCCCACGCATTTCGGTCGTCCGAATTGGGACCGCGTGTTCTCCTCTATTGCGCAACAGCATCCAGAGACGGACGTCGGTGTGTTCTTTTGTGGACCTTCGATACTTTCAAGACAATTGCACCAGTCGAGTAATAAGTTCTCGAAGCCGAAGGGGACGAGGTTTTTCTTTGGAAAAGGTGAGTTCCGTGTTGTTTGCGTCTGCAAGAGCTGTTTGCTGATGTATCTGCATCCAAACAGAGAATTTCTAGTCACTTCGAGCATTTCATATCTCCTCCATTGGCTATTTGTCTCTTCTATGGCACGTAACTTATTTCTTTACGCTTCTCTCTCCACATGGCGCTTGTTGTTGCTCTGCTAGTTACATACTCTCATAGACTCCTGCTTCGTCAAGTTCACTTGCTGTCGGTCCCGACTCGAATCCACATGTACTATTACTACGTATATATTCTTATAGGTATTTCATGCATGTTTGCTTCGCCGTATCATTTACCTACACTACAATTGTTACTGACTTAATTTATGTGTAGGAACTTAAGGACTCTTTGGTAGTGCTCTAGGACCAGAATCAGGATGTACACATTGCTTTGATCTGCATGGAGGTCGTTTGGCTTTGGATCTCATCGGAAGCCGGAAGCTGAGTGCGATGCGACGCTGGGGAGGTTGGTCATTTGCTGCGTAGCCGAAAATGGACGGACAAAGGCAAAAACACGCGCTCGGATTGGCCAGACACAACGGTCCGATCGGGAGCCACCATCCCGGTGCCCGGTGTCTCTGACCTTTGTCGTTGTGGCGGTGGCACAAATAGACGAACGGTCACAAACCCAAGCACCTTGTGCGCGGAGTTGAAAATTTTTAGGAGTTCCGTTAATATTTATCTATGTATATCATGGCTTCTCTGCAGTTCGAATCGGGTTCCATTGCATCTTCAGGACGGAGGATTGTGCCACCGGCCAACCTTGGGCCAACCCTCCCCACAAGAACAGCTGTATATTAGTGACGCCGGAAACTTTCAGTCCCAAACCTGAGCGTTCAGCGAGCGCGGGTTCTATATCAGCGAGAGTACGAAGAGACGTCATAGACTTACCGTTCACTGCATACGATAGAGGAACACTTCCAAGATGCTCAGAAATAGTTCGTTGGCGGAACCGGCGTTGCGCATATGCCTCAGCATGTCTTCCCGTCCTGAGCGTCCCGCTCTGGATTTTACCCGACCGGAATGTTCTATTTATGACGATCCAGCCCTTGGACTAGCATAGCACACCCCCTGTGTACGCACAAGCCTCTACGATGTCGCCGATGAGCAGTCCCAGCCCTGTCCATGCTCAGGAAAATCCGAAGGTTACGAGCGGTAATCGCAGGAAAGTCGCACCCAGGCTCACTGCGGTTAGAGAGTTGTACCTCTCTATGTGTCCCAAATAAGGTACACTGCAGGTAGGTGCTCCACGTCAGCCCGCATTCGTGGGTACGAACCAGCCATTCACAGGAGGACAGTACAGGAATGTTCTCCGGACTACGTGTCGGATGCACATGTCGTTATAGAGACCTCAATCTCTGATCGTAGAGGCTTTGACCGCAACAGCAAGCCCAGCCGACTTCGATGTCAATAAGTATACGTTGAGCGACGGTAGAAGCCTGGACTTATGCTGCAGCGGAGACACGAATGACGTAGCGAGGATACCCTCGTCTCCGATTGGAGCTCCCGCTGGATTGCTTTATGGTAAGGGAAGAACTTCCATAATATATATATTCTCGGCCATTATAGTCCCGCACCAATGGTAGCCTGTGATCTCCTACCTCGATCCGTTTGATGTAACTCTGCGCATGTCGGAAGGTGATAGAATGTTCTACAAGATGACAGCGCATGAGTACACATAATCTGGGACATGAAGGTGGGATGGCAGTGAAGCATGAGAGATGACATACGGGAATTCTGCGAGCGCTTTGTAGTATCTACGAGGAGGCGTCTCTTATACCGTGACTGGACCAGAACCAGTTCGGTATACAAGCGATACGGCTCGAGAAGTAAAGCAGTGTCTGTCAATCGAGGATAGGGGTCAACAAATGTTTTTGTTGCGTAAACATGGGTGAAGAAGGAACGGGGATCAGACTGACTTACGAGAATCTATCGTCATCTGGACTGGTCACGTAGTCGACCATGCAGTCCATCTGGGCTGTCGCAATGCGACTGACGCTCTTCCCGACGGCTCAACAGGACTGTAAGGATAGGTGGCGGAGTGATACTTTCCAAGCGGACCGCTGCCCGATTTTTGGCAGCATCTCTACGATGGTCCTGCGAGGCTGGAACCAAAGTGGAATCGTTTCTTACGCATATAAGCACGACCATCGATGAGCCCACGAGCGATTGAGGCAAGTGCTGTACGATATCTCAGAAGAAGGGTCGAAGATTTGCTGCATGGAGTCCTAGGAAAGCGGTGATATGAGTTCTTCCCCTCGTGTTCAGGTATGCCCCATTTGGAAAGTAAAATGGATGTCCCCAGTATATGAAAGGATTCTGAAAGTAGTAGACAGCGAACCTTGCCGAGGGCTCCGCATTGTAATATCCGTAGAAAATGCAGTCGCATCGATGGATGAGACGTGACCAAGATTCAGATCACTGCAACGTGAGAGCCCAATATTCGTACAGCGACGCCACACCATCGATGTCCTAGAGAAACGAAGCTCGCCCGATATCTTTGGTTCGTTGTGGCAACCCTTTTCTGTATGAAGTGCAGGAATCCGGCTAAGGCAGACGAGCTAGACGGAGAGTTGGACCGGCCGGAACACGAGGCTTGCAGGGGTGGATTGAAGTGCGGCGGTACTGACTCATATGCGCACTTTCGTACGTATTTCGACGATGACAGGGCGGGCCTCAAGGCGATAGGAGAAGCCACAGCTACCACAGGAGCATATAGTCCTAGATCCTTGCTTTGTCCGAGGAGAGAACATATATCGCCGCCAGTAAGCGCTAAAAGTTACAAGGCACAGGCTATGCAGGTCAGATACAATTCGAACTAAGCCGAGGACTTCGCTGGCTCTCTTGTCTGGAGATGGAACGGTTGCTGAGTGACTAGTACACATCTAGCTGCTTGGCACGGGTTGTTCCTCGAGAGATCGTCCTGTTCAGGAGAAGAGAAGAAGAGGGAGTAGATCAACGTTCAACAGCGCCGGTAGTTTGTCCAAAGAAACTTCACCCGCGGCATGCTTCGGCAAGACACGGGTCCACAAACCGGCTATCTCCGTTGCTCGCTGCCGTTCTTTGTTTACGCTCGAAACAGGCGCGACGAACCGCAAACAAAAGACGGGCTACAAGCGCTACGGCTGAGCAGCATCAGTCGTTCCCGGCTTGAAGGTGCCTATAAAGGACTTAATAGGGCGCCCTTCTTCGTGGTCGCTTTTCCGTTTGATGAGCAGAAATCGACCATGATCATCTGAGCGACTCGCGGTGAGCCCCAAGGCATGCTTTCGTCAACCTTACTTACACCTGCATCGGCCTCGCGCCATACTTCATCCTCCGGGGTCGCAGGATTAGGGGACTGCGCACGCACGCTCAGTGTGGGATTTGATGCTCGCTACATTTGCCAGTCAGCCTCGCGTCTTACATGTCCGAGGATCCGCGGGAGTCCGGATGTTCACAATCTATCCGCCCTTCAGCTTCTCGGTGTTTTACCGTGTAGATTGGTTTTTCTGCCAACAAGGGCCTACAAAAGCCTTGGTACCTTCCGCCTTGAGTCGGAATCAATCATCACTCACCATCATGTCCTCAATAGCCGTTCGTCAAGTCGTCGCCCCGTCTGGTACGTCACAAATTTCTTCTTCTTCGCGCGGTCCGTTGTAATTGGTGACCACATATCCGTCTTTACACACCAGACGTTGAAAGAAACCGCATGGTCGAAATCATGACGCTAGCTTTGGCTAATGGTAAATATTCAATCCAGTAGGTAGACGATGCGACTCTCTCTAACATTATCGCCTGCAGATAGTTCAATTCTCTGCCTGACTGGCGGCTCCAAGGAAGGGGAGAGAGTCCTTCTGAGCCAATGGGTTGATGCGGCGCTAGAGCTTGGCGAGGTCTGGGTAGCTGAGATAGACCAAAGAATCGAGGGGGTGGCGCTGTGGATAAAGCCTGGGAAAGATTATACAGTTAGGTCGGTATTCAATTTCGCGTCACTTTTCCCTTTCTAGATGTTGTATATTGATGTACAGTCTTTAGCTATCAGGATAGATATCTTCGAGCATTCCCGCCGGATACTCAAGAGTGGACAGTTCAACATGTAAGAGTATATTAAGCATCTCTTGTCTGGCGCTGTACACTGACTCTTCCTTCTAATACAGTTCCGTCCGAAGTACGAGCAGTGAGTCAAGATATTGTCCGTCGTTGTCGACTGATCTCAGTCGAACGAATCAACTAGATTATACAAGCAATCCTATCCTCTCCGTGAGCTTACCAGACTCCACGCCTGGCACCTGAAGCAGATCGCGGTCAATCCACGACTACAAAGGAGAGGCATCGGACGGGCCCTCATAGCCGCTGTTCGAGATAGGGCACGTAAATCTCTTCGCGAAGCTACCCGTCATTACTGACTCGCCTTCGCGATGTCTAGGCTGACCGACATGCACAAGCTATGATAGCCGACGTCCCTTCTGCTGGTGCCGTGAGTCATTGTCCGATTTCGAACTATCTGTCTCGTCGATGGCTTACAATTCAGCCTATAGTTGCACTTCTTCCAGTCTCAAGGCTTTGCATACCGAGGAGTGAAAAACTTCGTCGGTCGGCGAGGAGGGTTTCCTCTTTGGGCGATGCTGCGAGAGCCGAGAAAAGTATGAGGCCAGCGTGACATGCCTCCACCGGACACTAGTCTTCTGCCCTGACAAACACTTGTACTCATTCCTAGACTATGTCTCATAACATATATTGCTATACAGATATTAATGCCCCCGACATTGACGGGAACAACCCATGTCGAGTGTCGAAATTACCTCACAAAACTGCGTTGACAGGGGGTTCTCGAGCCAGGGCTTCTTGCGGCAGAAACAGGCGAATTTCAAGGTCCAGAGGTTCAACCGTGACCTTCTTATCCTTACACAGGTCGTAATGCGCCACATCGATTCGGCCCCGACTTCCCCTCCGATGACAACTGTTACTGGCATGCGAATGATGCGGTATCATGCACTGTACTCGCCTCAACGACTTCGGATCGAAGAACGCGAAGTCCAGACGTAATTTAGACCCATGTTGCGCTGTCGTCCGACCACTTACTTGTTCCTTTATCGATGGTTTCATGAGAGGGGCGGTCTCGACTAACAGAATCAGGATGATCGCGTTGAGGAGGCAGAAGATACGTCGTTCTGTGAGTTTATGTTTATTCTCCGACATACTCCTTTGTGTTGTCTGGTTAACTGTACTAAAATTATTGCACCAGTCCTAAGGACCAGGCCATGCTACGAAATACCCATCACCAGTAGCTATTACTGATTCAAAGATTTCTTCGCAACCTACAAGATATCTGAAACTCCTCTACTGCCATCCGGACGCGCACAGGTCCGTCCGATTCCTTACTCCTCCTGGGCATCTCTCGGGCCCCTTCCCCTCTTACGTCCTACAAGCGACGGCGTATCATACTGCTGAATAGCTCAGTCCGCGGAGGTGCTGGAGTTAAGCGCTTAGCGGGGAGTGGCGTTTTGTGTGGTAGCCGGTCTTCTACGGAGTAAGTTCCCCTGACAAAAATTGTGGCGAGATATCATCTGCGAGCGGGTTTTTAGTTCACGATCCGATGCGGACTCTATATGATTAGTCGACGTTCAAATTTGAACCTGAACATCTTTGCAGGTTCTAGGGGCGTAACTGCCAATCGCAATGTCGATGACGAGGTCATGTCTACGACGCAGAATCCCCTTAATGAGTATTACTCACAAGTTCCCGTCGTTCAATGCTCTTTCATTAGGCGAAATACGGTCCGCCGTAGTTGTGGTGGATACTGCATCCAGTAATATGCACTGGGGTAATCCTCTGCACCGCCTCTCCTTTCATGGGCGTTTGTAATTCAGTTCCCCTTCATCTAGGAAAAGCCTTCACCTCCGCGGCATGAAGATGGTGGCGCCCTGTCGGAAGGGTCACCAACTCATTGACCAGCACGCGTTGAACATGCATTCGTTTCGACCCCAACACCATCGGGCGCAAGATCCAAATTTTTTGTCGGTACGCACGCGCACTTCACCTTCAGTGCTTATTTTTCAACCTGACTGATCTTCTCGAATGTGTGCGCTAGAGCTTAATATGTGGAGAATCTGGAAATTAACTCCTTCCAGGCATCATCGACGTCCATGAGAGCCAACGCTAAACTTGGGCAAGTCACTTGGCACGGCAAGTCTGCATAGATCAAATATGCCCCTCACAAGTAGCGCGGACCATCTAATTCTATAATTGATTACAGCGCTGACCGAACGAAGGTCATACTGGCGTAAGTGGCGGCTCAGTGATACCGCATTTACATCTCTCCAACCGAAAGTCACGCTGAGCGTCTCACTTGCCCTCAGATATGAGGCCGTCTTGCCCAACGCCACGGGAGCTCAGCAACAAGGTTAGGCGTGATTGTTCTGACACTCTCTACTCGTGGATATCTGTCCGCCACCCGGAGGTATGAACGGCCTTCTGTCGGAGGAAGCGTGCTGTGGCACTCCTAGAATCCTCAACTTCGTCCTCCCCATTTTGAGCGCGGCAGCTTTTGAAGAGAGCCTGGAAAACAAATCCTTCCATAATAGGAGAGCATGTACTGGTGAGCTCCAACTCTCTTGTGTAGGTTTTCTCGCGATGTGCATGAGGCTTGCGTTTTTGTGCTACTGATCCTGGGTGGAAGTTCCATGAGGCTTGTAGGATGGCATGACTGATTGCACCACTCAGTTCTCGGCCGGCTCGTGTGGGCTACCAGGCCACCGTCCTGTCCTTGTTACAGCACCGTATACAACGGCCAAGACCTAATTCTCCTCTACTCACTCGTGTTCTTTGTTCTCGCAGTCGATCTGCTGCCCATTCTCGGCCCCACACCGTGTGGACCTGGGGGTTCGAACCTCAGATCGAACAAGTTCAACTAATTACCGCTACCTAGGTCGTAACTCTCTCGAAAGCTCGCGCGCGCTGTGTTTTTTTGGCCAGACATATGGACCGCTAACGGGAGAGTCTAACAACCTCTCAAACGAGGACCTTCTCGATGCCACGGCCGTGAACAACAAACTCCACGAGATGTTCATGCCAAGCGTCTGTCTTGCGTCCTAAGATGTTCAACCACTGGCGCTTCAAATAACCATTAATGCGATGCTGAACACGGTTCATGCAGTGCAATCACCATCAGCGCTATCCCCCAACCTGACAGTGAACCGCTGACCGACTGCTGTTTCCTCCACAGCCTGGACTGTGAGCACAAACGCTCTCTATATCGGCCTCGTTTGCTGACTACTTCAGGCTAGTATGGTCTCCCATCCCCATTCAGCCTCACTTCTATTCGGATCTACTTAGAGCTGCCTCATGATATCCTTGTTGGTTTGCCAGAGATGTGGCACTTCAAAGGTTGCGCCGCCGTGTGGCGCGGGCGTCGAGAGGACACGAACTTGGCGCACCAACACTCGGGCTTCTCTTGGGCTTTCTCATATTTTCTATCCGGTAAGCAGGTATGTCTTCCTCGAGGCTACTCCTCATTATGCCAGTTTGTCCAAACTACCGATATTATCGTTAGTCGAGGTCGGGTACCGAACTGTACCGAACTGCATGTGGCGAAGAACGAATATCCGTGTTTGCAAGCTACACCCGCTGTGGATATATCGACTTCCGACCATCGGCCTTCAACACTTCCCGCACAGGGCACAGACCGGCACACAGTTCGTCGACGCCAACTGCGCACGCATGCGGACTCCGAATCGTCACGGTCAAACTTGACAAGCGAGAAAGAACAACCTCAAACTCTATGGGAGCGTCAAACGTGCTTACTGTGAGGATCCGGGGTTGATAATTGATAAAGATTTATGTACACCACAAACCTGAAGTCGTCATCGGCCACAAGATGATAGCGAGGTGCGATACGCCCACTGCAGTCTGCCTCGTGATAGAGGCTAGAAAGGCTGCAGCCCTGAAGATTATGGCATGTCCATATCTGTGTGAATGGTGGCGTTTCGCGTATTCATATAGTGAGCATCTGAGCGTCGGTCGATAGGCGTCCAAAAGCACAGCTGATCTAGTCGGGACTGTCTTTGAATCTCACTGTGTGAGTGGTGGCGCACAACAGAAGAGAAAGGACCGCACGGTTCAAAATAACAAACATGAAGTATGAAGAAGCAAGTAAGGGTGTGGCACTTGCGATACATAAATTAAGAAAGAAAGTCACGTATGATAGTAAAGCCAAGCAATCAACACGTTTACGACGACGATGGGGATGTACAGATCAATTTACACCGCCAATCCAAGACCAGCATTCGAACGTTGGTAAGTACTTACAGCCGCGATATCTGCAATTTCATCTCCTCTTCCGCATAGTGCGCTCCAAAAGGTCCACGGTAACCCGTAATAGATCTATCACCACTCACCCTCACCCCATCGCGACGAGCGACCGATAGGAAGCAAATTAACCAAGTCGCCCGTCCGCACATTCACATATACAACCGCCTCGTCTTGTCCTCACCGCCCTGGGCGCACCGAGTAGCCACGCAAAACAGCCGGGACAGTCTGCCTCACTTGGTCGGAACGTCGTCCACGGAGAGTTTACCCAGAGCCTCCGCAAGGGGAGCATCCTTCTTCGTCACGGAAATGTCGTCCTGTTCCTTCAGACGTTCACGAGTCTCTTTGCCGTGATCGGATGTATCGCTTTCAGAGCCTGAGTGGTCATGGTTATGATGGTGGAGGACCTTGAGGTCTGCATCCATCATTTCCTACAAAAACAAATTATCGGTTCATTTCGGTGGCATATGGGAGAAGTTGAGTGGAGGTGCATTGAGGAGGAGGTAAGCGTACCTTTTCTGACTCCTCCTTGTACACATCGATGTTCTTCCCGAGTTCTGCAGCTACAGGCGACAAGTTGACCAACATCGACATGCGCTTCATAGCCGTTATACTCCACACCGCCCTCTTGACTATACACCCGTGAACAAAAGTCAGCACAGGTCAAGATATGCCTGGATAGAGTAGGATAGACAGGTACGTACACCTCGTCTTCGCGTCCAGCCTCTTCTGGATCTGAGGCAAGAGATCGTAAGGCCCACCATGCGGGCTGGACGGGTCGGGCACGAAGTGTGGCGTGGAGTCCGCGAGCCAACGGTGTTGGAGCATCTGGGCGGCGCTTGGCCGAGATTGTGGGTCGATAGTGAGACATTCCGAGACAAAGTCTTTGGCGGTGTCGGAGACGTTCGCCCAGTATTCCTCTAATGGGTAGATGAAAAGAAAAGAAAATGTTAGCAATCCTCCATAGAGTTGCAGATGGTTGATACGGACGTGGCTCAAACTTATAGTCGCCGGCGATGATGGCTTCCATCTCCTGGTGTTGCGTATCGCGATCGAAGGGAGTGTAACCTAGAGTGAGTATTCAGAGTTCATAAAGTGTCATGTAGGGTGGCTGAGGGGGCGCACCAGCAAGGAGGAAATAAGTGATCACGCCCATGGCCCAAATATCGACGGGCTTGCCATGGCCAGCTGTAACAAGCGAAAGCGTATTTTTAGCATGATGGGAAGTCGCTATTCATGGTTGTCGACGTACTTTTTTTGAAGATCTCCGGAGCCATATACTACGGAAGGCTATGTGAGCGTTCCGCCAGAGCAAGACAGGGTGATATGCGTACTCCAGGCGTACCACAAATCTCGGTGAGTAGGTGGAATCGCTCTTCATCCATAACACGACTGAGACCGAAGTCAGCGATCATGATATCCGCGTCCTCGGCAGGCGTCCGGAACAGCAGGTTCTCGGGTTTCAAGTCTAGCAAAGAGTCAGTCGCTGGCGGCAAGCAAACAATGAGGTAGACATACCTCTGTGCACGATACCGGCCTCGTGAATGTACTTCACGGAGTTCATGATCGTCCGCACGAGTCCGGCAGCATCCCTATCGGCCCCATCAAATATTGTCAAGCGAGCACTGATGGGTATCATCCAAAAGCACGCACGGTTCATGGTAGTTACCCTTTGCACATATACGGTCAAAGAGTTCTCCTCCAGTGCAGAGATCGAAGCAGAGATACAGGTTATTCGAAGTCTGCGGAAGGACCGTCAGGCTATGTTCGCCACATCAACACAGCAATCTGCGCACCTCGAAGTAATCGTGAAGTGTGACTATGTGTGGGTGTCCACTGGAGATTTTCTTCAACACTGCAATCTCGTTTCGGACCTGACGAGCAAATGGCGAAGAGAAAAGGAGGGCAATATAAGAAAACTAGGTTAGGTATGGACAGGGGCCACAGCGATTATGAGACAGACCATGAACTCTCGGCCCTCCATGAGCTTCTTGTTGATGACCTTGCACGCATAGTACTTCCCGGTCTTGATGTGTACGGCCTCCTTGACGATGGCATATGTTCCGCTGCCGAGCGTCCTTCCGGTGCGGTACTGTCATGTTATCTGTATGATCAGCCCGGCGTATTTACCGCGAATGAATAGGAATTGTACAGACCTGGCAAGGAACGGTGGCTGCCTGTGGCATATCTGTCTGAGGCGCTAGCTTTGGAAAGAGGGACAGGAGGTCAGACTGGGTGTGTTCGTTGGTGGTCGCAACGAAAGAGAGCGTGAAGACGCCCTAAAGCTCCTCCTTACGGACGCTCAAGTTATGACTTACCATATTTGGAAGGCGCGCCGGCTCACTCCGCTCGTTTTCGGCATGCTTTGCCCTCGGTACAGTCAATTCGTCCTCCTTCACCCTCCCAAGGGGACTCTCTTTCGGCTTGATTGTCTCTTGTGTCGCCGAAGAACCATGGCTCAGGTAAGACCCACTGCCTACCAGTGTGGTGTCCTCGTCTTGACTCTGTTCGCCGCGCTTGAGGCTTCGGTGATGCGAGTGGTGGTTGCCCATGAAGATGGATGTGGTTGTGTCCAAGGAGGTCCAAGGGTTCGTGCTCGATGATGCAGGTCAAGGTCTCCGCAACAGGTGGCGCCAGTGGTCAGACTTATACCGCGTCTGAAACGTGTTCGCCGTGCTCTTGGCTGTGCGCTGACGGCTGGTCCACAAATCAACACAACGTAGTAGGCGCACAGCCTTTTCGGGGCACTTCATTGCGTTTATTCCAGGGCGACGCCGGTCCTCTTTTGTTGACGGCAGACTCACAGTTCTGATGTGTTATTGGCTGCAAACATACGTACTTGCTCTTATACGTTTTATTGGTGTGTCCTCAGGTCTTCTCGTAGTCTTGGCAAGTATGATATTGCCAGCGAGTCATACCTATTTTTGTCGCGCATAGGACGCTCAAGCACGACATGCACTGGCACTATCTTCCGCAGCGGACAGAGCTATTGGCGAGTGACACTTATATGTTCACTCGATGGGAACATTCACTGCAATTATCCCCTTGGCTTGCTCGTGATTAACGCACGGTCTCATCAGCTGCTACTTGATCCATTGCCTCCTCTCCCCACAACCACTGGCAGGTCCTACGTTCCCATCGTACAAGTTCTTTGACCCATCTCGCACTTTGCTGGAGTCTCTCTGAAAGCCCAAGGTGTTTCTGCATGATGGCTCCTACGGCGTCTGGAATTACATTCATGCACTCCCACTCAATCGGCATCATACTCTGCATTCGGATGTTGTTGGACGACGAGGGTGATCGCTAATCGTTGTTCCGTTATTTACCCTTCTTCCGTCATCTTCGGCACAAGTTGAAGCTACAATTCCCTCTCTAATTCCCGTGATCTTCCGTCCAATTGCTTATAATTCGCGTGCAGAGGTCTCCATCGCAATCACGCTGGTAGGCGCAGAGGTCGATTTTTTGTTTACACTTTTGTTTTAAATCTTCTGAGTCTGCTACAGTCTGTGGGTGACCATGAGATACAACCATCGGGGCCTACCTTTCTAATGGACTTGTTGAAGACGCAGCACCTTTGCACGGACTCTACACAGCACGAAAAGCGCCACACTCGCGTGGCGGAGCTTCGGTATCGCTTTCTCATTCGTACCTGTGTTGATCTTGGTATTTCTCATTGTATTCCATTCCTAGACGAGCTCTAATTTTCGAGGCAACGTCCCGGTCGTTCATGGCGTGCTACAGGCCAGGTGCCACACTTGCGCCACAGGGGGTATTGCAAAGAGCGGAAGCCAGCGGAACGCGCCGTTCGTGAATGGCATCCCCTCCGACGGGAACCACGGACAGCGACTTCGTCTCTCGACATCGTTTCTTTCCGTCTGCTCTGTGATTTTCTATACTGTCAGAGGAGCACGAAGACTCAGAACATGTTCTTCAGAAGTGCTCGAGGCCCATGAGGACCCACAAAGACTTCATGCGTCTTCCAGTCATATCCTTCCTATCGAAACTGAACTTACACTATCACGGGCGATTACGTGCTCGTGCACCATCGTCCTCACGGATTTCGAAAGAAGTAGCTCACCCGGGCATTATCAAAGTCTATCTCTGGACGCGTGCCATACTGCAACGGCCGTTCGGGCCTATATAAAAGAGGACTGATGTCAACCTCAGGCCCTCTTCCCACCATCCCAGAATACCTCGCACCCACTCCACTCCACCCCCACTCACAGAAATGTCCTCCGCCGTCGCTCCCGTCGACATCCTCGGTTCTCTCGCTCAGTTCGAGCCCCGCGACGAGACTCTCCACGTCGGCACCCGCTTCGCCGACCCCGCCATCCAACTCTCTCAATGGCTCAAAGCGCCCAACTCCGACGAACTCATCAAGGATCTCGCGACCCTCGTCTCCCACCGCGGTGTCGTCTTCTTCACCAACCAGGATATCGAGATCGAGGAGCAGAAGGTGCTCGGTCAGCGTTTGGGCGAGCTTTCGGGCAAGCCTGCGACGTCTAAGCTGCACAAGCATCCGATTAGCGAGACGACCTCGGAATTGGGTGCGGAGATCTCTGTCATATCGTCCATGGGGTGAGCTTTGTGCGCTTGGGAATCCTTGTCAGTTCGCTTACCATATACCATATCGATTGCTTCTGGGTCATGTCATGATAGCGGTATCGCGCGCGCAAACACTAAATCGAACACTCGTGCCTCCAATGGCTGGTGAGCTTTGACATCACATTCAAGACCTATCTTCCTCCGGTTCCGTAGGACTCATGATGTGATGCTGTTTAGGCATGCGGACATCACCTTTGAGAAAATCCCGTCAGACTATGCTGTGAGCCCATTATCATTCACCGAATTCATGCCCAATCGATTTCTCACACTATCCTGAATCCAGCTGCTCAAAATGCACACCATTCCTCCGAGTGAGTACATCTCCTACGCCTTCCCCTCCGAAAACCTTGTTCCAGATTAGATGGCTAAAGCGCACATCGCTCTTATCAGCCGGAGGTGACACCCTCTGGGCCAGTGGCTACGAGGCGTATGACCGTCTCTCCGCACCGCTGAAGACGTTCTTGGAGGGTCTCACCGCGCTGCACGATGGCGAGTTCTTCTCTGACTATGCGCGCCGGACGGGAAGGTCTCTCATCCAGGAGCGTGGAGCGCCGGAGAACGTTGGGACGGACCTTACTGCTATTCAGTGCGTTCTTTGTTCTTGTTCTTTCGTGTTTCCTGTTATAACTCGACGCAAACCTTTGATTTGTCCCACCCCACCAGCCCTGTCATTCGTACGAACCCCGTGACTGGGTTCAAATGCCTCTACGTCAACAAAAGGTGCGTGCTCGTCTCGTCTCGTCTTGCCTCTTTCCTCCCGCCTCTTTCCTCCTTCGATCACTTCCTCGAGGCTTACTTTGGAATGAAATGACAGCTTCACGAAACGCATCGTCGAACTCAGCCAAGAAGAATCAGACCATATCCTCGAATACCTCTTCCGCCATATCTCAGAGAACCATGACCTCCAGGTGCGATACAGGTGGAACAAGAATGATCTGGCGATTTGGGATAATCGGTCGTCTTTCCATACCGCTACGTATGTGTCACCATTCCTTCTCATTCTTCCCTGTCCTGTACCTTTTCGTCGTCCTTATCCGTCTCGTCCTCATCCTTCACATCTTTCTCTCGTCGTCCCTCGTGTGATATCGTGATGCTGACCCGCTGCTCCCTTGTGCAGAAACGACTACGTCGAGAACAGACAAGGCAACCGCGTCGTCAGCCTCGGCGAAAAACCATACTTCGATCCGAACTCCAAATCGAGGAGGGACGTCCTCGGCATCTTCGTCTGAGGTCTGATATCCCAATCTTCCTTCCCTTCGCCTTGGATCATGGATGTAGGTAGCTTGGTGGCTCGATTGGTTGGTGATACATACATCCAGAGGTGGTGTTTCGTGCAGTCCGCGTTTTGTTGTTATTGTTGTTGTTGTTGTTGTTTTATTATTTGTAGAGGAAGGAATTTTTTCTTTTTCTCTTTTCTCTTTTTCTCTTCGCTATGTAGCACTACAGTGGAATCTTCTTTTTTCTTTGACCGGTGAATTGTATGTTTTTGGTTTGAGGGTTTCCCGTGGGCGATCGTTTGGTTTCGATTTCAAGGATGGGCAGGCAGCGTGATTCGGACTCGGCTCGCCGTTCTCGGCAATCGACTAATTCAAGCAAGAAAGCAAGCATATCTTCAGAGCTTCAACGGGACAGAATACGCGTATATACAATACAACAACCTTCCCTCCCTCCAAACCCTTTCCTCGCCCTTTTCGCCCTCCATCCAACCCCCCTCCCCTCCCTCCCCCCTAACACCCCTCCCATCCCTCCCCCTCCTCTCCCCTCTCCTAACTCACCAACCCCCTCACAGCCCCCTCAACCTCCCCCTCGACCCCTCCCTCAATCCCCAACACAGTCAACTGAAACTCGCCCATCGTAAGCCCCATCGGGTTCCTAATCCTCGATTCCCAACCGTCTGGGAGTTTTTCTTCGGTCAGGAAAGTGGATAGGTCGGAGACGCGGCCGCCGAAGATCGTTAGGAGGGTTGCGGAGCTGTGGGGGTGTGTAGTCAGGTGTGATGGGTGGGTTGGTGGGATGTGATGGGCCACAGGGGTTGTACGCCACACGTCACAAATGAAAGAGAACGAGGACATGAGCATTGAGCAACGACTCGCAGACAGTTCAAAACACAATCGAGTCGAAGAAAAACGCACTTCGAGCTCCCAAACATCTTATGGAACGTACTCAACGAGAACTGTCCGTTCTCCCGCCTCGACTCTGCCCTCCTTTGGGACGTCACCCTTGCGAGGTCCGCCACCGTCAACGTCTTCTCGTTGTCGTCGTCGGACTTTTCTTTTGCTTTGCCATTGCCATTGAGGTTGGAGGCGGGAGGGGGACCGGTGGCGGAGTCGAGGAGCTGGGCGACGAGGCGGAGACAGGGGCGGGATTGGTCCGGGGATGTTTTGGCGTCTTCGCCTATATATCACAACAACGCCACCATTTAACTATTCAATCACTCAATCCTCATCGAACAAGTTGAATAGAACGAGAAGGAAATGAAAAACTAACGCAACAACGACGCATCGTGCTCTATCCCATTATGCACATCGATATCCGCCAAATCGAGACTATCCGTCCAATAATTCCGTCCCAAGATCCCCGCCATGTATCGCGGGACGAAGACACAGAAGGTGGGGGCGAAGTTGAAAGTGGGGCGGATGGTGGCGGAGAGGGTGCGGAAGGGGATGTTGCGGCCGTTTCGGGGGAGAATGCCTGCACGTACGATGTTGCCGTTCAGGTGGACGTCAGTTGAATGTCATCGACGAATTTGACGAAGGCAGATGTAGAGGGGTGTTTGAATGCACACATACCATGATTCGCCATCGCATTCAACGCAGGACACGAACACCGACTATCTCCCTCCCCGGGCTCTCTCCACTCCGGCCACTTACCCCCCTCGCCCGCATACCCAACCGGCGTGACCTTGCCCACCGCCCTCGCGGGCGCGACCAGGTTGTAGAGGATGAGGGAGAGGTCCCAGAGGGTGATGCCGGCTATGATGAGGGTGTTGAAGAGGGTGGAGAGGAGGCCGAGGGCGAGGCGTGTGGGGAGGGAGGACATGGGATTGGGGTTGGGTTGGGGTTGTGAAGTGAAGAGTGGTGAGGGCGGGTGGATGGTGCGTGGGTGGATGGGGAAGCGGGGGCGGAGTGAGGAGGAAGCGAGGAGTGGGGAGGGTATTTATGTATGTGATTTTCTATTTTCTGTTTTCTGTTTTATGAACGCATGAATGAATGAATGAATGGAAGCTGTCGGTTTAGCGCTGAATGTTACGTCGGTGCGTGGTCTTGTGCCAAACAAACGCGTCTTTTCGACTTCCTGATTCGCGTATTCGCGTCTCGTTCGATTCCGAGGCAAACAGAAGCTTATGTCCATGTATGATTAGATGGCGTCTTATCCACTTTTTGTTAGAGATTTCCAGGCATCAGATAGCTGCAGCCCACAATGAAGATACATGCAAATCGTCCTATTCCCAACGAATAGCACTGCACAACCACAACCAATCAGCACATTGGCAAAACAAAACAAAACAAAATCGCAACTAAAAGGTCTCACCTCACATATCTACAAAGCCCAAACCCTCCACCTCTCCGCCTCCTTCCTCCTCCTCTCCACAACACCCACAACTTCTTCTCCCCAAACCTCGCCAGGCTTCCTCCCCACCCTCTTCCTCCAATTCCTCAATCTCTCCCCGAGCGCGTCTACCATAACACTCCTCTGACCCGCACCCGTCGTCGTCGTCGTCTGCAGACTCACGTCCTCCCAGCTCCTCTCCTCCCCACTCCCACTTCCACTCCTCTCTTCACCACTCCCACTCTCATCCCCTTCCTTGTCATTGCCCTCCGGAGCATCAAACGAAACCTTCTCCCCCACCCCCACCCCAAACACCTCCCCTAAATGCCGGTCCACATCTCTATCCTCCATCACCACCACATTTTCAAGCGAGAGAGGGAGAGCGGGGTCCCAGCGGATGAGCGCGGGTTTGGAGCAGGTGGGGTGTGGGGGGAGGATGGAGCGGGAGAGGGAGATGTCTTCGAAGAGGGTTGCGATGTCGGGGGTGGAGAGGGGGAGTTTACTGTGTTTTGTGGGGGGTGTGAGAGCGTTGTTCCAGGCGTGAGGGCAGAGAGGAGGGAGGAGGAGAGGAGGGAGGAGGAGAGGAGGGAGGAGGAGAGGAGGGAGGAGGAGAGGAGGGGGAGAAAAAATGGAGGGAGAGCTCACTTGATAGGACGTCCGGAGATACGTTGTTCGCGGTGCAATAGATCTTTATACAATTTCTCGTACAACTTCTTTCGATGCCGCACTGGAAGAGGCCGTTCGAGGGGTTTCCCGGCTAAGTCACAGATGATATACGTCGCTGCATGGAGGCCGAACAACGCAGGTAGGGGTCCTGTAATTCCACGACGCCACAAATGCACTATCAGCACACACTACCACTAGTATAGTAAGAGCGAGAGAGAGAGAGAGAGAGACGCACCAAGCACCGGCAAAATCCTCACTCTAAACTCATCAATAGCAGCCAACTCACCCACCTTCCCCTTCTCGAACTCCTCCTCTTTCAACGGCAACAACCCCACCTCGCCCGGCACCTCAGTAGAATACACAACGGGCACGCCGCTGGTGATTCCGGATGCGCGGAGACGCTGGCGGACAGAGCGCGCGAGGGGATCGTACAGTGTTTCTGAGATGTCTGCGATTTGGATGCGGGTGGGGTCCGCTTTTGCGCCGGCGCCCATGGAGGAGAAGATCTGGATGTTCTGCTGCACGCAGTATTTTAACAGGTCGACTTTGGTGCCTATATTATCGATCGCATCTGTGCGTTCCATTCCACCTCATCAGCCTACGCACAACCCGTCGTATATTGGGAGAAACAGTGAAGGAAGGACAGACCAATGACCCAATCCGCTCCCTCCAACAACCCCGCGCCCGTCTCATCCGCCCTCCATAACTCGATCCGCGCATCGACCTCCACGAACTTCGCCATTCGCTTTAGGGCCTGTGCGACGCAGGCTACTTTGGGGGTGCCGACGTCGGAGAGGGAGGCGGTGGCGTGGCGGTTGAGCGAGGAGAGGGTGACGTAGTCGAAGTCGATGAGGCGGATTTTGGAGACGCCTCTGTTGGTGGTGTTGGTATCCCATTCCCATACAGTAGTCCCAATCCAATAAAATCCAATCCAGTCCAATCAAATCAAAATTTAAAGTCAGATATAAGTGAAGGGAAAGGAGAAGGGAGAGGAGGGAAAGGCAAGAGAAAACGAACGATCGACAAAGCATAACAGCAGCCCAACTACCCACCCCTCCACAGCCCACAACAACCACACTACTCCCCCTAACCTTCCCCATCCCCTCCTCTCCAAAAAACGCATAATTACGCGCTAATTGCTCCCGCACGAGTTCTTCGTCGTATGCGTACCCTCCCAGCTCGATCTCTTGTCTCTCTTCTTCTTCCTCCTCTCTTACTCCCACTCCCACTCCCACTCCTACTCCCGGACCACCGTATTTAGTCTTCCCCTTCACAGCGGCATCCGAAGGTCGTCGTAGAGAGTGAGAATGAGACCCAGCGAAGGAAGTCTGCAATTCCAGAGATCGTTGGATATCATAGTCCAACGAACGCCTCTTTCGCCGGCGTGTGTAGGCGTTGTAGGCTGTTACGGCGGAGGCACTGACGGCGGCGGCACCGAGGGCGGTGAGCACGAGCTGGGTGCGGTGCGAGTGGAGGTCGGGGACGGGGAGGGACATGTAGCTGCCAGGACTGCGAAGGGAGAGGAAGGGAGGAAGGTTGGGTGGGCCACAGCGGCGAGGTGCGCTTGAGAGGTTGGATGGGCGCCTGTTACGTAATTGTAAGCGGGTGCGATCATTCCACGTCGTGGTTGTTTGCCACATTCGACTCCGAGCTCGACCGTTCTACTTTGTCGTGACTGTCGGGGTATCACTGGTATTGCTACTTGCTACTTACTGGGCGACGCGTGAAAGATGGCTTATGTTTCTGTGGAATCAGATGATGTGCGTAGTTTCTCGTGCTTGACGAATATATCAAGTGCTGTACTTAGGACCCGGCTCCGTTTCGCTAGCGTCTCGAAGACGAGACCCCACAGCTCGAATATAAATGTATGTTGTGGTATTCTTCCTCACACACGACGTATTGACTGGACTGTTTGTTTGACAGCGTTTTTAGGAGATGAATCTGCGAATACGAGAGGGGGTCATTCTAGTCGAGGTGCGTTCGACATTGTATTACTTTGTGTGGCGAGGGTCATTGACGTCCACAATGTTTGAAGGATATATCGCGGACCAACCACGCAGTTCATCGTTCTGGTCATTAGACTACTACCAATCCTACTTCGACATCGACACCAAAACCGTCCTCTCCCGCTGCCTAACAACCCTCTACCCCCTCCACCCCTCCTACACCTCAGCCCACCTCGTCCCCTCCCCCGACTTATACGGCCCCTTCTGGACCCTCACCACCCTCATCTTCACGCTCTTCATCACCTCCTCCCTCGCCTCCTCTATCGTCGCGTACCTCTCGTCCCAGGAAGTCGACTATGATTTCGCGCTGTTGAGTACGGCGGTGGGATTGGTGTATGCGTATGGGATGGGCGTGCCGGTGTTGCTTTGGGGGGTGTTGAGGTATTGGGGCGTTGGGGGGGCAGGGGAGGGTATGGAGGGGTGGGGGCTTGTGGAGGCGTTGGGGGTGTGGGGGTATGGGATGTTTGTGTGGATTCCGGTTTCGGTGCGTTTTGGGGTTGGGTGAGGATGAGGGATGCTGATGGATTTCTGTTTTTTGGTGGTTAGATTCTGTGTGTGATTCCCATCGCGCTCGTGCGCTGGATACTCACAGGTATCGCATTTGCCTTCTCGGGCTACTTCCTCGTAGCGAACGTCTATCCCGTTCTCGCCTCCGTACGTCCCCTTCCCTCTCCCCCTCACTCTTCCCCTCCCTTCTCCCTCCCCTTCTTCCCCCCCCTCCCCTTTCCCCCACCGCCCTCACCATTCCCCCAACACCAACCCCCCTCCCTCCTTCCCCCTCATTAACCCCACTCGTTTATGAACCAAACAGACAGACAACAAATCAACCCGCCTCCTCATCATCCTCATCGCCGCCCTGCACGCCGGCATCGCACTCGCGTTCAAAGTTCTGTTCTTTAGCTATTATGTTGTGGACCTTGATGTGGGCCCGGCGGACCCGGTGCCGCCGGTGGAGGGGGAGGTGCCGAGGATGTTGATGAGGTTTGGGATGAGGTTTTAAGGAGGGGTTGGGGATTTAGGAAGGGGTTGGTATGAGGGAGGGGGAAGGGAGGATGTGAAGGGTGGTGGGTGAGGGGGCGGAGGTGAGATGGAGGAGGATGGGGTGAGGGGTGAGGCCATGAGGTGGGTGTGGATATTCTTGGGCTGCTGGACGATGATTCGTGTATTTATTCTTCATTTTTCCTCTCTCGCTGATTTGCTGTCCGGAAAGGCTACGCGCTTCTTCCGAGCTCTGAACTTGAGGCCTCGTGTGCATGCGATTTTCGACTCCCTTCGTGACGGATAGCCTGACTCTGAGGTATCGCATCACATCTTGCAAACAGAACCGCCATAGATGAATTCTTCTACTTACTTGCGGTGTGTTCAACTTCTAGGGTGTTCTTATTAATAAGAGCCGATAACTTGAAAGTTCGCGTCGATCAGATTCAAATTTCAATGATGACAGTGACGGGACACTGACAGAAAGGATGTCTTGATTGCTCTTGATTGGCAGCTTATGTAGAAGCGTAAGTATATGGAAGGACTTGACTGCCGCAGGAACGAACAACGTCCATAGATGATAGATTCGAGAAAAAGATGAACGAGTGGACCGAAGAATTCGAAGAAATTTAAGGTCCTCTTTTGGATTTGAACAAACGGAACAGGGAGATGAGATGTAGTGAATTTAGAATTGGGCCACAGGGGCGTGAGTACTGAGTAGTCCGTGTGGCGGGCGATCGGGTTTTCAAGTTTCAATATTAATCAGAACAGACAGAGGAGAGTAATTCTGTGGATCTCGTCCGCCATCTCACTCTACACATAGAGTGTCCTAAACACCGACTCGTCCAAATTCTCTTTACCGCCTCAGCCGCATAGTATGTATTGCTACAATTCCCGATAGTCTGTATAGCCTGTACTTCGAACCTCCACACATCATCCATCATACAACATGACTTTCAACATCTACCTACCTACCATCGTCCAACACCTCCTACCCTCCTACCCTCCTACCATCGCTCAAACCCAAACCTCCCATGCAGCCTCGTGACGATCTCGATGAGATGAGGCTCGTTTTCGGCCGTGATGAGCCCGTGCCGGATGAGGAACTCGATCACGACTGTGACCATTCCAGTCAGCGAGAGCTCACCGGTCACCAGGCGGTAGAAAAGGGAAAAGGAGAAGCGAAAAACGTACCGATAGCACAATTAGGCTTGAATTCGCCCGCGCGCATATGTCGCAATACTTTCTCGAGCGGCATGAGCTGCTCGCAAAACGCATAAAAGGGATTCATATGAGCACTAGGACAAGTGATAGAGCCTCGCCATGAACACTCGCCTCGAAGGACTCGACCTCCCCGTCTAACGGTTTCAACACCACCTTCTCACCCTCACTTTCACTCTCCGGTATCCTCAAATCATAGAGATATTGCACCTCGGGCTGTAGCCATCCCTTCGCCGTCGCGTGGAAATAGCTGATGCACCCAGCAGGACGGATATGTGTCCTCGTGAACTCTTCGGGGAGCGAGGCTTCCTCGTGGCTTTCTTTGATTATGGATTCGGAGGGGGAGAGGCCGGAGGGTATTCCACCCGCGACGGAATTGTCTAGGTGCAAGGGATATCTGGATACGTGGATTGATTTTTGAGCTCAAGCCGTACGCACGTCAAGCAGGTGGAGACTAACGTCTGTTTCGTCGCCGAGCGTCTCGGGATCCACATCCTGATAGAGTCGACACTGGGAGCCCCGAGCCCATACCCGTCTTGTTCATAAGCGACCATATGTACACCGTACGTGACGACCCCGAAGAGCGCACAGGCCGCTCTCTCCATGGAGAACAAGTAGTTCCGATCGCCCACATCTACATCCACAGCTCCTTTGGTCTCAGTCCGAGAAAGATCTTCCGTGGGCGCATCAGGTATTGTATACGCGGATGGCGGTCTGTCGGAAATTCGACGAGGGCCGAACGGGTTCGCATACACGTCGTACAACTCGTCGCGCCAGAGTCTACCCCCGATCACATCGTCGAACACACCATTCTCATGCCATTTTCGCAAATACGAGGCCACCGCAGCCGTCCTAAGCGCCGGGGAATCGAGTTCTGGAGTGAAATGAAGACAGCTGGAGGGGACGATGGAGATGCGGAAAGGACAGGACGAAGGCGACGACTCGGACGAGATGTCCTTCTCGATTTGTTCGAGGACTTGTGGGCGTATCAGGCCTAGTGCCGGCGACGAAGGCTCTGGCGATATGCGGAATGGGACGAGGATTTCTGTGGGTGAATAAGGATCATAGTTATCGCACTTGTCGAGCAACTCGAGCAAGCTGAGCTCGAGCTCGCCGTTGCCCGCCATCATCAAAGGCTGAAAGTGAAAGGGGGGCGCCAATCGTACGTATTACGCCCACGTGGTGATCTTCCCACACGGATTGGGCGAGTGGCGAGTGAGTATTGTCTGTTCCCGGCTCTCGCTCGACCGCGTCCTGCAACCGCCTTGAAGCTTCCTTCCTATCCTGTCCTTTCCTCCGCCCTCCGCCATCGTCATCGTCGTCCCCATCGCCGGAGTGCGAGCCCACGTCGTCTAGCACGATGCCGGCGTCACTGGCGTCTTCAGACCCGCTCAGCACGCCGTCGCCGTCGCCCCCGCCTTCGAAATCAACGACGAATGCAAATAACGAATCCCAGCTTTCGATCCACGCCGCTCTACCCGGGGCTGCCCCGTCCGACGTCAACGCGAACCATAAACCCGTCGAGACGAACTCGAAAGGTATGTCCTTCGCCGTTCTGTCTCTGGTACTTACTGAACGACAAACAACACGCATTGACCCCCCGCACGTAGCCTATTCCGGCTCAGAGCTCTCAAAGTCATCATCCTCCCCACCATCCAACATCAACATCAACACCAACGTCAACTCCAGCATAACCGACCCCAACTCGAAGCATAATCATTCTCGCCATCCGTCGTCGCCCCCCACCGACGACGACCCGTCCACGCCCGCGGGGAAACAAGCCGCGGGCTACTCTGGCTCTGAGCTCTCCGACCTCACGGACGAAGAAGACGTCGCGCCGTCTTCTCGAATCAAGTCTCCCCCGAATCCAAATCCATCATCATCATCCACAGCTATGCCCATGTCTGCGCCAGAGCACATCCATAAAGCCGGCGGCAGCACCGCGACGTCGGCCTCCGTCGTCAGTTCGTCGAACGACACGATTCCGGTGGACAGAGATAGGGACAGGGACAGGGACGCGACGAAACGAAAGGCTAAAAAGCGGAGGTCGCTCATACCCGAGCCGCCTTGGGATTGGGCGTATAAGAATATGAAGACGAAGGACGGGAATAATATTCCGAATCCTTTCGATCCGAAGAATAGTGAGCCTCCGACGCATAGGAGGTCGTCTTCCTCGGCTTCTTTAAATAAGCCGAGTTCGTCCAGGATCGCGGCTGGGACTAGGACGAATAGTTATGGCCATGTTCAGAGGGCGAAGTCCACTTTTGACGAACATGACGAAGAGGAGGAGGAGGAAGAGGAGGAGGAGGAGGTAGAAAGAGAAAGAGGGAAGCCGAAGCCTATGGAGGAGGAAGAGGACGAAGACGGGGCTCATCACCGTACGCCACACTTCGATTTTGCCACTCATGCCTCTCAGTCTCTATTTTGCTACGTATCTGACCAGACTTTATGTTTCCTCTTCTCAGAATCTGCTCATTCGCTGGAACGCTCACTCTCCCCGTTCCAGCTCTCTTCTGGCTCATCCTCCTCAACGACCGCCAAAGCAGACCCTCCATACAACCCCAGCTCAGACCCCCCGTCCCCCATCCCCCGTCGTCGAGGGAAGGCTCCATCGCGTCGCGGTCTCAAGGCGACTCGTCTACCCTCCTCAATCGCCTCCTCCTCATCCTCCCGCTCCGCCTCTCCACCAGACCCCAAAGCGCATAAAGACAAAGACAAGGACAAGGACGGAGACGGGGACGTCGAAATGGGCGACGACGTGGAACCTAAAGCGGACGAGATCGCGGATGTAGATGTGGCCATGGCGGAGAGAGATTCGCCCGTGCCACCCTCGCCACTCACACTCACGCCATCGACGTCCAAACCGACATCGAACCATAACGCGCCCTCACCGCGTCCGCATCCTGAAGTCCTACCAATCTCCTCCTCTGGTTCTGGTGGTGGAAATCTGTCTGGAGAACCTTCCACTTCCATTCCCATGACCTTTTCTACCAGCGAGCCAACAACTAATCCTACCGCACCCAACGCAAATCCGACCCTCGCTACCATCTCCAACTCGATCCCCACTACCCACCCCAACCCGAACCCGAACCCGAACCACGATACCCCTCCCAACCTCGCCTCTCTCGCAGCATCAACCCAGAATCAGAACAAAGAAATATCCCCCTCAGCCCTCGATCTCCTCATCGACGCCGCCCCACTCGTCGTTTCCCCTCCCGTTCCGGCTCCCATACCCAATCTCAATGTCGCAGCGCCTGCCGTCTCCGCCGCCGTGACTGTGACCGAGTCGAGTACCCGGGTAACTGCAGCGCCTGCCGTCTCTGCCGCGGTAACTGTGACCGCGTCGAGCACGCGAGATGCGGAGATGTTGTTGGGTATTGCGGCTGGTGGGGGACGGACTGCTCCTGGTGCTCCTGGTGCAGGTGGAGAGAAAGACGCGGAGGGCATGGAAGAGGGGGAGGTTGATGAGGGCGATGGTGACGACGGGGACGGAGACGATGGAGACGGGAACGGCGATGAAGATGGGGACGGGGATGGAGATGGGAAAGACGATGGGAACGACGACGAGAAAGACGACGAGGAGCCAGAGGACGAAGACGAAGAAGACGAAGAGCCCGACCCCGAAGGTGAAGAAGAAGTCGATCCGGACGAAGAAGAGGACCCGGACGTCGAGGAAGAAGACGTAGACCCCGACATCGAAGAGCCAGCCGTTTCCGCTTCCGCCACGGGGACGGTCACCCCGGGGAAAGTCATGCCAATGCCAATGCCACAGGATTCGACGGCGCCGTCACCGGCGCAGGTCGCGCCCATTGCGGCCGTGGCGGCTGCGTCGTCGATTATGGCGGGCTCGGAGGTTATTCCGGAAATTGACCCGGAAGGTGAGGGTGCGGATGAGCCTGAGGTTGAACCGGAGGCTGAGGGAGAGGGAGAAGGAGATGTGGAGATGGAGGCGCCGTCGGAGGTTGAGGCGGAAGTTGAGGAGACGGGAGCGAGAGGGAGGGCGAAGACGAAGCGGGGGAAGGGAAGAGGGGGACGAGGACGTGGTGGGCGGGGTCGCGGCGCTCGTTCTGCAGCCGCCGCCAAGACGACGACCACGCGTCGTATGGGTCTCGGAACGGGGTACGAAGACGCAGAGGAGGAAAGGGAGAAAGAAGGGGAGGACGAGATGGATGTGGATGAGGCGGGGGCGGAGGGCGAGGAGCCTGTAGAAGCAGAAGCAGAAGTTGAGGAGGAAGCAGAAGCAGAGGCGGAGGCGGAGATGGAGAGGGATACGGAGCTGCAGCCGCATCATCGGGCGGAGGCGTTGGATGTGTTGGCGCAGATCGAGCTCAAGTTTGCGTTGTTGAGGGAGAAGGTGTATGTGGAGAAGATGGAGGCGTTGGCTTGGGAGGAGGCGATGGTCGAGGCTGGTAAGCCGGATTCCATCCCCATGATACGTTTATTTGAGACGCTGATTGGGTTCACTTTTTGTTTTGGTGTGGGCTTGTGGATAGACAATCACCCGGAACTGCAGCATCTTCGAGACGAGCTGGTGAAAAGGCGGAATACGAGGCTCGAGCTCGCGGCGAGAAGGAAGGAGTTGGAGATCAAAAACACGCTTAAGAGGCGGAGGGCGAATGAGGATGCGGTTTGGAGTTGGTGGCATGTGAGTCTCGTATTCTCTATACTTCAAGTGTTGTCATACTTATTCCCCTCTAGAATGCGAAGGGCGAGCTGCAAACGGAGATGATTGCAGAAACGAACAGGAAGAGGAGAAAGTTAGAGAGAGAACGAAGAGCAGCAGAGACTCCACCATCCAGTATGTTCTCACTTCACTTCGTTGTTCCTTCTATAGCAATACTGACCAAATGCCCACGACTACAGTGCACCGCATGCCAGAACGTCCGCTACAGGTTCCTATCGCCCCCTCTTTCTACGAGATCGTCCAAGCCCAATCCAACTCGACCCATGCACACCACCTCACCCCCGACGGCCTCCATCCCCACTCCCGCATCCCTCCCCCACCACTCGTCTTCCCGTCTCTTTCCTCCCTCCCTCCAGACCTCATCACCCACGACCTACAAACAATATACTACGCCAACCAACGAGCCTACGAGCTGCACAGACCACTGCCCATGAACCCCGGCCCACCCAGTGGTGGCGGAAGTCTCTCAGCAGGCCTATACGGACCTATACCCGCCAACCCACATGAAGTGATGCCAATAGGCTACGTCGGCGGGCCACCATCCGGTCCTGGACCTATGATGGACGGCTTTGGCGGTGGTCCGACGAGGTCTATAGGGCCTAGGGAGCGGGACAGGGACAGGGACAGAGACAGGGAGGCGTTGAGTATGGGGATGGGGCTTGGAGTTGGCGCGTCGGGCGGCGGCGGCGGTCCGTCGTCGTCGTCGTCTTTGAATGGAAGGAGAGGACAGCCTGGAGGTCCGCCTCCGCCTCCTATGGGACCTGGATCGCATATGCTCGATGGGCCGGGAGGGGGGCCTCCGCCTCCGATGGGAGGACTGCCGCCTTTGGGAGGGGGTCCGTCGACGAATGGACATGGACATGGGTATGTGGTGGGGCCTGGGGGACCGGGGATGATGGGGAGTAGGTCGATATCGCCGGTGCATGTTATGGGTGGAGGGCCAGGTGGAGGAGGGCCGAAGATGAATGGGTGGGGTGCAGGGGCGTCCGCTGTGGCGAGGGAGAGGGAGAGGGAGATGGAGAGCAGGAGACGAGATGATGAGTTTTATAGATTAGAGCGAGAGAGGGAGAGGGAGAGGCATGAGCAGCGTGAACGCGAGAGGGAAAGAGAACGGGACAGGATAGATAGGATAGAGCGGGAGAGGCTTGAGCGGGAGAGGGTGATGGATATGCAGTTCAGGATGGGTCCTGGGTCCCAGGGATCGCCGGCCGCAGCGGCAGCGGGTGCTGCAGCGGGACACCACCACCACCATCATCACCATCACCACCACATCGTTCATCGACATCATCAGCAGTCTTCAACACCCAATGGGCTTGGGGTCGGGGGTCCGGCTTCAAGACCGATGTCTCCTCTTTCTCAAGCTCAAGCACAAGCTCAGTCACTATCCCAGTCTCAACACTCTTCGCAGCCTCAGTCGGCACAACTCAGTCCTCGCATCCCACATCCTCCTCATTCCGTACACGAAGCTCCCGAGCAACCCCGACCTCACTCCGGGTCCTCTACCACCGAAATTATCAATATTAATCCAAACACTCGACAACAGCTCTGGCGTCCCGAGGATGGCAAGAGACTCGCGAAAGAGTCTGCCGCAGCCCCCCCCTCTGGACCTGGAGGCAGTAACATTCTTGGGCCACATGAGAGGCTCATGACGCCTTTCGTGATGACTCCGGCTCAAGCTCACCAGCATCAAGTTGACCAACAGGCGCAGAATCGATCGGCTACTCAGTCAAGGAGGAGCTCTTTCAACGGTAACGGCGGTCCTGTCATCGTGAGCGAGGTGCAGTCTTATAGTACTTCACCGCCGGAACCTCCGCGAAGGTCCAGCCTTGGAGGGCCTGGTTCAAACGCGACGCCCATGCCCGCTCCGGCCCCCGTTTCGAGACAACCTTCCCCAGCTTCATCTCGGAATACTCGACTTCCTCCACCTCCGAGCCCTTCGACGAGCTCGACTGAACGTCCTAGGACTGCTGGTGCTACCACACCGCTCACACCGTTCGGTCCACCTCCACCTCCCCACATGGTCAACAAAGGTCTTGGATCGAGCTCATCCATCAGTCCTACGTCGAAAATGGCGGTCAGTACGATATCACCCGCCTTGCCCAAGATACACGGTCCTTCACCTCCGCCAACCAAGATGATGATCTTGGACGGAATGCCGAACGCCACCGCCACATCTGGACCTGCCGTCTCCAGCACCTCATCCAGCATGTCCCCCACAATACTTCCCCCACCGTCAACGACTGCCACAGTGATGACTGGTCCTGGTGTGGCGCCCGCACCGGTCACATTACCACCGTTGAACGTTAACGTGCAAAACGCACACGTCGGATCACCCCTTTCTGCTCCTACCCCTTCGACGCGTCCGCAGGGTTCAGCACCAGGAGTTTCGCCTGGTGGCGTGCAATCGGGATCTGAACCCGGACAGGCACCATTTTTGCCTGCGCCAACACCGTTGTCGATGATGGTACCCAGAGCGGGTTCCATCCAGACCGATGTCCCGGGCTCGGCAGGAAGTAATGGTGCTAATGGTTTGATTAAATCGGGGACGCCTACGCCTGTACCTGCGCCAGTTTCGGCTGCAGGAGTGAAGGTTGGGGACGCGTGAGTTATGATATGTAAGGCACGAACTTGAATTCCTCTCCTCAGGATCTTCCCGTTTCTTTATGTTTTGAGAACTGTCTGTCGCATTATCTGTTCTGTTTCCGCTTTTCCTCGAGTTTCTCTCAGTTCTAGTTTTCAACTGGTCATATTTCTTGACTTTTTCCCCCTTTTATCGTCTCCGTCGTGTTTTTCTCCCCCTTCTACACAGTTCTATTTCTATCTCATATGTTCTTGTCTGTGCTTATGCTTGTAGCTGTACAATCCGATATGGGCTGGATAACGATGAGCGCCCTCGGGGCAGCCGTGTCTGTTGGATCATGAATGCCACCCCTCAACTTTACCCGATAGGCTGTCACCGTCTGATCAGCGTCGTGATTTTTCTCTGACAGCCATACCGACTAAACTCGAAAATCTCGATGTGATAATTCTAATTTTGCTCGCAGTGTCGTACTTTCACCCCGCTTTGCTGGTCATGCGCTTGGACGTCGCTTCAGGCTTTGGACTTCTTCGAAGTTCGCGGTCCGCTCGGGTCCTGCGGGGCGTAGAGGTACGTATGTGTTCCTTTTTGCTTCTCGATTTCTTTGCTGCGAGCTCACTGGGAGAACCTCTTCTGTGTCGATTTGACTCAAGGTTGACTGGAAGAAGAATCGGTGTGAGCTCCCACTGAGGCCCAAAATCTGCGTTCCACCAGCATCTTCATTCCAAGGTGGAACATCATGCATGCCTGTCTGTGAATATCGCAAACTAACCCTGGACTTTTGACCCTGTGCGCCTCCTAGACCCTACCGTCCTCGTGAACAGACTCAGAAGCACACCGTCCCGCTCAGCTGCTTCGTTTTGCTAAGTTGATCCCTCATGACGATGATATACGCTCACTGACGGCGCCTCGCGCTATATATCCTTCGAGAGTCGACGCATGAGCATTCCTGAATCCTGACGATCGCGACTCGCGTTATATCCTCTTTTTTGCACCTCGTCTGGACCACCATGCGCTTGGCAGGACGGATTGTGTGTTTGACGGGATTGGTGGTTGCGACGGTGGCGCGTGGGGTAGACGCGACGACGTTTGCGAAGAATTGTACGGTCAGCCCACTTGGGGAGGGGATCGACGATACGCCTCAGGTGAGTCCATTGTCTCCGAGCATAATACATAATATAATGATTTATGAACGCGGACTCCAATAAGGTATTGGCTGCAATCGAGGAATGTGGGCATGATGGGTTGACGACTTTTACACCGGGAGCGTATAATATCACGAAGTAAGTGCGTTCAGGGAGAGATGTTGCGTTTATCTGACCGTGCTCTGGAACATATCGTAGCAAAATGACCTGGGACCTTCAGAATAGCAGAGTCGATCTGCATGGCTTCTTGACGGTATGTTTGACTCTCCATCAGCTTAGCTGTTGCAAGGGAGCTGACCGGACGTGCGCCATCATTAGTTCCCTCCAGACATCGACTTTTGGCTTAACGCGAACAATACCTACCGCGTCATATTCATCCAGGTTCGTCGCCGCTTTCATGAATTTATTGTCGTATAGATTAGCTGATGGGTACTGCTCTTTCAGAGTCAAGCATCCTGGTTCGTTATTACGGGAGAGAACTTCACCGTCGACGCGCATAACACGGGAGGTATAAACGGTAATGGTCAAGTACGTTGTATCTCGTAGGCGCATAGACTACCTAAACAGGTCCTCTGACATGCCATTGGACAGCCTTGGTGGTCCTTCTTCGCCAATCGAACCCGTGACGACGGAGACGGACGCCCCGTAGCCCTCACGCTCTCAAATGTCACCCACGGCCGCATCTCGAATTTCCAGATACAGGCGCAACCGTTCTGGTGTAATGCTGTCGCAGACTCAGTGGATGTGGTGTACGATGGGATGCTGTGCAATGCTACAAATAGCGATCCTGCTGGGTTTGGAACGAAGTACGTTTATTTTCTCGGCATTTTACTCATGGAAAGAATCATTGTTTTACTGATGTTGTGGACATGGTATGACGATCATAGTATCGTTCCTAACACGGATGGTGAGTGCTATCCGGGTGGGCTTTTCAATGATGTTCATTGTTCCCTGATGCGCGGCTACAGGCATTGATACATACCGCTCCGACCGTGTTACGATGGTCAACTGGGATGTGCGCATCTTACTACCGTCCACCCAGAACTGTATTGATGATTGGACGCCGTTAGATTACCTGCGGCGACGACTGTCTCGCAATCAAAGGGGTCCGTCGTCACTGCTTCAAATCCGCTGCTGTGCCTATACTGACTCGGTACTTGTGAATCAGAACTCGACAAATCTCATAGCACAAAACATTACTTGCCACGGTGGAAACGGTAAGCCAGTCCACAGCATTTCCATCTCGACGTGCGGCTTATATTTGGATTCCGTTTAGGCATAGGTATTTCCAGTTCATGACATTGTTTCCTCTTCAAGTACGCGTCAGAAAAGCTAAGTGGCACTGGTCCTCTTCTCCAGCCTTCGGAAGTCTCGGTCAATACGTCGGCCTTGTAAGCGCGCATGCTGTCCTCTTTCTCTCGCTGAAGATGCTGATAGTCCGTGGCATGCTAGAATGACCTGGTCATCAACGTTACGATGAACGACGTCAAGACTCTGCGCATAAACTCCACGATTCAACCGAACATGCAGAGTGGTGTACGTTCATACTGAATCCCAGTCTCTGGTTATCGCTGATCCACGGCTAATACTCCCTGGATTCTTTTCGTACAGGCTTACTTCAAATCTTGGACCGGCACCGTTAACGGTGTCCCTCCGGTTAATGGCGGTGGTGGTGGAGGTATGTACATCAAGTCCAATGCTACCCAGAGCCCGCCAACACTTATTTCTCCTTATGAACAGGGTTAGTCCAGAACGTTACTCTGAGTAACTTCTTCCTGGACCAAGTGGACGTCCCTACCCTCATCAGTCAAAATAACTCCGGACATGCGTGCGTACGAAATCTCGGTAAAATCTGACCATTCGTTCTCACTTCCATGATGGTTCTGTCCTCGGGATTATAGTGGTGATGCGCCGTCAACCTTGGAGTTCTCCAACATCACTTGGTCGAATTGGACGGGTACATCGACAGGCGCAACCTGTATGTTCTGCTTTATCACATCAATAACCTAGTCCCTGTGTTTCCCTGTTAAAGTAGCAGTTGCTTACTAACGTCTTTCTCTTACCTTAGTGGTTGAGCTGACATGCAGCTCCGCCGCGCCATGTCCCAACATGTTCTTCGAGAATTTCAACGTGACCGTTCCGAGCGACGCTACTCCCGCATTCACCTGTAGCAACGTTATTAACGAAGAAGGGCTACCTAGCGGTACGTACCCTGTCAGATCCTGTCCAAACCATAGCAGTGCTCTCGATTGACTGCGATCTATATTTACCTTTCGTTCGCAGCAGCATGCGGCAATTCGAGCAGCTCTTGATCGTGTTCGTCTCGTATGAGATCGCTTCGGTTGTAAACAGCTTCGAGTGTGTATTGTGATTCAGAAATAACATGCAACGGAGGCAGAACTTCACCGAGTTCTTCGATGGCTACTACTTATGGGACCAGAAAGACGAAATTTATCGAACTTACATGGCCCGCTTGGGCGGTATTGACGCTGGTCGGGTATGCCTTTCGTAAGTCACCTGCTTTCACTCCCTCGACCATCGGTTTGAGGGCAGTTGCTGGGTCAGCACGGACTTGTGTGGCGGGGACTTGAATTTTGAAGTACAGTGCCACCTGAAAGATATGCAATGGCTTGGTGGTGTTACTGTTGGTATGAAATATTTTGAACAGATTGTTGCACGCAGGGAATCCTGAGTTTGGATCTATGCCGCGTCGCAGCTGATATACTCTTTGAATATTTCTGTATGTCTCTCCCTTGGGTGACTTGCCGCTGGATAAGAGTATATTCGACCTTAATGATTCTTTTTGGTGATGTGTGCTATGGGCTAGTGTCTTCATCGGTATAGTACTAGTGTAGCTCTTGTTGTGGTCCCTTGTTTGCGTTCTGAGAGCACAAATCGTTCGATGAGCCCGGGGGCCGGTCATGACAAAATTAGAGACTTGAGAGAAAGATCACCGTTCCCCCGGGGCCTCGGACTGCCTCGGAAGCAAAGTCTGGATGTTTACTTATGACGTAACTATTTTAGCGCCGGGACAAATTGAGCAACAAAGTAATAGCGCCCACAATTAGCGCCCGTACACCGACATTGGCAGCATCGATATCTCGTATGTTCGTACATCCTCCCAAATCGTCTCAAAAAGACACTGGTCAATATGCTTGACGTCTACATCTTACACAGGGATCAGCCAGCCATTGCTTTTTTGCTACCATGTCCCACAGGTGGTCGACGGCACCGTGATCGGTGCAGTTACCATCAAATTCTTGAATTGAGAACATCAGCCGACGGTACACGCTGCTAAATATCCAATCACTAGACTCAAGTGCACCGCCCATGGTCCTTCCATGTCAGTTTGCTATCAAATCGAGACGTTTTCGAGCGCGCTGGCCCTTCCGTCTTTGTCCCCCCCGTATTTGTTAGCTTCACCCTACGCGAAGGAGGTGCACCCTCTGTCTGCCGTCTCTCTTAACGATCCAACTCAGTGCGTAGGTGTCTGTAGGAACTTGTACTCCAGAGGGTTCCCTATATCTATCCAGCAGCCTACGTTCGTCGTGTTGTCGAGGCGATCCAGACTCTAAAGCAGCCGGTCTGATTAATTTCAAGACAAGATCATACGCACGGGCTGTGCCATCCCACCGCACCCCACCTTGATCCCGGCCAACCTTTCCCCTCTTGTTGCACTCTTTCTTTTCGACGACCATCATGTTCAGTTCGCTGCCGACGTCCATGGTCTCCACATTGGCCGTCATCCTCACGGGCATCCTCTCCATCTCCCCTGCCTCCGTCTCTGCATCGATATCACCCGCCGCGTATCCTCTGGCTATACGGAATCCATACTTCGCGACATGGATCAGAGCAACAACGAGTTCTGGAGCTTGGCCAACTACAGCAGTGTGTTTCTTCCACCTTGACTTATCCCTGTACTCTTGACTTACAATGCGTATTGACCACGATAGGGAGGTACCATTGACGGCTGGGAGGGATATGTCGCTGTCGATGGCCAAAACTATCAGTTCCTCGGCCAAGGTCTATCAACGTATGCGAATAACACAAATTTGACCGCCGCAACAGGTGAGTATACTCAGAAATCTTACGGCAATTATTCCCACTGACACAAGATCTGGTGTTTAGTAACACCTACCAGAACGACGTGGACCATGAAGGCGGGGAACATGGAGGTCAATGCCACATTCTTCAGTCCTATCGAGGTGCGTTCAATGTCTCTTTATTTTTTGCTTTCCTACCCCCTACTTCGTGGCCTTCCCGAGGAAGGTCATCAAGTCATGTACTTTGCCACATTTAGGTTGATCCGGTGGCGAAGCTTCTACATCGAACGGACGCTGATGTGCTGATATTTGATCTCTTCCAATACATATTTGCTTCGTTGTCGTAATGTAGCCCGGAGATTGGGCTCGCCAGTCAATTCCTTTCGTCTATCTATATTTCGAGGCATCAAGTTTGGACGGAAACTCTCATAGTGTGCAGGTCTATGCCGACGTTTCTGCTGGTGCGTGGATTTTTTATTTAGATGAGAATGGCTGGTGCTAACTCCGAATGGCACGAAGAATGGATCTCGGGAAATAAGAGCTCACTTGCGACATGGGGCACGACAATAGACACCAACAGCGTTTATCACGCCGTCTCACTGCAATCGCCGCAAGAGTTCAGCGAGACGAGCGAGTTGGCGGACTGGGGAACTCTGTACCATGCGATGAAGCAGGTTCGTCTATTTCACATCTTATACATCTTATAGAATTTACAATTCTTACCGTCGGACAGACATCAGCACTCACGTACAGGACGGGCGTGGATGCAGACTGTCGCACCATGTTCCAATCAAAGCAAAAGTTGGACAACACCCAAGATTCAGGTTATCGCGCTATTGACGAGTACGGCCCATCCTCCTATCTCTTACCAAATTGAAATGCTCAACTTGAACTTGCACATAGCTCATATCCCGTGTTCGCCCTCTCCCAAGACCTCGGCACGATTTCCTCCACCTCGCAACCCATAGTTTGGGCACTCGGCTACGTCCAAGACCCTGCAATTCGCTACCAAGATCTGGATGGGTCGAACCAGGACCGCGGGCTGTACTACAACTTGAACTACACCTCCGCCGATGCGCTCATCAATGCGTTCCTGGATGATTTCAGTGACGCGAAGAGTAGGGCGGACACGTTGGATGCGAAGATCTTGGGCGATGCGGGGGGCATCAGCAGCTCGTATGCGGATTTGATGAGCTTGAGTGTAAGGCAGACGTTGGGTGGGATGGTTTTGACGGTGGCGAACGGGACGGATGGAAATTACAATTCAAGTGATGTGAGTCCATCTCTTATTTCTTTTTCTGCGTGTTTTGCTAGGAGGGAGGCCTAAACATTCGGGTTGGCTAGGTTATGATGTTCATGAAGTCCGTCGGCGACAGCAGCGAGAAGTGAGTCTTTTCATCGCCGAAACATAGTCTTGCGTCGTTACTGATTTTTTGGTGGCTTCGTGCAGCCGAGTGAACGCCGTGGAGACCCTCTATGCCGCCTTCCCCATGATCATGTACATCGATCCGACCCTCGGTAGACTCCTCTTAGAACCTCTCTTCCGCTTCCAGGCTTCGTCCAAGTACACCAATGTTTACGCCGCCCAGGATATCGGTATGTTGTCTGAAATGCTCCTTCAGGATCTTGATTTATAGTAATATCGGGGATGTTTAGGCTCCTCGTATCCTCTCGCCGCTGGAAGCACTCAATCACACACCCAGAGGATCGAACAGTCGTCGAACATGATTATTATGACCTATGCTGCTGCGCGCGCTACAGGAGACGGAAATCTTGCGTTCAAATACGTAGGTCTTTTCTCTCGAGATGAATCCTACGTCGTGGCGGGAGCTAACGATATACTTATACGATCTAGTATGATCTTCTCAAGACTTGGACGGACAACTTGGTCAACACAACGCTTTACCCTGCTGCGACTGAGTATGTACCCCCATCAGACTCAAAACATGCGTCAATTACTTATTGTTCCTGATCATGGTTTTTAGAACTTCAGCCGATGCTGAAAGTACAGGAAACAGCACCAACTTGGCTCTCAAGGGTATCATCGCGATCAAGGCCATGTCCGAGCTAGCAAGTGCCTTGGGCCAGAGCAGCGACGCTTCATCGTACTCTGTAAGAGTCTTTCTTCCTTCAAGTCTTGCTTCTCATTCTGAGATGCCTTTGTTTCTAGAGTACCGCATCGAGCTATATCAACACGTGGTCTTCCCTCGCCATCTCAAGCTCGAACTCCCTCTTACTTTCCTACGGCAACTCCGGGTCCTCCAGCTACGGATACAACATCTTCGCCGATCTATGGCTAGGCACCAACCTCGTCTCATCCACCATTCTCTCCGGCCAAACCAGCTTCATCGCCTCCGCATCCACCGACTCGTCGAAGTACGGTCTCGTCGTTGACAGCTCTGATCCTATCTCGGGCAAGAGTTATGCGCCGTGGAACATGTTCGAAGCTGCCATGGTCGGAAAGAGCAGCACGAGCGCGAGGGACCAGATGATTACCTTGGTGCACAATTTTGCGTCGGACAATTCGAACACAGGACCGTTCGCAACAGTTTACGACCCTAGTAGTGGTGCGGAAAGCTCGGGAGTGGGAAGTCCGGCTGTGGGTGCTATGGCTGCGCCACTTGCCCTCAAGTGCGTTTTGCTCCTTTTGTCCACTTGTGTTCTCGATGCTCACAGTTTTTCGTGTACAGTGTTGCCACGAAGGACATCACTTACTCTTCAACTGGTTCTTCCACCTCGTCTTCGTCGTCATCTTCCACAAACGCAGGTGCCATCGCCGGTGGCGTCGTTGGCGGTCTTGTCGGCCTTGGTGCCATCGTGGCCTTTATCTTCTTCTTCCGCCGCCGTCAACGCAACACATCCACATCTGGCCGCGGACCAGTCACGCTCGATACCTCAGCCTACTCCGGCCCTATCATGACTCCCTTCGAGATGGCAGAGGCTCCATATGCCGACTCTGACAACACCGATGCCGCTTCGAGACCTACTACAGGCAAAGGTTCGGTCGTTCCAACGCAAACAGCGCGTGTGACTCCACCAGGAGGGTATAACAGCGCTTCGTATCCTCTGATGCCGATGTCCGTGTCAACTTCGGACGGGAGGTCACGGTCAGCTTCTGGATCTGCGTATACTCCGAGTGCACCACCGTCAGAATCGGCACCGGGAGGGGCAGGCCAGACCGCGACGGGAACTGTGGTGACGAGTCAGATGGACGCAGCAGCGAGGAAGAGGGCAGAGGCTGGGTTGCCGCCACTCACTCTACATGGGCCTATGAGCCCTACGAGCGACGTTGGCACTTCTGCACTGCCAGCGGGGATGTACTCGTCTCAACGGCCAGGCTCGTCGCACACTGCTTCAGGCTCGGGATCACAACCAGTTGATGGCCCGCAGGACGATGGGTTGAGGACGGAGGTGGAGAGGTTGAGGAGGGAGATGGAGCAGATTAGGGCGGAGAGGGAGATGCCTCCAATGTACAGCGATTGATTGTGAATGATTTTACTCCCTTGGAGGACTCTGGCTCCTGACCTTTCCCTTTATTATTCTTATGTTCTTTAACCCTCGTTTTCCGCGTTCAGTGTTGCTACGCTCATGATTTCTATGTTGTGTTCATTGCCACACTCCTTTCTGTTCCTCGAGTCTTGCTCCTGGTGCCCGTTTGGGCTCTGATTTTACCCTACTGTCTAGTTATACCTTGCTGTCCTTTCCTACCGGTTTCCTTGATCATGATGACTATTTATTATGCTAGGTGCATACAATACGATTGAGTACATCTCACAAAACAGATGGCGGTGCATTCTTTCACAGAGAATCGACTGGAGCGTTAGCCACGCCGTTGAATTTGAATTTTGCCCACCCAACGCCACACAACCCTTGAGCTCTTGAGCAGAAGTGTGGCGTTCACGGTAAGTCCAAAATCGTTCGAATACTACTGCCTTTCGGGCCACGAAGAATCCAGTACCCTCTCTCTCTCCAATTACTATAAACGAATATCGTGGACCAGCCATGCGTTGCATTCAAAATATAACGGGTGTGAATGTTTACAGAGCTCTAGCGGAAATGAATGTAATGAACCATCGAGCCAAGTCATGTTTCGTAGTGAAGGTTGATCTCCAGACCTTCTTCCTTCCATCCATCCAGCCGCTCATACAACTTCCCATTCCCGCCTCCCTCATTTTGCTTCATCATCTCTAGATCACCTCCATGAACAACTAACCTCTGCAGCTTCTTGATCGCTCTACCGTCCCTATGCACAGCACCAGTCGGGACATTCCACCTCGATCCCACCATCTTCACAAACTCATGATACAACCCACCATATTCCTTCCCCTCATGATCGACCTCCGTGGCCAACCCACTCGTAGAGACAGGTCTATAAATCATCAGCTCCTCAAGGATGGGGCTACATCCCGCGATGAGTTTCGGCGGGTCTGGTCCAGGCCCAGCGCGGTCCGAATCGTCAGAGTCGGAGAAGCAGTCAAAGTAGAGCGTGAGTGCGTCGAAGAGGAAAGCCGACATATTGTTATGGCCTATCCTCAAAGTCTTGAGATTCGGAAGCCCGAACAATGCCTCCCTCAAATAATCATCAGGAATCCCGCACCCCTCTTCGAGACTGAGTGTATGGAGCGTCTGCGAGCAAGGACTCAAGAACTGGAGGAAAGCGTCCTGGATGACTTGGTCCCATTCTTCTGGATCGCGGAGCTCTGTGGTGAGGGTGAGGGACGTGAGGGACGGGCAGGAGATATTGCCGAGGAGGGCGAGAAGGTGATCTGTTTCTGGAACAGAGAGGGACAGAGAGGTGAGGGAGGTGAGACACACTCTGTCGGCGACTGTGACGTTATGGGCGTCTATCTCTTTCACGATCTCGAGGGTGAGGGAGTTTAGGTCGTGACAGTCAGATAGGGCCGTGAGGAAGTCGTGTAGCGCAAAAAATGGAAGGTCGTCTATATCGCGAGACCCTGCGGGGTCTTGAGTGTAGTGTAAACTCGACAGTTGTGACCAGGGAGCGTGCCAGCCTGAGAGAGTGCAATCCCCGATCGTCAAGTCTTTGAGAGCCGGGAAGGAGGAAGTTGGAAGGGTAAATGAACGTGGGATACCGTCAAGAGCTCCAGGGTCGGGACCAGCTTCGATGGATAGGACTCGAAGAATTGGGTAGCAGGAATGTGGTTGGCTTAGGGAAGTATGCTGCCGAGGCTCGACACGAGCGAAATTGATCGCCGAGAAATCAAGCCCAGGAGTAGTGAAGAATACTTCCTCCCATCTCCCTGCATGCTCTCCAAGCACATTCATGTAGTGGGTGAACACCCATGCCTCCTCCATGTCTGTGAGAAACTCGATAACGAGGGGCATGTTTACCGACAGCTCAAGCCAAAGTCTCAAAGTCTGGATGAAGCGCAGATCGTTTCTTCTGAGGAGATTTCGCGTGTCCATGATGTTGAGATTCGTCCACAGGCGGGGTATATCGAGGACAACAGAACGCCATTGGCTGCATACCCGAGAGAGGGCGATCGGATCACCGTTGTTCGCGTATAAGGGGTTTTTATGACGCTGAGAAACGCCTGCAGTGACGAGAGGATCGGTGAGGAGGAAGATTTTGGAAAGGATTTCGAATGGAAGTGCCTGGACACCGCGGTAGATAGCCATGATAGATGCAAAGAGGTAAGCTGAAGAAAGTAGTCCGTGAGGTGGAAGCGTGTTCGCCTCGGTGAGTGCGTCAAATGTCCTACAGCAGGTAGAGCCTTTATATAAAAACGAACCGAAGGCACTCTGCCATGGGCCCGCCACTCGTCCACGCGGGAAACACGACAATGGCGGATGCGAAACATGGCGGTCAATGACCAAAGGGAGCGATCGTTGTCAACCCAAAGGATACCGATGAACTTCGTTGTGCAGGCTATGGGTTTGGCACTGGTATGGTTCATTTTAGTTACACAAGGCAGATCTCATGACAAAGTGCACCCCAGGTTGGCACGTCAAGATGAGCGGCATCAATGAACGCTTCAACGTCCACTTTGACACCAGTCGATCCCTTTGAGACAGGTTGCCTTCTGGATAGGTATCTAAGGAACAGTTCAATTGACACCCCATCGAAATATATAACGAGCAGAAACAGTCTGAGAAGTCGCCTAAGAGATATACCTTGAAAACAGAGTCGAGCGTGCGCCGTGCGGTTTACTTCAGTGAAGTACATTGCACGGCAGGTTGATCTATACACGTACTTGTCTCTGGCACCGTGTTCCGATCAAGATATGATTATCACGAAAGGCGATATACATGGCACAAGTCGGTATCTGTAACAACAGGCGACGACGACGGTCATAGCTGGCACGGTTTTGTTTTGAGAGGTTGGTATAGGACTCGAGTCATCTTGAATCCTATAATTCTCTGGAAGGTTGGCGTAATATTTTATAGGGGTAAAGGCAGAAAACGAGCTGGAAAGCAGATGCCGAGAAGGTCAGGGACAAGGCACTTCTTGGAAGAAGTCGGAGAACGACTGATAGTAGTAGAACCACGGTCGAGGTGAACGTGGCATGGCCGCATGGGCACCAACGAAGCGATGGGAGAACTAAGCCACAGTTACAAGATGCTATGCATACACACCATGGCGTATACAGGCCTTGAACTTGAAAGAGACAAAGCGCTAGCGATCTTTGAGTTTTTGAAGGCCGACGCTCTATTCCGGGAGAAAAGCGTTGAAATGGGAGGGGGGCTGGCCAAGGCACCGGTGCCGACTCGTAGCACGAGGGCGGAGCAGCGGGCATTTGTAAAGCTTTGCCGATGACGAAGAAGCCGTTCGTCCTCGCTTTCCCGATTCGGCAAGGCTCGTTTCGCCTTTCTGGCCTTCCTCTCAACGTCGTTCGCCTCGTCCTCGGCGGTCCCCCCTCCTTTTTCTCTCTTTCTTTCTTCGCGTTCTCCCTCTTGTCTCGGCGTCCCGCTCTGGCCCGTCAAAAAATAGGTCATTGAAGCGCTTTGTTGCCTACTTCCGGGATATTTACCGTCCGAATCGTAGTTCTCCATTCGGTGAGTGGTTGATGCTCTCCATTTCACCAACCTTTTCTCGATATACGGAGATAGCGCTTCCATTTCTCGCGACCGTGTTGTTATTCCAGCACCAGATGTCTAGGCTTCATGATATCAATCCTTGTACACGTCTGCAGGCCGACGAGTCGCTTTTTGCCTCCACAGGAATTCTTGCTGACAACTATTCTCCCTTTCCCGTGTGGTTTTTGAACTTGTAGGGTCTTGCTCGAACGTCCGTCTTTTACCTGGAAAACCCGGTCCATCCTTTTTCTGGTGTGTTGTTTGCTCGCTGAACGCTCTGCTCATCTGGATTTGGTGAGTCCTCGTCTTCTCATTACTTAAAATCCGAACGGGAATGCATCACGCATACTCTCCGCTTCAATCGAACTTCACCGCCTCCCGAAGCACGGCTGCTTAGCGCAATTAAACATATTGCAGACCGTATCACGAGTGCACGCCACACACTGTGGCCCAATCTATATACTCTAGCAGTAGACCTCCTGGTCGATTCTTTGTGATCCGAAATCTCTGAAAGAATCATTCGGTGAATTGCAGATTATGTGAAGCTTTGAAGACCGATCTTAGTGCGCTTCGTTCCACAGAATGATCGACAGCGTTAGACCATAGAGTACACCACCCACTATCCCAGTTCTGATCGTGTTTCACTATAAATAATTGCTACCGATAGCTGATGCCAAAACTCTCCCATCGATGACCATGTCCTGCAGGCCGTCATCCTCGCTCTAACTCGTCTCCACGGCAGCTTCATTGGCGACCCGGACCTCAACCTCCGCAGTATAGTTGGACACTTGGTTGCACCTGTATGTCAAGCCGCCCTTTGGATGTTTACGATGCCGCTGACTGCTCTTACTCCAGCCATTTACACAAGAGAGACGCTCGAGTATCGATCTGTCCCTTTGCTCTTGCGATATATCTGCAAATTCTTCGATTATCCCTTGTCGTGGCCAACGCTCAGCATGTTGCTTCGGATTCTACCCGACTCCAAGGTCCCCAGTGTCCTATTTACACTTTCCTTTCCTCACCTTCCCCTCGATCTCCCATGTCCGCCATCTTGGAACGCCTATCTGCAACGTCTTGCCGTAGAGGAGCTCGAGCTTCCCCGTGATCTTCATTCCCTGGATAAGGCGGCGTGGATCTCAACTATATTGGCTGAGGTCACTTTTGATATGACGAGAGGAGTTGTTCGGGCACTTTTCATCGACGAGACCGTCCAGGAATGGCCTCTGATGGATAAGACTTGTTTGATCACCTTGGAGGGTATCCTTAAGGATGTCAACTTGTCGACTATGGACTTTTCTGCACCTAAAGAGAGGGCTGTCGAGAAACCGACCGAGACCCGACCACCCACACCTTCAAAGTCTGTGAAGCACAAGAAGCAAAGGTCGTTGCTAGCGTCCCTGGTAGCGTATGTTTTCTTCGCCCTCATCCTGTGAAAAACCTCAGTTGATCTTCGGCGTCGATACACAGTCTGGTCTCCCTACCGTCGTCTTCGTCATCCTCTCGTTGCTCTTCTCCGCCTCCCGAGTCTCCCGCTCCATCCATCCGACCGCTCCCCTCATCTGCTCCATGTTCTCGCCCAAGCTCTCCTCCTCCATCGTCGGATCCCATAGTCTCCCAGCGGATCCTCCGTCGTCGTGCACGAATTGCCCTCATGGACGCTTACCGCCGTTTCATCGTCTCTGAGCTGAAAGAGCGTCTCCACCCTTCCGGCTACTCGGCATGGATAGTCAACTCCATGCTACGGCGCGCTTCCGACCACATGTCTGCTCTAGTCGACCAAGCGGGTGGCGCTGTACCCGATTTACGGCAGTTCTTGCCGTTCCCAATGGACGAGGGCGACCCGATGGGGATGTACCATGAGGACTCGCATCACTTTGAGAGTCAGACGCAGGTGGATGAGGCTGCTTTGTTCGATTGTGATGAGGAGAGCGGGGATGGCAGGAGTTTGAGCACGGATACGGACGGGTCCTCGGTTCATACACCTTTGCATACGCCAACCTCGTGGAGACAGAACTCGATCAGTTCTTGGAGTGCCCGTTCGGATGCAGATGCAGATGGAGAGTTCGCCACATCGTCTTCGTCGTCTGGACCACCGCGCTCGCCTTCGCCACCCGCGTTCACGCAACAAGATATCGATACATATGTCGGCCTCACGAGACAATCGCTCCATCTACGCAGGCTACTTGTGCATATGGATGTAATGCAGAAGGCCGTAGAGTCGGATACGAAGCAGCTTTTGACGGTACTCGAGATCAAGTCCAAACGAAGGGCGTGGTCGAATCGTCAATTCTGTGGCGGAGCGGGCATGAAAGACTTGGGGCTGGGCCAACCATTCAGGAGCTCTCCTTTGGTTCTGTACGAACCCATTGGCGCGGCCGGCATGACAAACAGTCAGGTCGTAAGAGCGAACAGGGAGAGAAGGTACCCTTCTGCCTCAGAACTGTTCCCGATGTCACTGTCGCCTTCGCCTTCGAATGATGACTATGAGGGAAGCTCGGTAACGAGCTCGCCGAAGGAGGGTGGTTTGACGCTGGAGGTTCCTCATCCGAGGATCAGGTTGAGGACGAAGAGTATTGAGCAGTTGAAGGTCTTGGATCAGGGTTTGGAGAACGATATGAAGGACTCGAGGATGCCTTCGCCTCCACCTCTTCCGGTCTCTCCCCCGTCCCCGTCGCGGAGTCCTTTACCATCTACTACGAATCCCGGTCACGGCCATGCTCATTCCGCATCTCTGCCGTTTGTGGCTGCGCCGGTGCCACAGAAACCGGAGAGACATATGTTGTTCGAGCCGGACTTTCAGATGGGTGGTGGGAGGGCGAGAGGTGAGATGCTGGAGATGCCGTTGGGCACTATGATTGAGGCCTTAGACGATATTGAGAGGGACCTTGAGGCGGGGTTGACTCATGGCCAGAGAAGGTATGAGAGGGATGAATGGTTGCCGGGGATCGTCGTTGGCGAACGCTGAGGTTTGGATTTCTCTTTGACTTCTTGCATGGCATGGCGAAGTCCACCGATTTCTTGCGACCACACTCGAAGTCAAACCATTTCCCCTTGCTTATCCCGTTATTCTGCACCGTGCTCACAGTTATTGTTCCCAACCATTTTCTGGCCCATCCATCCATTCTTGCAGCATTTTCTTTTGTGGTGCTTTCTTCCTGCCCTCCCTCTATCATCCAGACTTTGCATGTTGCATCATTTGCAGGTATCATATTCCGTCACGTTCTTGCTCCCATCTTACCACCTGTAATATCTTTATCCCGGTTACCATTTCATTGCGTCCTCCTACAACTTTCATTTCCCCATCGCATTCTCACTCCTTATCTTCTCCATCTTTGCACTTGCCCCTGATCACTGACATCCCGCACGACTGCATCCCACTCACCTCACACATCGACATGCATCACACATGATATCGCATCATCATACATTGGTATTAATTTATAGTCGTCCTAATAATCTTTCTTCGTCGCATATACACATCGTTTCGAGCCTTTCTTCTGTTTATCATCCATTCCCATTCTCGGTGCATCTTCACTTCGCATAGTTCATACCCTTCAGCGCTTTGTCCATACCTCCATACCGTTTCTCCTTTTCTGCTTGAACCCGGACCCGTCTCCCCCAAGATGACTTTCCATAATCATGCCTGACCATGCATATCACTCATCCACTCATCACCCCATCCATCCGACCACCCCAATCGCCGTTCTGCACCTTTTCCTCCGATCTCACTCGTAATCATGTCTACCATCCCAATCTTCGCTCCTCCTCATACTTCGTGAAGCGACCTCATTCTTTGCTCTCACCCTGGTGCCTCACTCCACCCAACCTTCGTCAACAACACCGACCGCTGACCCCTTCTTTGCATCCCGAAACCACGTCCGTTGACACGTATATAGGTCCCATTCCGCACTACTTACTGACTTACGCGTTAGAGCCCATTTACTGATCTCCACTGTACTTAAGCTTAAAGTTCCTCCTTCATCGAGCGTACGCACGAATCTGAGCTCGATCTCTCTCTGACCCCACCCAGTGCCGAATCCTGCTTCTTCGTCGCTCTCTTGCTGTGCTTCATATGTACATATACATGTTCATACGCATATACTTGTCTGCTACCTCGGCCTCTTTTGTGGGACAGGGTCCATGTCGACAATTAGTTAGTTCTTGCCGATGTGGGCACTGGATGAAAGTCGTAGTCGATGTGTGGCGTGTGGCGTCCCGTTCATCGCGTCGGGATTCGGAGGGTTCCGGGTCTTATAATTTTGGAGGAATCGCACAATCAAGTCGTTCAAGTTCTACGGTCGCTGCAACGAACGGTCGATCCTTCAAGTTCGTCCCCTTGCTAGTTTCTTCTAATACACTCAGCGCTGAGGCACCTTTCCACACTCGTGATCTTGGAAATGGCTGGGTGATTTAGTTCGTGGCACCGGCAGGCGGAAACGACGGTGCCCTCAGCCAGGCTGGCCCGCCCGTTCAACTGATGTTGATGTCTCGCAACCACAGGATACTATCATTTGTGTTTGTTTCCACCACACTCTTGTTGCTCCAGTGATCATCAGCTCGGCCCTTCAGTGCGGGTGCGCGTTTCATGAAGGGGACAATACTGTGCACTACTACTTATTCGAGCCAGCGCACACCATTTCGCATGGCACCCTCTCAGTTCTGTGGATTGACGCTCGTTTTCTTCTTATTCAGTTCTGTGTTTATGTTCACAGTCGACGACACGATTGCTACTGCCGGTAGGCAACGCGCCGCACATAACGCTGATGTATGAGATCCATCAGGTCCTAGCTCCGTTTCAAATTTGGACCATTTGGCTATATTTCAGTGCAAAAGCTCTTTAATCGAACATCCATTGATGTTATGCGCTCGAGCAATCATTCCGACCGAGTTGTGGCGACCTGGATAACGAAGGCTTGTTCTACTTCGGTGTTTCAGGTCTTAATCAAGACAATCATTGTAATACGGATTTAGCTCACGCTCATCATGAGCGCACTGTGTTTTGTGCGTCCAACATTTTCGTATTCCACTCAACAATGTGAAATTAATTTTGACGCACAGGATATATACGGTACGTATCATTGCCACCCTACGCCTCAGCATGATTTTCTGGGTTACCACACGTCGGTTTATCGGGGCGACATCAGCCTATATATTAAAATGTGTATATGGGCTCCTTCTCGTCAGTCAGTGCGATTGGACATCAGTGGCGCTTGCATTGTGTCATTGTTATCCTCTTCCAATGAGTCGCTCGCTCGATGTCATATTCTCCGCCAAAGGTCTTACATTCGTGGTCTCAGTAAACAACACTCTCATTCGACCCTCCTCTATACAAGCCCTGTTCCTTTCGCTAGCATCTCATTCTCTCGCCTCAACTTCTCTACCTCTCTCCGTAAACTCCCATTCTCCTGCTCCATAGTCTCAACTTTTGTCTCCAAATCCATCGTCTTTTCAACCCATTCGAACCCGAGAGATTCCGCCTGCCCGAGCGAGTACTCCAAACTCTTGATTTGTTCAAGGAAAGCCTCCGTTTGCGTCTTTATCGTGCCGTTTCCATCTGGCCCCGCCGAGTACTGGAGCATCATATAGTCCGGATCCGAAGTAAACATGGGTATTCGTACAGGAATCACAGCCAAGTACTTTTCCCTCATGAGCCTGAGATTTTCCTGGAGGCTCGCAAGTTCGACGTCGCTCGGAGGACGGAAAAGATAATCTGCATAGACTAGCTGTCCAAGGGACCCTCGCATCATATCCAGGAGAGTCCAACCGCGCCGGAGGCCTTCCTCCAGAAGACCCAGCTGTTGGTCGATTAGTTGCGTCTTTTTGGCCGCTGAAGAGGAATCCTCGGTGTTGATGTCGAGGAGGGTTTTAGCGCGTTGCTTGACGTCGCATAGGTGTGCAACGTTGCGGTAGCTATTTTCGAGGCTTGCACTGAGCTGGCCTACCTGCGTCTTCATGGTAGTGCGAATGTGTGCGTCCAGATGAGGGTTCAAAGGGGTGGTGGCAGCTTGTGCTTGGGGGTCGAAAGCAGGGTTCTCGCTAGCCATGATGTCGAGATAGAACGCTGTCACGCTTGAAGTGGGATTGTGCGACCGAAGGTCTTCAGAGAGTGGACGGTGGGTGTGGGTGGGTTGTGAGAATGAGGGGAGTAATGCCAGTGGGAAAGAGAGATGGACAAGGGTGGGCTTTTATATTGTGCGTGAGATGCCACGTCCGCTTTTCAAGATCCAACCTGACGTTGACATGCCAACATGGTGCCGCATCCGCAGCCGCGATCTGAGGCCCACAAAGGACGTACCAAATTAGGAAGTGCCATTGTTTTAGGCCCGCCGCCTGGCACCGGCGCACGGACGGTCCTTGTCATCTAAGGGACTTGGGGCGTTGACACCATGCCTAGATGTCAGGCAATGCGAGCAAGCTCAACAAGCTCGTGTGTAGTAAGCGATGGATGCTACCCTTACTGAGTACTAGCCCAGGCTGTAAAGTCCAGCGTTCCGAGTCGATGGCGTGTCAGGAAAATTGAAGTGTCTGTGCGGTTCTGTCACGTCATGTTACGAGAAAAATCACAGGTTATTGCGATTTAGGACATAGAATACTTATGGCATGTCAGAAAGGTTGCTCTCTGTTGCTATGCCGGCGCGCGATCTCGAGGAAATAGGCATGGTGGCGGCACTGTGCCACTCTGCAGGACCAAAACGCTCTTTTCCTATGCGATATATTTTCCTCATAAACCAGACCGCTTTCGTATCTCGGAGTTTGAATTATATTTTCCCGCAAAAACCCGCGGCCTTCGGATCTTTTGTTTGAATGTCCTTTTCTCTCTCACCTCTGCTTGACGGCTTGCGGCCAATAATGATGATATGTTCCTCTTTTGTGTTTCCCTGAGCAGCTCGGCACCTCCCTAGTCTTTTTCCTAGCACGGAGGAAACCTGTCCTCCTGTCAAGGTTCAATGCGTTGCTTCCGTGACAGTTCACGCTCCTTCACGCGAGATCACACATACGGAGCACAGTTCTGCTGATTGCCCAACTCATCCGGACTTGTGCTCTTGCAAGGACTGATTGCGCGGAGCTTCAAAAGCTCCGTCCTCCTCGTTCATCATTACGAGCGGCGCTCATCATGGAATTTCGAGAGTCGGGGTTATTCCTGACACCTGATCACACGACATCAGCAAATGTGACAATCTAGTTTGGGCCAGTTTGGGCCAGTTTGGGTAAGTTTGGGCGGCCTCAAACTGCTCGAAACTTTCGATCTGGAAAACTCTGAAAGGAAATTCGGAGTTTGCAAACTCGGTTGTAGTTTGACGAATCTGGGTGAAACTACATTCAAACTGCTAGTCGGAATGCATAGCATCCGATTATTTCAGCGATTTTTGGGGCTTTTTGCGCGGCTTTGGTAGGCTTTGCGGTGGTTCTCGACCTTCGTGAGGATGGGGAACTGCTAGATTCATATAGTATATAGTACATTGCATGGTAAATACATGATGTTACAGTACAGTATCCAGGACATGCTACATATACAGAGACATCGACACCCACCATGCTCACGGCTACAGCGCGTCCTCGTCTCGTCATAAAATCCCGACCTCTCGACCATCCGAAAACACGCCGCCCGAGCCGTAATCCAACAAATCAAGATAACACAAAACTTAACATACTAAAAGCCGCGTGGTGGGAGTCACGGCCGCAGGAAAAATGACACACAGCGGGCACAGCAGAGAGAACCGCTGTTGCAGGGGATGTTTGAGGCTGTTAACGAGCTACAGTGAAAAGTGAGATTAGACACCAACAGGATTTGATTATGTAGAACATAAGAAGTAAGATGTCGAGCTGACCGTTAAAACCGAATCACGGTCGCGAGTTTACCATTCGCCGCTCGCTGTCCGCTGTCTTAATTCTCACCGTCTCAGACTACATCAATCCTAGCGAAGAGCCATTGCGTCTCCAGCGGCCTAGGTAGAATGCAGAGTTGAGGCCTTGAAAGGTGCGACAAGAGCGGGGGACGACACGAGTCGCTGTCGTGGCGGGAAGAAAGGACGACAGAGAGCGACGCGACTGGACGCGACGCGCTTCGATCATATTCAGATTTTCAACTCCGCTCGGCCTATCCCGTCGTCGTCATCGTCTGACTTATAAAGTTGAACGTCCTGCGACCTTCAAGAGTTTACTCGTTCCCTACTTCTGTGCCCGCCCGCCATGAGGTTCACACCTCTAAGCGACGATTTAAACAGCAGGGCCGGCCCATGACACTTGCTGCTAACGCTAAACTCGAGTCTTACGGCGGCGGTGTTCCTTTACTTGGACCGACAAGATCGTCGCCATTGCGCGACCTTTCGTCGTTGACGGGTACGGAGCTGCGATAGCGAGCCGCCGTGCTTATACTCACCGGGGGCACAGCCAGAATGGTACACGCGATGAAAGACGGTGAATATTAGTAAGGGAACCAGTGCCGCAGAGCAGCATTGGGCCGTACATGCGGAGTCGTGTCTTTGATGAAATCATCAGAGTAGCAGTAGTGCTGTTGTAGAGAGAACACAGTTTCACGTCTTTGTTCAGTTTGGTAGTTTACGTCGACTGTAATGTTTTTTGGCATTTCTGATATTCGTGTTTCGTTCAGTTTCGCGGTTCCTGTGAGTTTCACTGAGTTTGGGCAAATATTCTTCCAAAATTCAAACTCGCCCGAACTGTCCGTTCTTCGAAACTGAGAAAAACCGAACAAACTGGCCCAAACTGGCCAAAACAGGTTGTCAGATTTGCTGATGGACAACGGATGTACGAGTCGTAAGCGCATCGTGTACCTGTGTAATTTACACTTATGCTCATATTTCTTATGACAGAAACCTCAATGTAAGGGTCAATACACTCGCAAGGTCGTAAGTATGCGACACTTACTGAGATACTGGCCGTACTCGGGCTGGAAGCACCTGACCTGGGCTATATAAACCGTTTTGCCCCATTACAAAAAATGCATGCCACTGTTTATGAAAGGAGAAAACTGAGCCTCGTGTAATAGCTCTGCCCACGCTGTCAAACGATAAGCTTCGGCCAACATGTCGTTAAATCAGCGCCGGCCACCTTACATAGGTATGTATTTCACCGCATTAACGGCTGCCGGTTCGTATCCATTCAAACGTTTATTCAGCTCCGATTTAAATAAGTCAACGAACTCCCCCGCCTGAGCTTGCCTTGAGCCACGCCCCTCTCCCTAGCTGCTCGGTCTTCCACTCCTTACGAAGAGCCACTCTCCTGCCCGGTGCATACAAGCGGCTCCTCCTATGGCTACCATTCTTTTTAATTCACTCGTTTTACCATGCTGGATGACATGCATTTTGTCATTATTTAATTCATGCTTAGTTCATGCTCAGAACCCTTTTTCTCCCGCTACTTTACCCCTCGCCGTCCGATCACCCTACCTCAGCGCCTGGGAATCTTCTCTCACAACTGACCAGGCACCGCTCAATCAGTGGCCAGTTACATGGCCAGCATCTGTGAGTTTACTATTTGGCAACCCTGCCAAAGTGGCGTACTCAAGTGTGTTCGCTCTAGCCACAAGTTTTGGGGTGGTTTGGTGCTGCCAGAGTGGACGGTGCTGCTTACCGCTGGCTGGGCAACGCTAATCCACCGAATGTTTCAGTCACTGTGGCGAACACAACGGTTGTCAGTGTCACACCCACCCGTACGATTTTCACTATTCCTTGCGGTCCGATGGTCCTCAATGTTACGTTTCTCAGTCCAATCGAAGTGAGTCCTGACTACGTGTCCTCAAATGCCATGTTGAAGAAATCCTTTATAGCCTGGAGACCGGGTCCGTCAATCGATTCCTTTCAGCTATATGTATGTGGACGCGACCTCGGCGGATGGTAAACCCCACAATGTTCAAGTCTATTCAGACATCTCTGCTGGTGAGCACGCTTCTAGAAGCATATTGTTATGCCACCTACCAAACGATACAACTTCGCAGAGTGGACTGCCCCAGATCGTGCCGATAGCAGTGCTACTTGGATTACAGCCGTCACCTCCGACAATGTGTATCACGCGATAGTCAATTCTCAGCCTATCGTCCTAAACGAGACTCAGCAACAGGCACATTGGGGCACTTCTTACTATGCGGCACAAATGGTATGGCTTCGTACATAGTGTATCCGGCCATTTCGCTCACTGCTATGTTTGGCTCTAGGTCGATGGGCTGACCTACCAGACCGGAGCTGATGCCGCCCTACGTTCTCAGTTCATCGTCCACGGTAACCTTACGAACCAGAACGACACTGATTTTCGTGGAATCCACGCAAAGTAATATCCTCTCCTAACGCTAATGTGGGCCTCCTTAGCATCAGTATTGATGTACTGATTCACTTTGTAGACCCGGATCCCCTGTGTTCGGTATGGCCCAGGATCTGGGCAACATTACATCGTCCAAGGACCCCGTTGTTTGGGCCGTTGGATTCACTCGAAGTCCTACCAATACCGCTGTACGAACCATTGATCTCGGCGGAAACACCCTAGATCATATCCTGTATTATCGCAACACCTTTTCCAACGACGCGGACTTGGTATGTCTAGATTTCTTACTTTTGCCCTAACAGACGAACTGATTACAGTGCCCGTTAGATCAAGAACTTCCTGGACGATTTCACCAATGCGTCACAACGAGCAGACGACCTAGACGAGAAAGTCCTGACTGACGCACGAGCAGTCTCACTTGATTACGCCGACATCGTGTCCCTCGCAGCTCGGCAGGTCTACGGAGCGGTCGAAATAACGCTAGGGGCGAACTCGTCTGACTGCTTGGCGTTCATGAAGAACCACGGTGGTCCTGGCAATTCTGAAACACGGTATGTCCATTGTACGTTGCTGTCAAACGTACCGCTAAATTTGCCTTGTACTTAGCCGAGTAAATCCTGTCGAGACACTATTTGCGTCCTTCCCTATGTTTATGTACCTTGATCCCACTCTTGGTCGACCGCTTCTCGAGCCGCTCCTCAGCTTTCAGGATTCAGCAGATTACACGAGGGACTTTGCTGCAAGTGATATAGGTACAATTGCCACACTTACACCGTCGTGGGCACTGTTGATATTTGCTGTCAGGTTCAGGCTACCCGATCGCACATGCTTCTTTGAATTCTTCCTCTCAACAAGGCGTGGAACAAACTGCGAACATGTTGATCATGATGTACGCGTACGCACGTACTACTGGGGATGGAAGTTTTGCGGGTCAATATGTGAGTTTATCCAGCCTTTTCACGAACTGTCACCTATCCGAAATTCATGTTTACACTGTCTGTAGTACGGGCTATTGAGATCCTACACGAACTATCTCATCAATAATACTTTGTTCACAACGAACCAGTGGGTATCAGCACTACCTTTGCCTCCAAATACTTATTGGATCTGAACCTAGAACCTCCGCCGATCACCGGAGTTTCGCAAATCAGACAAATCTAGCAATCAAGGGTATCGTTGCTATCGGCGCGATGTCTGAGCTCAGCATTGCTCTAGGACAGACTGCAGATGCGCACATGTACAAGGTTTGATCCAACACCGTTGTCTCATTCATAGTCCCTAAAATTCTTGCTTGTCCCACACAGAGAAAAGCATCAAAATTCATTTCAGAATGGGAGGCTCTTGCTTTATCGCCGTCTACCGGAAGTCTGCAGGCTGTGTACGGACATAATAGCACCGCATCGTGGTCTCTTGGTTACAATCTTTTCGCCGACCGTTGGCTAGGGCTGAATCTGCTCAATTCATCCGTAAGTTGTCTCCAGGGATAAGGCGAGACGAAACATTCACTAGTGGATCAACTTACTAACGTCGTCCATCAGGTATACGACGCACAGACCCGGCTGTACGCCAATCTGAGTTCCGCAGGGACTTTCAAGTACGGTTTGCCGGTGGATAGTACTGACCTCCAAGTCGCCAACTCGACATGGAACCTGTTCGCCGCTGCGATCGCCACAAACACGACTGTGCAAAACCAGATGATCTCCATGGTTCGTTCTCGAGCTTCTTTGAACACGGCGACGGCGTACGGCGCGTTCCCGATTACTTATGGAGCAAGCAGTGGTCAAACTATCTCGGGCGTGGCGAGGTATATCTGTACCTATTACCCTACCATGTGACTCTACTGAATTATTGTCTCGATCAAGTCCGGCTTTGGGAGCTGTCTTTGCCCCTCTTGCACTCAAGTATGCGTTCATGTACTATCAATTTCGGGGTCGTATACTGACATCATTCGCTTATAGCGTCAAGGCCGTTTCAATCACATCAGGAGATAGTATTGCTAGTGACGAAGACGTGTCCGCCCATTCGCGAAACAATCCCGGCACAATCGCAGGGGCCGTTATTGGCACTATTGCCGCGATATCTGTTGTCATTGGATGTTTGTATTGGTATCGCCGCCGTCGAGCACAACAGGATTACGACGATTTCCTTCGCAGCCTGGAGAAGGGAGGCTCGACGCGGGTCAATCCCTTCGCAGACCCCGTCGCCGAGCAGCTTAGGGCCGAAATGTCAACCACCGTTTTTCCTCCGAAAAAGACTAGGTCAGTCCATCTCAGTGTTGTGCAGAGTGTTCGATGTAATCATGAAATATATCAGGCTAGGACCACATGAAGACTTCGATCCTGACAGCAGTTCGATTTACTCAGAGACCGGTGCAGCCACATCGGGAATCTCCTCGACCTCGTTGTCACGTACCAACAGTGCCGACTCTCAGGCTGAAGAGCATTACTCGCGCTCACAGACCGCCGCAGCCCTCAAAGCGCTCGAGCGTCTGAGGGAGATGAAAGCCAACAGTCGACTGTCCGGCACCAGTGGTCTGCCGTCAACTGTACGTCCCAGAATCATCAGTGCAGATTCCGCGCACTCTCGCTCCCCATCGGCTCTCAAGGTGCTTGAGCATCTCCAAGAGACGAAAACGAACCCGCAACCGTCGAAGTCATCCTTCAGAAGTGATATACCGAAGAGTCTGCGACCTAAGAACTCGACATACAGCACCATTGCACGCTCTGGATCTACACTGGAATCTATCGCCGATCCGAGCCATCGCTCTGTCGACTTCATCAGAGGTTCGTCTTCGTCTCCGAGCGCAGACGTAAGCGAGAACGCCGCCGAAGCCTCTGGGTCTGGATCCACCTCTAGAGAGAATGTCGCCAAGTTGTTGATCAATGAGGTGAAGGAGATCAAGAGGGAGATGGAAGTGATGAGAGCGGGTGCGGTGCCTCTGGCTGTGGAAGAACCACCGCCAAGCTATCAAGGGTGATGTATACTATACCTGTCAACATGTAGTCAAGAGTCGCCCCTTCATTCTCTGTGCTCTCATGTTACTAAGTTCCGTTATTCGCCGTTTCTTTTGGATAAGGAATGGGTGCGATTTATTCTTCCAAAGTAAAGACGAGCAAGATAGCGAGACAACAGGTATACCAACGGTGCGTGTTATGCAGAGTAGACAAGAACGCCATAAAATTCATGGCGATCGAGCGCACGGAGAATGGCAGACTACAGTACGTAGAAAGCTCAGAAGATGAGCCGGTCAAAGTAGAAGAAAAATAATGGTGGGACATATACTTTAGGGGCTTCGTATAGGGTAAATATAACGAGAAAGAGATACCAGGACGATACGGGAGGGAAGGTAGTGATTCAGGCGAGATCAGAAGAGGACTCCGGAATATAATTATGTAACAATTCTTCGGCAATAAAACTGAGACAGTCTGAGATGGTTGTGAATATGCAATGTCAAGCCTAAAACAATGAGCCTGGACGTGAAATCGTAGGGAGGGAAAGGTCAATAGTCCAGTCCGGCGATCTGGAAGATGGTAGGACCTGTAGTCAAACGAAACGGTCCTGATGAGGGTCCAGTCATGTCGCAGTCGCAGTCATCTGACCCTGAGGTGTCTGGCTGGAGGGATTCCGGAAGACGGTATAGATTATCGACGTCGGGGACTGGCACTGTTCGGTGCCCGTTTACATCTACATGAGCCAATCGAGCAAAATGCACGGTTAAGTCAGTGACACAAACATGGACGCCAGAAATAAATTCAGGCGGAAGAAATGAGAGAGGCACTCGCCTTCCTGGGGAACACACGCGAAATCATACACCTGCATGTAATGACTGGTATGTTTCGGTACTATGACCATCCTACCGCTCCATTCTTCCCAAGCAATGCATGCTACGCCATGCTCCATCTCTTGCCAGGCCTGAGGACTGATCGCCAATCCACCAAACGGCCTCCCAATGCCAGTCGCCATCTTGGTCTCTTCCCAAGCAGCTTGCCTCCGAGCAGCATCGTGCGGCCATCGAGGATCAGGAGCGGGCCAAGGACAGACGTCGGTGATGGCTTCGAGATTAGTGATGGGGGGATTGGCATCCCTCGAATTGATCGGCGTGCAGTATACGAGGGAGCGGCGCGAGCCTGAGATGATATGAATAGATTGTTGAGCTTCTGGCCCGAGAATATTCACCGCCAGTCGGACCTGCGCAAGGGGGTACTCGAACCCGGTCTCTTCCAAGGGTAAGGGAAGGGGGCCAGCAGGCACTAAGGTAGCCTGAGGCCGGCTGATCCATTTGTCCTCGACGACGGTAGATGGGGCAGGAGGGGCTGAGCTAGGAAGAGGATCGAGTGGTGATGCGTCGGTTTCGAGCTCAGATAAAAGTCGGCGGTAGGGGTGGATGTTCGTATAACCGAGTGTCCACGCAGGTGTATACGTGGCCATGTGGACGCTGATGGGTCCCGGTTCGTTAACGGGCACGTATGCTGCGGCACGGGGCCCTGGCCTGGCGCATGCAGAGAGGTCATGCACAGAGGGGACATAATGGTCCGAGACCGATACATGAGTGAATCCTCGAGGGGATGCCAAGTAAGTGCGGTCATGAGAATCTCTAGTCACGATCTCGCCGCGCAGGGGAACCTTGAACCTTTCGATAATTAAAAAGGAGTCACAGCCGTGACCCAAGGTAGGCGCCACGTAAGTACGAACGATCAAGACTTTGCGCTCATGAGCCAGAATTCTGATGCCGTTGACCTGATAGTATGCGTCCTGCGTAGATATCATTACTGATTGGCTCTCCGCGAGAACAAGGAGAAGTTAAACCGATACGTACATCAATAAAAGGAATCCCAGGACAATGCAACATGGTCAACTTCCCCTGTACACCTGTCTCCAAATTCTTGATGATGAGTTGGTTTGGTCGCCTCGCCACCGCCACAAATGGCTGCCCACCCATCTCGCCCAACGCTACATGCTCTAGAGCCTCTGTGGCGCGGATGCGGCTAATCACTTGAAAAGGTTTCTGGGCCTCCATGGCGGTTGCACGATAGGCCTCAGTGCCTGGGTAGAAGCGGGGATCGCATAGTTCTTCGAGCGTTTCGAGTGATACGCGGAGGACTTCAACCTCATAGCGGACGGGGATCGGGAAGTCTATGTTGTGGTCGTCACTGAATTCCGATACGTTGCGCCTATTACGAGTACGTTAGCACAGGAATTGGTCAGCAAAAACGGAAAGAAAAACATGCCCTTGCTCCCTATGAGTCCTTCCTGCAGGCTCGCGCCGTACATAGGCTATCGTGAGTCCATGCTCGGCCTGGATGTACATATACTTGACCTCGAGATGATAGGCCTTCGAAACGCAGGAGTATTTGGCGATGGGGTAACATTTCATGACTCTGTGATCAAGCACAAACAGAAGAAGCGCGTAGTTGTTTACTCCAGCATCCCTGACGGAGGCGACCAGGAATCTTCCTCCAGGAGCGAACTTAAGAGAGCAAACGTCGTAATATGCTGGAACCTGCCAGCCTGTTCGGGTCTTGGGTGCCCGCGAGAGCCAGTTGGCCTCCAGGGAGAGAGATCGCATGATCAAGCGCTCAGTCTCCAAAGAACTGAGGTTCTCCCACGAGTAACGGGATGTCGGTGGAAGGGGAGGAAGAGGGAGAGGGAATCGTTGCAGGATACGTTTCCAGACTATCGGTTGGTGTGTCAGAGAATAGAGAAGTTTGCATGTCTAGTGAGACCGAAAGCAAGCGATGGAGCAGGTAAGATCAGAAGTCTAGTGCAAGGTAACAGAAACGTGATTACGCACCCGTCGTAATCGGAATATATCACGGATGTCGAGCAAGGGGAAAATAACGTCCACAAATGTATCGTTGTGCAGTTCGAGGATGTGTCTTTTGTTCCTGCTGGCTGACGTTTGGTTCTTGAGGTAGTCATTGGCACTATACGCCGCTAATGCTGACGGCATCCTGGGTTTGCGCAAGAAGAGTGAGAGACCGCCTTGGACAGTGAGCAATAGAACCTGAGGGGGACGTCACGGTGTGAGACGAGAGGAAGGAGTGAACAGTAACGTGAAGACGCGATCCGTAGGTTTTAACGAGAGCAAGAGAGCTTGAATCTTTTAGGTTGATAAGCAGTGATGTGAGCAACGGTTGCTGGGAGGGAGAGTCCCTTATGCTCGTATGCGGACGAGGGATTGAGACGTCTCCGTACTTGGACACCTCGCGAAAGACAACTTGTCATCCAAAAAGGAATGACTTGTCTGTGATGTTCTATCGCGCCCAATCCCATGTGTAGTCGCGGGTAATCAGATTAATCAAATAGAAAACTCACGTAATTGTCACGTTTGTCTGATTGGCCTTATCAGTATGTCTGGAATGTGTCGTCGATGACAAGTGCTCCTTGGACCTTCGCTCGAACAACAACGACTTCGGCCTTGAAAGGAAATACCATGTTTGGAACAAAAGAGGGCCTCACGTGGCATGTCACGCGCATCAGCAAATTGACCGAGTGGCACCATGTGGCGCGCCCTTGGACTCATCTGGCATTGTTTGTGAAGTCCTCACAACAGCGCTGTCGAGAACTATGTCTAATTTGGGCTGCATGGAGGGGTCGATGGCCATCCAATAAAAGAGAGGTCATGTAGGACGCTGGCGAGTGAAGGCGCCGGACACCTTTGATAAACGGCTACTACGCGCTATCATGAGTATGGATGAGCAGTAAATTCAAGCAGTCTCTGTAGTCCATCAGTATTGTCGATTGTTATAACCCAGGAAGCAAAAAAACCAGGGATATCAAAGAGACAGAAACCATAAACCCTAATTCCACCAGATGTCTGTCAATACCGAGGGCAACCCCGAGACTCCCCGTGAACGTATGCGATACGAGTTCGACGGTCGTAGAAAAATAGCAAGACTGAAGGGACGCCTCAACCTTGCAGCAGAGACAACGTTATGTCTCCCTTGATCTAAGACATCGCAAACCAAGTCAGTAATATTTACGCTCTGAACATGATATAGTACACTTACCTTGGCTTTGAGTTGGATGTCGACATCCCTGCAAGGAAGCGACCGTAGGTTAGTAGCGTATCCGATGAAGATGCTGCTGAAATAATGGGATATGAGAGGGAAAGAGCATACAGATTCAGGTCCAGTCTGAGCTTCAACGTATCTGATTTTTTATTCTTGCCATCATCAACAGCTTTGTCGCCTCCGGTTTGCGGAGCAGACTGTGGTGCCTGTTGGCTGGTTTCCGCAGGTAATTCTGAAGATACCGTGTCCAAGTATACCCATCAACAACACATAGAAAATACAAGCAAACGGAAAAAGTGACGAGACGTACCAGCCGCATCCTCGTCGAGAACAGGTAATGGTTCGCCTTCTGTCCTACCCCTCCTTCGCCTTCTCCTCCTACCACCACCACTACTCGGCCCTGCACTACTCAACCCAGCTACCGACGATTCAGGCACCGCATCGCTCACATCACTACTCGCCACCGAACTACTCCTGCTTCCCCTTCCTCTCCCACCTCTCCTGGACCTACTCGAAGGTCCTGGCTCTTTCTGGGCAAGAGGCTCATGCTTAAGATACGAGCCCTTTTCCGATCCTTGCGATGATTCGCGCGAGATCCGAGATCCTGGACGACGTGGAGAGGAGTCGTACGAAGGTGCTTCGACGTCGGTGAAATTCGTGACGGTCTCCGCATCTGTGGCGGTATCGTACACCGTCGGTCCTACGGATTGTGAAGAACGACGGGATCTTCGTGATCCATGGCTACGTCGAGAGTTGGATGAGGTAGGTCGGCTGTTGGTAGAGTCTTGTGCTGGGCGCGTAGAGTTACGAGAGCCCGAGCGGGAGGGTCCGTTTCCACTGCCGCCGCCACGAGCTTCGGAGTCGTTTCTTGGCTGGGACATGGACTAAAAACCCTTGTTACAGCTGAATATTGGGTATAGGTTCGGGGTATTTGGAGTCGATGATCAAGGTATGGATACACGTAGAAGGTCGTGAACTGTCGTGAAGGTCGTCTCGCCAGGTCCAGGAACAGGAAAGCCCTGGCAGTATAAGGTTCTACACTACGCCACCTGCCTATGAGGCTATGACGAGAGAGAGGTAGAGTTTGGAGCATCCACAACACGCTTGCGCAGGCCATTGAAGGTCGTGAACAACATGGCTTTTATTGTTGTCAGTGCCAGAAAGTCGACACAATTTTTGACAGTAGCATAAGTACCGAGCGATAGGGGGAGTGGCGCCGATGCCGACAGTGTGTGGCGCAATCATCCAACAGCGCACCGACATCCAAAAGCATGAAGTCGTGATTACAAACGTCGCGGTCATGAAGGACGAATAAAAGTACAGCTCTCTACGGTAGTACATACAGCAACAAATCTTCCATGGTCCATGTATGATATCGTAACAGTCCGTTTTCACTTCTTCTGGCCCTGAGCCTGCTTTTTGTCTTTCTTCCCGTCCTTGTTACCACCGAGCGAGCTCCCAAGGCTGCCCAAACCAATGCTAAAATAGATGTGGCAAGTTGATCTCAGTATAAATGATATGTGGATATAACCAATTAGCGGGAAGACGAACCTCCCAAGCAGCTTGTTGAGACCCAGAGCGTCGAGGATACCATTGAGGATGCCACCAAGACCGATGCCGTTGAGGATGTTGCCCAAGAGGGTGAAGACGCCGTTGAGTACCAAGCCGACACCGGAGATAATTTGGAATAAGGGTTCTGAAGGCAGAGATCAATATGGTCCTCCCAAATAGCGAGGCCAAGGCAAGAGAAAACATACGGGTGACGGCGTCGAGAAGAGGACTGAGATCCTTCTTTGCTCGTGGCATGTCTTGTATGATGGATTTTGCGTTCTCGATGGTGTGCATTACATCACCAGTCAACTACATCCACAAACAAGGCGCAAGATGAATGAATGAGTTACAGACGGACGTCATGATGGACAAAAGAGGAAGAGACTGTACCTCTCCAAGGGACTCAGCGAGATGCTGCTCCTCGGGCGTTGCTTGATGGTCTGCAGCCCGGCGCTTGGACATCTCGGCTATCTTTCCTCCTGGGTCAAGAGCCTTTATACCACCGAGAGCCTCTTGTAGCATGCCCTGCGCCTGCTCGAGCAGAGGTCGGACTTGCTTGACGAGCGCTTCCTCGTCGAGCTCATCCTTCTCCTGGTCGCGTTTGGCGCGGGCCAAGTGCTGCAATGAGAGACACGAGTCAGAACAATAATGATGAGCAGGTACCGAAAGATAAAGTGGAAGATGAAGAAAACCGACCTCGTTGATGAGCTTCAGGAGAGGTTTGACCTTTGCGAGACACGGATCGATGTAGTTCGTCATCTTCGTCGCGATCTCAGCGATCTCCTTCTTCTCCTGCTCCTCCTTCGGGTCAATGTTGGATCCTGCGTCGGACATGTTTGCTGGTGGGTCTATGAGGCGCACGCGAGTGAAGGCGACACGAGGTGGAAGGAGTAGAACAAAGACGAGGATGATGATGAGCCATCCAACGAGAGCGGCGAACCATTCCAGCATAGACGTGGAAGATAAAGAAAGAAAGAGGGCGAAGGAAGGAGGTAATTTCGACGATGAGCTCAACGTCGAGTGAGGAGAGAGAGAGAGCGGAATAGTAGATGACATCCCATACCTGTGTGTGTTCAAAAATATGCTGCGCAAAGTGCTGGTGGGGTGTGGTAAGTGCGAGTGTTCTGAGTATGGAGTGATCTCCAGACTCTGATATATACCAAAGTTCTTTAGCCTCTGTGGAGGGTTTTGGAGTTGCGGCGCCTCAGAGAGAGTTGTCGTCAGGAACTCAGCAGGATGAACGTCACTGGAGTTCTGGGCGTTCCTTGCAGATCCTCGTCACTCCAGAGCCTAGAGGCGTGTATTGAGATGATCTCACCATCTCCTCTCGCACGGGTTTGGGGATTGACAAAACAGGATCAAGATTTGAAATTTAGACTTTACGCTTTGAACTCGATTAGGAGGTCTTGGGAATAGGGTGTCAAGAAATCACCCGGCTCCTTTGGCCCATGAACAAAGCTATGAGCCGATTCAACGAGTTCTACTCAAGTAGAATAGACTAGTGAACCCTCAAAGAAAGCTGCACAGTACTGAGCCCGTTGGAAAGGTTGCTATGACGGCTAGATGATGAGACAGCTGGAGCGGTCGCGCAGGAGCTCGAGGACCGGGAGTAGAGCTCCACGCCACACAGTGTCCTGCGTCATCCGAGGCCGCAGGTCCCGTGTGGCACGCACGAAAGGAAACCCACTCTCCTGACAAGAGAAAACCAGCATGATCGATGTAGCTTACGGTGGAGGATGAATTAAACCACGCAAATGATATCGTGGTCCAGAAATTATATGCATCGAGACGTACAACTTTGTGGCTGCTCCATTGAAACTGAGCGGGCGGTACAAATGTGTTGGGATGTCCCTTCGGGGAGAGCATGCCACAAGAGGTTCAGAAACTGTTGTGTGATGTGCTAGTTGAAATTGAGACGACAGGTCGTGGTCGCAGAGAAAGGGAAATTTGCGGCGAATTGTGGGTTTTTAGTGCGTCGGCGTCGGCGTTCTTTGGCAGCGTGTTCGGGGGATGCCGGAATATCTAACCCGGGCATGTTGCGGTGGGAAATTAGTTTGGCACACTTCTGCTGAAACACAGCATCCTGCCGCAAGCAGACCACAATAACACGGACAGAAAAATACATAATTGTCCCCAAAGATGCTGAATACAGCATCGGTCCACTTGTTCCATTGATTCTACTACTTTTAACGACGGCCGCCGGCCTCAGGCTTGCCATAGCCTGCCAAGGGCACAACCATCATGGAGATGATGCGCGGTGAGGATGTTCAGGAGACTTTTTTCTTTCGCTGAACGAAAGCTGACTGAGTTTGTGACAGGTATGACTGAGTATGCAGATATCCTGTTGGGATGATCCTGATCCGACTTTCAATATCTTCTATTATCCAACTCGGAATTGTTTCGCGAACAGCGCCTACCTTTTCGCAGCGCAGTGGCTAGCAAAGCTACAGGCCATGCAGCTTTAGCTGGGATACCATCTTCTAAGGTGCTCCTGAAGTTTCAAGGTTCTGGGGTGACAATATTTTGCTGGGCGGGGCGGGGGATCATCCTGGCAGTGCACTGGGGCAAGGTACGTGTATAGACATACCGAATCCGACCGTGTAAAATCGGTGCATCAAGCCGTTCGAGGCATCTGACTGATACATAACATTCGATGCAGCGCTGGGTATGTACCTAGCCCTTTAGGGAGTGATGCGTATACAGGGTCCGACTACCATCAAGAGATGGCAAAAGTAGGGAGTCGTGAGACCCCCGGATCAGCGATGGGACATGGCCTTTGAATCCCCCCTTTGCTCGTCATCTCTTCCTCACACCGTCTCGATAAGTTTGTTCTAATACTTTGGTATCTTGCCGAACTGTCTTGTCCAGTGCTTTGAAGCGAGTCGACCGCAACATGTGGCGCCCGAACTTCGTGAAGTTTGTGGCACCAACGTTCCTTTTCCTTTCCACTTTCGCACAGTCTCAGTCGAATTCTCCTCTCTGGCCCGCAACCTTTCCTCTCGCCGTTCGCTCGCCTTATCTTAGCTGTTGGGAAACTGCGACGGGTAGTGGAGCTCTCCCATTGAACAACTGGCCTGATTTCTGGCCCGCAAGTGTGCGTTTGTTTCCATAGCCATCATACTTGTGTGCTCATCCCAAAGTACAGGGACAAATCCTAGGCTGGGCTGGTTATGTGAGGTACGATTCGTCTCCTCCGTATCCCTTGCGCGTTGTGCTCAACTTGTCGTTGCCGCTCAGAGTCGATGAGGTGGCATATCGGTGGCTAGGCGACTTCCCGTTGACCGCCACAAATAGCACAAATATTAATTCCGTCACTATTACTCCTACACGAACAACTTTCACGATACCCGCTGGTCCTATGTCTCTCAACATCACATTTCTTAGCCCAATAGAGGTGCGTCGCGCTTTGAGATCTACTTGTTCGCTTGTCTCACAGGTCGACGGCGTCGCCACGTAGCCCAATGACTGGGTAAGGCAATCCATTCCCTTTTCTTATCTCTACCTGGAGGCGTCATCAACGGATGGAGCGGAGCACAGCTTGCAGGTGTACTCCGATATTTCTGCAGGTGCGTCTATTTTTCTATCCTTCCTTCGCTGTCATCTGATGATCATTGCTGTGATGCATCGCAGAGTGGAATTCTGGCAAACGCGATGATGCTGTGACTTGGAGCACGAAGGTTGATTCCAATGCGCTCTACCACAAAATCACCCTCCAGTCTCAGGAGACCTTCACCGAAACAACTGATCAAGCGGAGTGGGGTACGATGTACTACGCGGCAAATGAGGCAAGCCATCCGACCCTATTGCTCTGTTCGATTTTACCTAATTGTGAAATCTGGCCATGTAGAGTACTGGTGTTACATGGCAGTCTGACTCGGACGCGAACTCGCGAGGAAGGTTTGTCCAGCAGGGCAACCTCGCGGACACGGCGGATACCGCCTTCCGTGCGATTAACAGGTAAGTCTAACAATGGTCCCATCGCGTTTGATGCCACAGTACTCAACTTCCTTCTATTATCTCAGTAAATTTCCAGTATACGGGATAGGTGGGTGTGTGCCATGATTTGCGAGACAAATACTTACTTTTACCTCAGCTCAGGACCTTGGAACCATATCTTCCACTTCGAATCCGATCGTGTGGGCGGTTGGTTACACTCGAGACCCAGCCATCAGCTACACAGACTTGCACGGGGCACAGCAGTCTCGTAGTCTGTACTACAAAACTAATTTCACCGATGACGATAGCCTGGTTCGAACTTTATATTCACGTATACATTTTGACCCAGCTGACGATTCTTATATTCGTATATAGATCAACTTCGTCCTCAGCGACTTTGGTGCTGCCAGGACCCGAGCTGAAGCCCTCGACAACAAGATCCTTGGTGACGCTGGGAAGATATCCTCAGACTACGCCGACCTTGTTTCGATAGCTGCACGTCAAGTCCTCGGTGGAATCGAGCTGACAATCTCCGAAGGCTCTGATGGTAAATTCAACACGACGGATGCTATGGCGTTCATGAAAAATATCGGCGGCCTGAGTGACAGGTTCGTCTTCCTTTCTATATTTCGTTTCTCTCCCACTCGCATCATACCATACTGACTTATCATCTTGAGCAGGCGGGTGAACGCCGTGGAGACGCTGTTCGCTGCATTCCCAATGCTCTTGTACATCGATGCCACGATATGTGGTCTCCTATTGGAACCACTGCTCAGGTTCCAAAATGATGCCGCGTATACCAATCAATTCGCCTCATCAGACATAGGTACGCTCTATTTTCTATGTTGCTATGTATCTTTTGGTTCACGTCCGACATCTCCTCGGGTTTCTCAGGTTCCAATTATCCTGTCGCAAACGGTAGCACGCAGGGCAGCTTAGCAGAAGAAGGATTAGAACGTGTGTACCCGTCTGTCCTCCTCATGTCGAGATTTGTCTGGATTCTCATTGTGGTTTGTCGCAGAGTCGGCCAATATGGTTATCATGGCGTATGCACATGCGCGATTCACTGGCAATGGTAACCTCCTAAACTATTATGTTCGTGTTCCATCATTTCCATGTGTTGGACCTGGAGCTTTAATGTGACTTCCCTGCTATTTATAGTATCCTCTCCTGAAGACATGGGCGAACTACTGCACCAACAATAGCTTGCATACGACGCAGCAGTAAGTTTGAACGATTTACCTTAAGAATCAAATCTCCTGACCTGATGGTGTTACGCAGAACATCCGCGGACTCGAATAGCGAAAACAACCAGGTCAACCTCGCCGTGAAAGGCATCATAGCAATCGAGGCGATGTCCAAGATTGCGTCCGTTGTTGGAAATTCCGATGACGCCTCTTCATTCTCTGTATGTTATACTTTATTTCCCTACTCATCGAGCGGCTCCTGCTACTGGACTTTGTTACTCACGATTTGCATGCACCGTTGTAAACTGTAGAACACCGCATCAAGCCTGTTCGCACAATGGTCTTCTCTGGCGCTGTTCTCAAATTTCAGCTTGATGGCCACATACGGGTCCTCTAACTCTTTCTCGCTCGGATACAACCTTTACGCAGACCTTTTGCTCGGGACTGGACTCGTGAACTCATCCGTAGGTTCTGCTACACACGCTTGTCGATGTGATCTGAACTTTCGGTCGTTTGATGCAGATCCTGAATGGCCAGACGACCACCTATCAATCATTGTTATCTTCGGGAGGGAATAAGTTTGGACTACCTATTGATAGTACGGACACGGGTCATGCTTACTCCAGTGCGTACCTATCTCTGCGACCTCTGAAGGCGGAGACTCATCCCGCGCCGGACTCACACAGGTTGGGATCTTTGGGCTGCAGCCATGGCTACTGACAACAATGTCCGGAACGACATCATCTCGCTGGTCCGCGCTAGAGCTGCCTCGAATAGCAGTGCAGGTGCCTTCCCGCTGGTTTACGATGTAGGCACGGGGGGTGTATCTTCTGGTGTTGCGAGGTACGTCTCTGTTTATCGACGCAATCGTACGTTCTCGAACAATGGACTGATGAACATCCAAGTCCTGCGCAAGGCGCGATATTTGCGCCTCTCGCGCTTACCTTGAATGCATCCTCGACCATCGCAGTCACAAATGGCGGATCAGGGTCTAGTCCTTCCTCCCCGAGCTCGCCCAGTACTTCACCGTCGTCGAAAGGCAGTAATGCTGGAGCTATTGCTGGTGGCGTCATCGGTGGCCTGGCAGCTGCGGCTCTGATAGGCTTCGGCACCTGGTTCCTCCACCGGCGACGTTCCCAGAAGACCTCCCATCCGCTCGACATGGACGAAGCCAGACCAGAGCCATACGGCCACCACCCAACATTACCAGGCTTCGTCCCTGTCCCGTCTGGGACGCCTTCCGACCGTCTGACCCATCCGACTGTAGTAACTCACCAAGACGCAAATGGGACCCGGGGCGAAACGCTCACGTCTCCGTCACAATACACCCAACAGACAGAATCAACGACACCGGGAGTCCTATATAATCCCTATGGGTCAAACACGACGTTGTCCGATAAAGAGCTCGCGAGGTTGAGGGAGTTGAATGCAAATGCGCCGCCGGGGACGATTTATGCGCCTGCATCGCGAGCAGCTGCAGCAGGACGTGCGGTTCGCCACCATCGAGCCCCTGAGAGTAGTAGTGTGACTACGGACTCGCGGACTGGTACTGGAAGTGGGAGTGGTAGCGGCACCGCAAGTGGCAGCGGAAGTCGCTTCACGGACTCGAATCCGACGAGAGAGACAGCCCCGGGGAACTTGATTGGGGAGGTGGAGGCGTTGAGGAGAGAGATGAATCAGTTGAGGGCGGACAGGCAGACGTCGTATGAGCCGCCGCCGAGTTATGCGGGATATTAATCTGGGGTTTGTTAGCCTGTCCACTCTTTTGTTTTCTTTCTTTTATCATTTTTGGTCTTCTCTTGGTCATATCGTTGTGATGCCTTCGTCTTTTGTGTTTTTTTCCTGCTCTGTGTTGTCTTGTGCGTCACATTATCTCGAATCTTTTGCACGCTCTTTTATCTGTCCTTTTCCACACTCGAATTTGAATGTGGCACCATGTATACTGTGTATATATGGCCCAAACTGACTGCCATATTCTTATCCTTAAACCTTTTGAATATTTTGTCATACTATTGTATTCATGGAAGCCGCCCTTCCAGCCTTGTCCCTCCCCTTCCCTCATAGTATTTTGTACTTATTGATTCCTCCTCTCTATCTGTTGCCCGTTGGAATAACTTACATTTCATCGCCGTTTTTCTGGGTATAAATGGGCTCTCAAACTGAGCTCTAGCTCTACCGTCCATAATATTAATATTGTCCGGGGTGGACTTAGAAATTGAGGATTGCTCGTGAGTGTGGCCCACATCAACGCCACATATCCGTACTGTGCTGCGGCCGTGGGTCCGTGATGTCTCCCTCCGCACCCAGGAGCGTCAACCAACCTTGGCGCCTGAGAAGCCTGAACTTAACCCTTGACGGCTTCTTTGTTAACGAACTTCGACAATTCCTACGCTCTGTGCCTTGGTCTAGTTCCTTCGTAGGATATACTCTTTGAAGAGGCTCTAGGATGGCATATCAATCTCCTCTCATATCTATCCCGAAGAAGGGAACGGAGGAGGTAGACTGGACGACACCAATACGGAGTGCGATAGGTCAATCGTATGGAGAAGACCCAGACAATTATGCCTCTGAATGTGCTGCTCTACAGCGGTGTAGACAAGATGCCGTACGAGGTGCTGGAAGTGATACAACAGGTGCGTCGTACCCCCACAGATAGCCAATATAACTGACTGCTTCATCGTTCTATCACTGTTGCCCTAGCTCGCGATCTCCTGTACAAATATTTTGGACAACTAGAGCTACTAGAGCTCAGATTTCCCGAGATACGAGTCAACTTCCCGTGGCGAGATGCGTTCACTGCGAAGCTCATCGTCCAGACCTCTCTTGCCTACGAGAAAGCATCTATCATATTCCAAATCGCAGCCACACACGCCGCCATCGCCGCCTCTCAATCCCGCTCGGATCCCGAAGGTCTCAAGCGTGCATTCTATTACCTCAAGTGCAGCGCCGGAATGCTCACTTATATCAACGAGAACTTTCTCCATGCGCCATCGACGGATCTCAGTCGGGAAGTCATCAAGTTCCTCGTCGGGATCATCCTAGCACAGGCGACGGAAGTGTTCTGGGAGAAATGCAGGGACGAGAAGAAAGGAAACGCGTTGATGTCTAAGATTGCGTCGCAGGCTTCGACAATGTATAATGGGTTGACGGAGGAGGTGAAGGAGTTCATGGGCAAGGGTATCTTTGACCGGAATTGGGTCACAGTCATCCAAGTACGTCACACATTCTGTTTCGTGGGTGAAGGCTCAAAAATGTTGACGAACGAGTTATCTAGTCTAAAGCGAAACACTTCACGTCTATAATGCATTACTATCGCGGTCTCGCAGACGCAGCTGCCGGCAAACACGGCGAAGCCCTCGTCCGCTTTAACCTCGCTGAATCCCTGGCCAAAGAGGCGAACCGCACTGCGAGCTCTTTCGCCTCTATATTCCTTCCACCAATGTCTCCCAACCTTCCGCCTGATGCTGGCACCACTCTGCTCGACCTCACCAAAGCCCACCTTGCTCTCTGCTCCGAACGACGCGCCGAAGCCCAGCGCGAGAACGATATGATCTATAACGCAGTACTCCCCGCCCCGGAGACCTTACCCGCCGTAGACAAGTTGGCTGTCGCGGAGGCAATACCTATCCAAGAGGTTTACGGGACACCCGAGGTGCAGAAGGTCATCGGGAGTGACCTGTTTATCAGGCTTATCCCGTTGAGCGTGCATGAATCTGCGAGTGTCTACTCAGAGGAGAAAGCGAAGCTTGTCAGAGGTGAGGTGGAGAAAGCGGAGGAGGTAGCAGCGGAAATGAGAAGTGTGATCGATTCGCTGGGCGTGAAGGCTGGTTTGGGCAGGTTCAAGGCTATGGTAGAGGGTGGCGTAACCGGAGAAGACGAGATTCCGCCGGACGTGAGGAGATTCAGGGAGGATATTGCCCTGATTGAAGAGCGGGAGAGCGTCGACGTCTTGATGGAGAGGTTGACAAAGGTGCGACAGGATGTGCAGAAGGAACTGGAGAGCGTCGAACGGGAGCTCGAGATCGAGTCGAAGGATTGTGAGGCTATGAGGGTCAAGTATGATCATCTCTTCACACAGGCGCCTAGTGCTGGGTACACCAAGAGCTTTAGAGCGGATTTGAAGAGCCATTGGCAGGCTTGGACTGCGGCGGGCGCGAGCGACGAGCAGGTCAGGGCATTGTGGTCTGAGGTGGTGATGGATATTGGATTGCTGCTCTCAGAGGAACAGGTCGAAGCGGTGTTCAAGGACAGTGTGAAGGCCGGACATAATAGGAGGGAGAGCTTGTTAGATCTGGACATGGAGAGGGATGATGAGGAGAGACATAAGATCGCGCAATTTGTGGAGGAAATTGACGAGAGGTTGGGCAGGTTGAACAAGATCGAGAGGGAGCGAGAGCAAACCCTCAAGGACCTGAAGGACAAGGTGCGTTTTACTCGATAGATTCCATAGAGATAACCGACTGAAACCTCCTGGTACAGATTCAAGCCGACGATGTCTCGCACCTTCTGCTCTTGAATCGCCGCAATCCCAACGTCGAGCCTACACTTTTCGCTACTGAGCTAGAGAAGTTCCGCCCATATCAGCAACGACTAGGCCAATCCGTTCATCAGCAACAGCTCGCTTTACAGGAAGTCACCACCCTGTGGAAGGGACTGAAGGACCTCGCTGGCAGAGGTGATGGTGCCAGGAAATGGGACGAACGGGAGCGAAGGAAGAAGGAAGCCGTACGAAGATTCTCCCGTGCTCGAGACGGATACATGGAAGTTCGAGACGGACTGGCGTAAGCCATTCTCCCTCATCCACTCATATCTCATCAGTCGACTAACCTCATATCCATATCTACAGCAAGGGACTACAATTCTACTCTGAGCTTTCTTCGCTCTCTTCAGCTCTCCAGCAGAATGTGCGCGAATTCGTGACGTCCCGTAACCGCGAACGTGAAAACATCGCCTCTCAAGCAGCAACACAGCAACGTCTCTCTTCGCCATCTACACCCGTCTCCCCACCTCCCAAACCTCCACTCCCTCCTTCTGCCCGCGCAGGTTTAGAGACCTCTTTTGCCTCCCTTAGTATGAACGGAAACGGGACTCCAACCAGAGGAACACCCGCACTTCCACCTCCTCCCCCTCCTTCGTGGTCCACCGCCACGCCACCGCCACCGTCAGCGTATGGAAGTGCGCCACCGCCACCTCAGAATTACTCGGCTCCTCCTCCCTCTCAATCACAGCAGCAACGATCATCAATGTACGGCGGGGGTCTCCCTCCGCCGCCACCTCCTCCAGGTCAATCTCCCCACTCGTACTCATCTTCGCCCCCGCCAACACATGATCCCTACGCCAGTCTAGGCTCTCTCTCATCATTCGCGACGGCGCCAAGTAATGCCTCGTCACCATATTCCGCACCCCGACCTCCTCCGCCTCAACAACCAATCCGTCAGGGGTCATACCCGCCTCCACCATCTGCTCAATCACCGTACCAGCAACCACAGTCATATCAGCAGCAGCAGGCTCCGGCCAGGCAAGGGAGCGGTATGTTACCGCCCCCACCACCACCGGTCAATTATCAATCACAACAGCCTCAGTATGGCGGGACGCCACAACCACCTCAGCAGTATCAGCAGGGCGGATATCAGAACCAGGGACAGTATGCGACGCCACCGCCGCCACAGCAGCAACAGCAACAGCAGTATCAGGGGTATTGGAAGTGAGCGTGACGTGTTGATGGAGGACAGATCAATTTTCCCGGTGTTTTCTTGTCATCACCTTACTATCTCATGTGAGATGCGTTCAAGGAGCTGGAGGAGGAGGGAACGAGGTTGAGGTCGTGGGTTTTGCGAACGATACCAGAGATTTCAAGGAAGGATTGATGGTCCCATAGTGTTCGATTGACATATGCTTGTAATTCGTACGATATATGTTGTTGTCTATGGAGCTTTGTGTAAGACGGTGTAACAAACGTGGGAGAGCCTTGCCCATTATCGTATGCGAACCTCGAGGATAGAATGTTCGTTCCGTAATAACTCCGCTGAGTGGGCACTTCTAGGTATGTTTTAGCGCTGGAGCGCTGAACCGGGGAGGAGTTGGGTGATAATAATCCACTGACATGTCTCGAGAGACCGCAACATTTCGACCTTCGATCCCCGTACACCTATAGAGGCCAATACCTTTAATCGACCATCAAACTACAGGCACAACTTGTCGTATATTTACAAAGTACAGGATCAACCTCTAGATGGAGGAGCATGTGCAAAGTTCGTGAGCATGAGGCAGGAAAAGGCACCAAGACGGGACGCAGACTCGACATATCACGTCTGTCCAGCACGGAGAATCAACACCAGACATGGTCCAAGAAGATCTAGGTGCCTGGCGGTGAAACTGTATGACCCAGACTAGCATGCTATCACTTTGAGTTTGTGGTAGCACATTCTAACGCCCAATTGAAGGCATGACACATCGGACTCACCTGGGTATTGTCCTCGCGGATGCCAGCCGTCAGATAGGAACAGTCTACTATCCTGTGTGCGCTGGCAAAATGACATCAAAACCTGAATGGAGAACAGAAGGTACCAAGCCTGCATGCTAGCTCCCTCTCGAGGAATCGTACAATGAGAAATTTCGGGCGATATGTGTTGTGTTGGTACTCTGTCGCACTTTCAAGCTTTGTTTTGACCATCCCCTAGGCAATCTCTAATCCGAGAGCTATAGTCGACAGGTATATCAGGAAATACAGGGACGGATATTCCGCTGGAGAGTCCGATAATTCTACTTGATACAGAGTTGCCTATCCGTTGGAAGCAGTGATGGTCGTATGGCATTGGACGCAACGTGCGTTATATTCGGATTGATATCGTCTGGACCATCAGCAATCCCATCTGGTGCACTGAACAGTTGACCAGAAAAGCATTAATCTTATTCCTCGAGCGAGATCGTCCGCTGTGAGACCATATGGTTCAAGATATCCGTTTCACGCACCTCTGAGCTGTCCTGTAGCAGTCAGAGATAAAGACTCGGGATGAAAGCGAGCAGAGCGTCTTTGTCAAGATGGAAACAAAATGTGAGGGTTGAAACGTCGTTCTCAATCAGCCTATGCTTACTGACAGGTATCCTGAAGGAGTCGGCGCAGGGAGAGAGAAAGAACAATGAGAGGGATGGGGAGAGCCGAAGCTGATCTCAGGCCAAGAGAACGGAGACTGCCGGCTTCCATAATCACCGCTATTAGGCTGCAGTCCTCTTCGAGTTCCTGACCACCACTACGTTCTACCTTCCGACCCAACACTCTGGACCTCTTGCCGCATGCTGATCTGCTTGAAGAAGCCAAGACTTTCCGAATCGATCCACAGAAGGTTTACTTGGCGCTCCTCGACCTGCTGAGACCACTATGCTCTACGGGACCTTGTGCTAGCAAAGATGCCGCTCAGGCTTCAATCAGTGTAACAGCATGGACATTGAACCGTCAGGGGGAAGTCAACCCATTCATAACATGCAAATTTTGATATAAAATGGTAGGCTTTCATAGACTTGTTGGCTATCGAACTCCCTTCGACTCTCAGCATCTTTCTTGGAACAGCTCTTCCCTTCGTCTCAGGTTGTCGCAATGAAGTTCATCACTGTCTCCGCCGTCACGGCTCTTGCCTCGACTTCTGGTGCCTTTGCGCGCACTTTCACGGTCTATAACGCTTGCCCATTCACCATCTGGCCCGCTGTATGTTATACTCTGTTACGCTACTTTAGTCCTATGCCATCTAACAGCTGGCTCCTGTCTAGTTGTTCACCGACTTGACTGCCGGCACAGCCGTGCCATCTCAGGCAACCGGATGGCAAGCAGATTCAGTACGTCCATGTCTTAGTACGTTATCACCATAGTTTTACTAACCATTTGGTTCGTAGTACACCGCGGTATCCTTCTCTGTCCCCGACAACTGGCGGGCTGGCCGCATCTGGGTATGCGAAGCTCCCTCTTACGGGTCCTCAATATAGCACTGATAAGATTTAATTCAAGGGTCGTCGCGACTGCGACTTCAGCACCAATCCTGGTCCCAACTCATGCCTCGATGGTGGTTGCAATGGCGGTCTTCTCTGTGATCCTCACACTGGTACCGGTGTCCCTCCGGCCACAGTCGCCGAATTTACACTGAGCAACGTTGCCGGTGTTCCGGACAACTACGATGGTACGACTGCTGCATGGCCATTTTTTTTGTATATTTATGCTTACACATAACGACTAGTTTCCCTCGTTGATGGTTACAATCTGCCCATGCGTATTGACAACAACAAAGGATGCGGCGTTGGCTCATGTCCGGTTGATCTTGGTCCCAACTGTGAGCCGCGTTCTATCCATAGCAAATTTTCCTTCTCTTACATACTCGTCATCTTTAGGCCCCTCGGACATTCAAGGTCCCTGGGACAGCTCTGGTTTCCCTGTTGGCTGCAGGAGCGCTTGCCAGGCTGGTCTCTCTCCAGACCCCGGTACGTATCTCAGACTTCGTCTATGACTCAAGTTGACACTCATCAATCATTCCATTTAGCCAACTCTCCCTACTGCTGCACTGGGAGCCACGACACTGCTGCGACGTGCCCTCCTTCTGGTGTCCTCCACTACGACTACTTCAAGGGCAACTGCCCCGACGCTTACGCTTATGCTTACGACGAGTCTTCCGGAACTGCTCTCTGGACCTGTGACTCTGCCCTCTTGGCTGACTACACTGTAAGTTCTGACCATCTTCCGGGTAATGACCTCCATAATGACCAAAATATTATCTCCTCAGATCACCTTCTGCCCTTGAAAGAGTTATATTTCGGCTCAATATAAAGTTTGGGATTTAGTATGGCCGTAGGGGTAAGAGAACAGAGTGGAAAACGAATTGTGACGATATTTAAAGGTATACTTATATGTACTGCGTCTCACTGGGTTTTATCTGGTCTGTACGTGTTATATGGGTTTCTTGGGCTTTTGATGTGCTATAAAAACCGACGATTTCACCTACTCAGTCTGCCAGAGTCTGCCAATAACATTTTCTCGTATCTCGTACCCCGTTCGATGTGAACAGTAGCATACGCCACCGCCACTGCCAAGAAGCCGTCCACGTGGCGCCGGTAGTAAACGAGCTCATGCGTGTTGGCTCAGTTGCACACTTTACTTTCTTTGACCATGTCTTTCGTACTCGGTCCTCTCTCTGGGGCACTTGTCGCGGGAGGGGTACGTTCATCAGCTCTTAAGAAACATTCTGGTTTTTGACTGGGGCGCTTTAGTTCTACTATGGATTCTCGAACCTCATTCAAACGAGGTGAGTCGGTGCTGCTATCTCCCGCAACTTTGGTACATTCTCGGTCTGAACCCTAGCCAACTTGGGTAGAACAGAAAAGCACCGTAGAGAGTCAGTACGAGTCATCCAATAATATCTTCGCTGAGCTGATAGATTCATCGCCGACGTGCAGCATGCACACATTATCCATCCAGCTGATCACACCACCATCCGCACACCCAGCCCCTGCCTCAGCGGCCGCCCGAATTGTTCACGAACCCTTCTCGTCTATACTGAAGACACAATGGAATGAGCGTCTTGCGGGGCTCTACAGGACTGTCGGAGATTCGGAAGGACGTCTAGTGCAGTGGGGCAAGAAGGTTCTGTACGGAGAGCGTACGTCCGACTCGTAGACCATTTCTGCTCGACACCTTGTACGTCTCTTCGTCCTCTTGCTCTTCGGATTCACGAATAGAAAACGATGGGTAAAGATCATAAAGATCGTGAAATTCTTGGCATAATCATATAGTCGTAACATCATAATGTGGCATAATCATAATACAAACAGTGCGGGGCGACCTCAAACCCTCATACAACAACAGGAGAAAATACAGGAGAGGTAGGTGAACTTTCGAAGTGAATAAGTTAGTGTTAATGTCATAAAGAATAAATGCCGTCTACTGCAAACCCAAAAATCGTACACTCTTCCTTGCGACCAGCGACGATGAAGGTGGGCGGCCTTCAAGACGACCACGGCGACTCCAGCGTGCTGAATGACGCGATACTCGAACAGCTCTCGCAGCTCCAGTCCGACTCCGCGTCTGAGCTCACGTCCGACTCTGTCTCGGCCTCCGAGTCCGTGTCGACATCGATGTCGCTCTCGGTCTCCGTTTCTTCTTCGGCATCGTCGACATCGTCTCTAGGACGGTCGAGTGCGGCGCGAACTGCGAGCGAAGTCGACTTGCTATGTGAAGTGATTCGCGAATTCACGTCTCTGACCTCCAATGAGAAACATAGCCGTCCACGCGCCAAAGAGAAAGCTCGTGACCACGCACGATGCGATTTCGCTCGCCGAGGGTGCTAATGCTCGGATCGAGCGCAAGAACGTCGCGTCCAGCTCGTCGTGGCCCTGTACTTCCGGGTCCGCCTCCGTCTCTGTTTGCGGGGCCGGGGCCTGCGGCAGTTTCTCAGGCGGTTGCCGTGCGAGCGGTGTCTTCTCGTCGACTTCGGACAGGATGGTGGTGCTTGGGAGCATAATGCCCTTCTCGAGGTCAAGGTCCACGTCGCCGGAGGTGTGCGGTGGCGGGGGTGCCATGATGTCGGGGTCGATGATCATAGAACCCATTCTCGAGTGAGATTGTACCGAGGCGTACTCGTCGGTGAGGACTTGGAGTTCTGCGACGACGTTCTCGAGCCTCAGCACCTCCTGGATCGCATGCTCCCTCTGAGCCTCCCTCGTCTCCTCCCCTACCACCCTAACCATCTCCTCAATCAGATCCCATATCTCGCCATGCTCCCTAACCCACCACATTCCCGGCCATCGTGCGATGATGTACGCCAGCTCAGAGACAGTGTCGACGGCGTCCTGGAAGTCCTTCATGACTCGACGCTGGAAGTATGGTCGAAGGAAGCCGAGAGCGAGACGGACGGAGGAAGCGGTGGTATCGCGGAGACGAATATCGGGAGAAAGACGGAGGAATGCGTCGGATAGTTGTTGGCAGAAATGTTGGTACGAAGGACGTGATGTCTCCCACGCGAGTGCAGAGAAGACGCCCGGCTTCATGTCATCGTCGCCAGGGTAGGTTTCTTCCGGACGAAGGAAGTAGGAGGGGAGTTTCGGGAGAAGGGTGACGATGGGGATGGTGGAAAGGACGGCGCTGCCTGGGACGTAACCGTACACGAGGACGTCCTGCGCCTCGGTGGCGTAACGGTACCACTTCCAGTGGTCGACGTGTCGCCTGATAACAAAGGAAACGCCGTTAGCTCTGACGTACGAGGCATGAGGTGAAGCATGCGGGTGGAGGATGAACTCACTCTTTCGGTGAACCCTTCCGGAGAAGTTCGAGAGCAGTGACAGCACGGCCAGCGACCGCCCTAGCATCGATAACAGCGATCTCGACATCTTCCCTTCCAGTCTCCCTCATCCTCTTCGTCGCCTCGAATAACGCCCACGCGAAGCTAAAGGACGTAGTCACGAACGGCGACTCGTTCTTCTTCGTCCAGTCCATGTGGTTCGCCACATCGTGGTACGAATATCCGGACCCGCCTTTGGAGGTGCCGTGCATACCGTGCGAAGCGCCAGGGCTGAGGAGCTCGAAGTCCTGGACAGAGTAGCGATAATTGTTCTTGAATTTCTGGCCAATGAAGAAAGGCTCTGAGCTGTCGAAGAAGGGAGTCATCGGCTTGGGATGGTATACGCGGAAGAGGAAAGGGTTGTGGGAGACGAGGGATTCAAAGGTGAGGTCGGGGCCGAAGCCATACTGCGGCAGGGCGCTGAAGCCGAGTTGGAATGGACCGATGGTAGGGGAGTCTTTGCACGGGCTGGCCATAATGATATATATTCGTGTAGTGTCCAACTAGGGACTTAAAAAATGCGGATGTGACGGGGCAGGGTGGGACAAGGGCGTAAGTGGTGGAGGGCGGAGGTAGGGGAGTCGTGAACAAGAATCGCGGGGTGATTGTGCAAGAACAATACGGGACCGGTATGTACGGGCTCGCAGTTTTATGGCAAAGTCGCGTTTCCCACCACGCACCGGCCTCACGCGTTCAGAACGCTCAGGCCGTACGTTTTCACCCTTCATCCTGCTGCCTGCAAGATCAGTGATCAGTAAAATGGTGTTAGACGATAGGCTACACCGCGGTCGCATTGAACACGTGTGGACAATGAGGCCCAGATACTGACATAACCCTAGTGCTGGACTTCGAGAACCAGGTCGACGAGTTTTTAATCTCCAAAGTGTGAGGGCAATGTCGGAGAATGCAACACCGGCTGACTAGACATGCGATACTCAAACATAGACAGTGGAACACCGCTCGGAAAGCACCCTCCGCCCTATCGTGTCGATCTCGGAGCCAAGCACCACAGGCACTCACGCACGCCACGAGCTGAAGAAGGCTCAGCTAGTGTAGGCGATAGTTCTCATACGAAGCCCAGAGGTGCCTGATGTCTTTTCAGGCTTGGGCTGAGAGTAGAAAGCCGAGCAGTAACAGTGATAGATGGCTACGGTCCTCAAACTATCCGTGGGTCGGGGTGCTTTGAAGATTAGTAGTCAAATCCATCCACGTACCGTAACCGATTCTGCGCGTGTCGGTCGTAAGTGTATCAAAGCATAACAGGGCACACACGAGCATAAGCCGCCCTTGACGCGAAGTTGCCCGGTGGCAACCTCGTTCAGTCCTCGTGGAGAGCGTCGATCGTGCACTGCAGCGCAGAGCTATTGAAGTCAATCGGGGCCGAACCGTCGCATTCGGACCAGAAACCTTGGGATATCAAGTAGAACAATCTACTGAACGGAGAGGTTGATCGCACAATGAAAATGGTTGACGGTGACGAGAATAGCAAATGGAGAGCCGGAGAGGTTGGTTCAAGGCTGTTCACGGATATGCGCCTTGTGGCAGAAATAGCCTCCGTTTTTGGATCGGAGTCCGAATCAGCAATTCATGGCAAGTTCGGTGGCGACGGTCATCGTGGCGTCCCCATCTCCGTTCGGTCAGTGCCACGCATGCACACGGCGGCGGAGGCTACTTTCCGGACACCCCAAACAGGAAACGGAACGTAATACTACAAATAATGACATAGGGTTAGGTTTCGAGGTACATGTATATAATATTAAAGCATACTCTGAATGTCAACCGATTCTTTGTGTTCGGGTTTGCGACCGGTATTGGGTGAAGGAGTTCAGATTAATAAAGCATAGTGCCTGTTAGAGAATAAAAGCAGCTTATGCCGAACAGGATACTATAGTCATTCCGGAGCTTTGTGTTCCGAAGCCGGTATAGGGTCCCCAGAAGGGTTTGTTTAACAAGGCCGGAATTCAATGCGGCACTTTATGACTAGCAGGTGCGGTAATTTTCGTCGAGTTGATACCAAAGATAAAATCAAGCCAATGAAATACTTTTTGTTCAGCAAGATGTTCAGGAGAAAGTAGACCTTTTGTCTTGCGTACGCGGAACTCAATACCATTGTTTCTTTACCGCATTTGGTTGAGTGCACGCTAAGAAAAAAGAATAGAGCAGACGAAAAGATTAAAACAGGATCCGCTGTACATAAAGATCAGCATTCACTAAACTGATCGCCCGCTCATTGTTGGCTCTGGCGATGAGCGGGCATTCAATTTAGTGTACACCGATCTTTATATACAGCAGCCGCTGCACAAAGGATTCCGTTGAGGCTGTAACTTTTGCTTTGTGGATCCAAAAGCAGATGCGGATAATGATCAAACAGAAATGGATTCAGTATCCCCCAAGTAAAAGGTTCTCTTTCTCCCTCTTTCATTACAAGGCCTAATATTTCGTGCCCGCCATGCCTTATCTTTGGCATTGACTCGATAAAATATATTGCTTCGGCTGAACACAAAGTACCGGTTTCAGTCCCGGCCCCGCCAGATAAATTCCTTTGTGAGTCCTATATCGGCATCGGAACGCAAAGTTCCGGAACGAGGACAGCATCCAGTTCCGCACCGGCCGTTTTTGTGCTTCACCACACTCTATATTTTATTAATCTGCCCTCCTTCACCCAATACCGGTCGCAAACCCGAACGTAAAGAATCGATTGATATTCAGGGTATGTTCAATATTATATACATGCATCTCGAAACCCAACCCTATGCCATTATTTGTAGCATTTCGTTCCGTTTCCTGTTTGGGGTGTCCGGAAAGTAGCCTCCGCCGCCGTGGCAACCCTCTAAGGTGCTAGGTAAAGCGCCGAATGCACTCCGCCCTTTCTTTCTAGATTGGATAACTGGTTAGGTGAGATAGCCAACTCGAGAAGTTGACGATATAAGTGACCTTGACCAAGAGCTCACGGGTACTATGTGCTGGCAACCTCCTAGAATTAATCTCCCGCGCCGCACTAGAAGCTGCATTTACAATCTCACTCAAGAGAACACATAGATTGATCCTCGCTCAGTGGACTTGTCTCTCTCGCCGATCATCAGGTAGATTTATCCACTAGGTCAGTGGTAATGGCGTCAACACTGATGCTAGATTCCGACTCTCTTAGCTGCCATCGCGGGTCGATGGCTAGTCTTCCAGCCATATATGTCTCAAAGACCGCGTCGTGGCTCCCGAGTCTATCCGACAAGTACTCAACCCTTCCACCTGAGCTACATCTCCGCATAGCGGACTACTTCGATCCCTCCGACTTCCGAACGCTCAGTTTCGTCTCCCATCGCTTCTACAACTTATTCGCTCGAGATGCCCTCATCTCAGACCTCCAGGACTGCCTCAGGCGCGAGACAATCCTCTACTCATACACCACCAACTATCCCTTCCACAAACTCTACAAGGGCTCTTTTGAGAGGCTGAAGCTCGAGCCGAAGTTCAAATCTAAACCGGAACAGGTCATCATCCAACGACCCTTCGTCGTCCGCGACATCTACTACACTTCGTCCGGCTCCGCCAACACCCCTCGATCCATCAAACTGAAGATATACCAGCCGCCGTTCTTTCGCAAAGATTATTACACCAAAGATCTTGACATTTACGTCGATCACGACGACGATGTCTATCTCCTCCATTCAGACTCCAACCGTCTGAGCTATCAGTCGAAAGACTGGGATCCTGGCGCTCCGGACCTCGAAGAGGAGAGGTTCAAGATAGTCGAGTTAGAAGACATGGTGGGGAATGGGACGTTTATTGGAAGGGTGACGGGGAAGATGTTGAGGGCGAATTGGCAGTGTCCTGAATGTGGCGACGGGAAGTATATGTGCCCAGATTGTGGCGGGTCTTGGGACAGGTATGTGCTCAGTCTAATCCTTTGGACTCTCATCTCCGTGTAGTGGCATATACATTTGCAATTCGCTGACTGCGATGTTCTGTTGCTTGCGATAGTCCGAAACCATATAAGGCCTCCGGCGTCTTCGTTTTCTTCTTACTCCTCCTGTATACCCAAGGTGCTGTTTTATCGTTTTTATTCCGCTTTCTGCGGCGGTGAATTTATACTATTGCACAATGGGATCCACAATAAGTTGACACTATTCTGGAGTCTGTAGCGTCTGTCACCGTATCACCCACCCAATGTTGTCAAGAGTCCCATGCTCTCTCGCGGACTTTGGAACGGCAGGGTCGTAGATCCACATCCATTACAAAAAGGACTTTAGGGAAAACAATACCACAAAGTATAGCACGGCACTTGACGAGAGTGGGATTCGAACCCACGCCCCCGAAGAGACCAGATCCTTAGTCTGGCGCCTTAGACCGCTCGGCCATCTCGCCTTAGGCTTCTTTTATAATGGGGCGCTATAGCTCACGTAAAGATAAGAACTAAGAAAGTGTTGACGCTCAGTCACCAACGCATGCGAGAACACAGGATGCAGGCTTTGATAGGGTCAGTGATATTCGAGTACGTGGCGATAGATTTTAGATAAATCCACTCCACTAGTAGTCATCAGAGGGATATCACAGCTTTAGATGTACAGCGAAGGTCTGCAGACCCAATCCACCACAGACTGTACCACGAACGACATCCACACATAGCCGGAATTCCCTGCATGATATCCAAATCCGAATCAAGCATCTATAATAATCATAGGACCACAGCTACAAGCTATACAAACAATAGTGATGCACTTCTCTCGTTCCTTCGTCCCCATGAAGAAAATCCATCGGTTGGCCTACAACAACAATTATGCAACTTCTCTAACTGATCCCGGCGCGCCCCAATTATCGACAACGAACAACGAGAAGCAACGAAGCGCTTAGAGTCGGTCTGAGAAAAGAATTGTGGGCGTAAGTCTCGAGCATACCGAAATGTTTGGGGAGGGTACGTACTGATGTTGCCGAGATCGGTGCATGCCTCCTTGACACGCACAGAGAGGGTCTTCTCGCCCTCACGGACCCAGACACGGGGGTCATATTGCTATAAGGACGCCCGTTGAGTACAAGCACGGATAATGAGTATGGGGTCTGTTATTACACACCTTCTTGTTAGGCTTGTCAGCACCCTCGGGGTTGCCGACCTGGGTCATGAGGTAGTCCTTCTTGTTGAGGACGTAGTCCTACACGAAGTCATGACCGGTCAGAACCACGATGGCTTTTAAAGAGAGAAACAAGGCGTACCCTGATACCAGCGAGGTAGGCGAATTGGGTGTCGGTGTCCACGTTCATCTTAACAACACCGTTGGTGACAGCAGTCTTGATCTCCTCCTTGGTGGAACCGGAGCCACCGTGGAAAACGAGGTACCTGGATGATGGCGATATGTGAACAAAAGTACGAAAACAAGTCGTAGAAATAAAGAGGATCACACTCACAGAGGCTGCTCAATCTTGCCACCGACCTTTTCCTTGGCGTAGACCTGGTGCTTGTGGAGGAGCTCGGGGTGAAGCTTGACGTTTCCGGGCTTGTAGACACCGTGCACGTTACCGAAAGCAGCGGCAATGGAGAAGTTAGGGCTGATCTTGGAGAGAGCCTCATGGACCTCGTAGACATCCTCGGGTTGGGTATAGAGCGAGTTGTTGTCGACGCCAGTGTTGTCAACACCGTCCTCCTCACCACCGGTGATACCGATCTCCATCTCAAGCCAGAGACCGATGGGAGCCATGCGCTCGAAGTACTTCACGCAAGTGGCGATGTTGTCCTCCTTTGACTCTTCCGAGAGGTCGAGCATGTGCGAGGAGAAGAGGGCTTCTTGGTGGATCTTGAAGTACTCCTCGTCAGCGGCGAGCATGCCATCGAACCAAGGAAGAAGCTTCTCGGCGCAGTGGTCGGAGTGGAGGACGACGGGGCTAATCGTGGGCATGTCAGTTGTGGCGTGGAAATGAGACATAGGGGCTCATGAAAAAAAAAATGAGCTTACACGCCGTAAGCCTTGGCGACGGTACGGATATGGTGGGCGGCGGCAACGGCACCGGTGATGGAGGCCTGCTGCTTGTCGTTGGCAAGACCCTTGCCAGCGAAGTAGGCAGCTCCGCCCTGGGAGACCTGGAGGATGATGGGAGCCTTGATATCCCTGAAGAGATCGTAAGTTTGAGCGTGAACGCTAAGTAAGAATCTGGGCGCACCGAGCGGCCTCGAGAACAGCGTTGGCGGTCGAGGAGGAGGTTACGTTCTGGATGGATATACATTAACAAGAGCTCGGATATGGGAAACATGCTATCGTAAACTCACGATGGCCTGTTTGAATGCATGATCAGTACAGATCGGTGTATGACGATGTGAGAAAGATACGCACAGGAATCGCAAACTGTCAAGACGCAGAGAACATAGTAAGAGATAAATTATGCCATTTAACTTCCTCGTACGATCAATGATGAGTAGTAAGGATACGTACTTTGTGCTCCTTAGCATAGTCGAAGAGCTTGCGAACGTTCTCGCCAGTCAAAACACCAGCCTGTCAGGGGCCACAGACGCTGTATGAGCAATACTCTCTATACCAACAACCAGACGATGATACTCACAGGTACAACGTCGAGAACACCCATGATTTTTGTTGGTCGAGGTGGTTGGTGAAGGAAAATAAAATGGAGGGGGTTTGTGGTGGGAGATGGTGGTGGAGAGAAAAGAGGGCGAGCGCGGGTTAAAAGCGACGTCGGAGGTCGATTCCGTCGGGCCCGGAAATTGACGTCAATCCTTTTCCGTCGACTCGCATTGCCAAATCCAAGATCGATAATTCGTCTGATCTAATCTCGCCCCTTCCCAGAATTTCTTCCCACTCCCGCTACCATCCTCTCTCCTGCTCTTTATTTGACTTTCTGCTCTCTTGATCCACAGAAAACACAACCATAAAGTAGCGAGAACGCTCAGGAATTGATACTCGGGAGTCCGACAGGCACTTGACATGTATGATAGCTCGGGTGGCGACGGACAGTGGCTCCGCTCGAGCCCCAGCAGGCCCAACGCCTCGACGCACTGTGCTAGGATCGACCCGAGTATTCACGATCACCATCACGCTTTGCCTGCTCGGAGTGACGGAGCATCATAATGCTCTCGAAGCGACTAGGTACATAAACGCATCTGGAATTCATGACGGAGACTCGAGAGGACTAGAAGACATGTGATGGCTACAGGGGGTGTCAAAAAGGATTAGAGGTGAAATCATCGAAAGCATGTGTATGATCCGCAGCGGCAAATACGCCTGGCTGCGAGCACGACGGTCAACCCAAAATAGAGCACATAGGAAAACAAGCAATGTCCCAATAAATATCTTCTCGACGCTCGCAAGTCACCTCAGTCAAAGGCCTTGCTCGCACTGGAAGAGATATATGGTCGTGAGCCAGCGGTTGTGAGTACGATGTCGAGGCACTAGGCGACTTACGCAAACGTCCAAACGTTTTGAGGGTTGTTGTACGTATCCGCCGTATACGAGAAACGCACTGTTCGCGAATGAAAGCGTGAGTGAGGAGCAAAGCTCCACAATCAAGGTAAAGAAGACATACGTTTCGGCTGCTCAGAGAAGTATGCTGAAGAAAAAGACGTCAGTTAGCGCGAGACATTGGGGAGCTCTGTGGAGATTGACTCACCGATTGGTGTGCTTTCGTCGAAGAAGCTATAGCATGTCCTCCAATTGTGTCTTTCATCAGGTGGGCGTGACGTGAGTTTTAATGTAAGTGAAAAGTTTCAGCCTGAGCGAAGAAAAACTAACCGCATATCGGCAGAGACAAGGCTACGGAGTGAAGTCGTTAGTTAAGCCCTTCGTACTAGGTCATCGAGGAAACTCACAGGTCAGGCGGGGCCAAGGGATCCTAGAAGCATCAAGAACAGGTGAATCAAGAAGGTACGTGACTCCACAAAAGATGGAGCTGGAACGAATTACTTACATCTTTCAGACCCGCTGTCTTAATCTCCGTGTCCAAATCCGTCCATTCCAGGACCTGCTCTCCGGCCATGCCTGTCACCATTCCGCTCGTTAGTCTCGTTCTCGTTCATTCATAAAATTCATTTTGGGGTGATGACTGACCCTTGAACTCAATACTCTCTCCAGGCTTGCCTCCAAACACGATCTGCGTCGTATTGTGTCTCTCGGTCATGATCGTAGAAAATTGAGCACACGTAGATGCACAGTTCCCATTGCTCACTATCCATGAACGTGAGATGATCAGATGCCCGTCTATAGAAAGGTAGAAAGTGAACGTACCGATGGCGACGTTTCTAGCGGCCGTTCACAAAAAGCGTCAAGCATGGTTTTTGTGCAGACTAATTGAGCAGGGCGAGTCTATGTACTTACGCGAGATCGAAGGGTGGGTCCTCAGGGATCGGTACGGTGAATTGATTGTTGCAAATATCCTACATAGACAATCCACTGTCAGAGATTCCAAGGAGCAGTGTCCGTTAGTAGCAAGAAAAGGATAGAGGCTTACATGAAGCCTCTGCGAAGTCGGATCACTCTGTCCATTAATTGTCGTCGGGACCAACGGGCTCATGTAGTTGGTAGTATCCAGGAAGGGCGTGTCATTCAAGAAAGCGTCTAAGGTGATCGAAAAAAGCTTAGCAGCAAGAAAAGGGCTATAATGATTTGATGGAGGAGGGCTCACAGTTACTGGGAGCATAGTTCGTCAGGTCATCAGTGAGTCCTAGCTCGATATTCGCGGCCACGAGTTTCTGGGCGAGCTCATTTCCCCGTACCGTGCTTTCGTAGCCGCTAAAAAGTCCACAATGACAACATCAGCCATTATAACGTACATAAATGATAGATTGAGGTACTCGCGCGTAACCAAAATTAGAACCTGCAAAATATGAGTGCAAAAATACGCCCAAACACACAAAGCCTCCTAGGTAAAGGAGATGGAGAAGGAACAAAGTGAGTGGCTTCCCAACGAAGAAGACTCCATGGGGAATCGAGGTCGGCTTACCGTTGTTGTTGGTCAGGTCAATCAAAACGCGCGTCACGCCCGCCTGCTGAAGCGCGGTGACCGCCGCCTGCGTATTGCTCTGAAACTCGGAAAAGTCATCCTCAAACGACCCGACGAACATCTACACCCGTACAGTCGTTTAAACACAGTGACCATAGCCCGTTAGTACCCGTTAGTCGTTTATGACCGTAAAATCAGCACTCACGACACCCGTCTGATTATCCTCAAGGAGGAAAGACTTCATGACTCCGGCCGAACCACCGAGTTGAGGTAGAGTGGGCTGGAAGGGTTCTGGCAGGCCGATGTTTTCTGGGGAAGGTTTGGAGATACCCATGGGTTGTGGTTTGGTGGGGCTGGATATACTGCGGCCGTTCGAAGGGGGCATACGCCGGTCGATACCATTGGTACCGTCAACAGCAGCGCAGTTATTCGCCCAGCTACGAATGAAAACATCAGCGTGTTGTCATACAAAGAGGAGATAGGTCGCGCCACATACTATGAATCAGCATCGGTGAAATCATTACCCATAAATACAGACAAGAACGGCACGAACACCGTCTCTTCCTTCGTCTCGTTCACCGGTATCACCGTCATCGTTACCCCCTCTACATCCGAGAACAACCTCCCAGAGAAGTCCCCAAATCTTTGACTGAACGAGTCGCCCGAAAGCCTATACGAAGTAAATACGCTGTTCACCCTCACGTTGTGGTCCAGATACGCGCCCGTCACCGTATCCGCAAGCATATCGACGTGATCCCAAGGGTCCATGCCCTCGATGGATGTGACTTGAGCACCAGCGAGACGTTGCCAGTCGAAGTTGATGGAGGTGAAGAAGGAAGTGAAGGGATCGCCGATGAGTTCGATGAATGCTACGGTATCGGGGGCGACAAAAATAGGAGGGTTGCTGGTGTCCGTTCCGTCTGAGGTCGAGAGGGCGACGATTGGTGTGGGGAGGATGTTTTCCCAGCTGAAGAAGTAGCAGTTGGATTCCCATACTGAAGGTAAAAAAAAATCCAGTCAGTTCCCTGCTGAGAAAGGGATGCCTGTGAAAGTGGCCTACATGTGTGGCCGTCATTCAGTTGATTGGTGAAATTGTAGAGATCCTGGTTGAACTCATAATCCGTCTGAAGGGAGAAATACTGGTTTCAGGAGGTAGAAGTTTTAGGAGTGGGAGAGATAGGCCTTTCTTACCTCGTACACCGTCGAGTTAATCCTGGCCAACTCCGACCGGATATTTGTTGTTGACTCTTGGAAGGGCGGAGGAGAGTCCAAATAATAATCCTCGAAAGTATAAAAATCGAAAACGCGGGAGACAACCGACAACACGTTCTGCCGGAGCGTTTCGTTGAAAGGAAAAGACTTCTGGCAAGCCAACGCGTTGGCTACAGGTACGAAGGTCTGTCCAGCAATGGCAGCACACGGATCTGTCGCCGCCGTTACGGCCGTAGGTGACGCAATGACAGAATTAAGGGCCGTTGTCATGGCCGCAAGAACGAAGGTACGCGAAGGCGATGAGAGCATCATTCGACCTTGAGACGGGGGAACGATGTGAACCGAGCAAAAAGCTGGGGGATTCCAAGCTACGACGCCTGCTCCCTCTTATACCCCAGCGATGCCGACCGAAAGGTATATCATGGAATCAAGCACCTACGACAGGTTCGATAAGTCGCCAAAAGCAGAACAAAGAACGCCACTCTTCTCATGAGCTGGGAAGCCCCGCGAGCGTCGTGGAAGCGTGGCACACGGCTGAACTACTTGGAAGGGAGGCGTCCATCATACCCGTTGGACTTGGAGAGCTCGCCTGTTCTCTTCAAGTCGGCAGTGGAGGGGAGTAGCGGTGCTGTATTTAGAAAGCCGCACCGAAGAGAGTGAACTGCGTCAATTGGGTGGCCGTATGTTTAGATCAAGTAAAAAGACAAGACCTTGGAGAGAACAAAGCACAACAATGCCTGAGAGCATAGTACTTTGCTGGAGGAACCAGAGTTGGGAGGCCTTCGTCATGATACTTCGAGACGTGGATGTGTACTGGTCTCCCGCAGTGTGATAGATCCAACAAAACTTGATTCGGATAACTGTCATAACATGTGACATGATGCTAGGCATCTCAAGAGTCGCAGCCGGTTGTCTACTTGAACGGAAAATTCTGGTCTCCGACAATGTGCCACATCTAAGCCGTGTCCTCGTGGCCCACGGGACTGAATTCCAGGCAGGTAACTGAAGACGACCTAAAGATGTACCCAAATTATCTTGTTTCACAAGCCATGGATGTACAGTATTGCAGATTTTCTACATCTGTTTCCTGTGATGCATCGGCTCCGGGGCCAGACAACAAAATACTTAGCACAGGAGGAGCCAGGTCAAGCAGCGAGAAAGGAAAGTTGAATGGATCCGGTCTTCTCTGTTTATATAGCAGATGTCAAGGATTCCGAACGGTATCTAGCTCCGTAAGATGTGTGAGCAGTAGGAGTACCTCGTTCGTACCTTTCATCATTACGATGGAAGATGGTAGGAGGACTTCAAGCTGACCGAGTAAGGTCACTGGTAGACTTGCTTGGGACCGCGCAGCGAAGCTGTTAGAGACAAGACACAAGGAGCAAGCAGGTAACTGATGTCATCGTGATGTGGGTGGTACATGGATAGATACTGTGTCCATCGCACGCATGAGAGTTCTGAAGTTCAAGTGAGGGAGAACAATTTGATTCCGACTCGTGCCACGCGCGGGCTTTCGCGGTGCTTGAAATGCCGCGTGGAAAGCACCATGGCCCGACACGATGGCGACTACGTTCGCCGACCCAAAAGGGTCCTCACGGAACGACGGCGATATTGACAGTTCACAAGATTGCGCTCTTGCAGACTTGAGAACAAAGCACCAGCTTGTAAACATATGTACCTGGGGTGCCCCTCGCCGAGATCCTTCGAAAGATTTGTTCGAGGAAGTTGGGAGTGCCTCTGCCGATCCCTCCCATGCGGCGCCGGCGTCTTGTGCGTCGTTTGAACGCTCAAGAGGATTTTCCAGTGGCTTAGCACAAAGGCCATACCAAAAACAGAAATGTAGTGACAAGGCGGAGCAAGGAAATCTAACAACTCTCTCGTACAAGGCTTTGGTCAGTGACATACGACAATTGCATGCGGTTTTGCTACAGATTGAATGGCTCACGGCAATACACGGTCAAAAAGGTATCATAAAGTAACAACAGCATCAAGGAAACACGGCATATGGAACTATGTGGAATGTAAAGTTGAAATAGAATTAGGCTTCGAGCACAAGAGCGGGCGGTAAGAACCAGAACGACGTGGTCTGTGGCGTTTTCTTTTCCAGATGAACGTTTGCCCCGTCTGGGGTCGATTTTCCCTGCATCGTCAATAGAATGGCTGATCAACTAAACCGCACCTACGACGACACGGCCGTTGTAGTGAGAACGTACCGTCCAGTATTTATTCTCGGACACAACCTTGCGCAACGAAGGCACCGCCTCCATTGTTTTCCGAACGAAATCTGTACGGAGGACTTTGCGTGGCCCATGGACAGAATGCGCATCACCTACATCGACAACCGTATGGACCGAACTAGACTTGGCGAGAGCCAGACGGAAACCTCTCTGCGATATTATTAGGAGCCGTCAGTTCACAGCCTTACTCCATGACGAGGAGACCAGAGGAAAAAGAATCAGGAGACTCACCAGATCCACTGCCTCCATGATTGGCAAGCTTAGCCTCTCCAGCTGCACACACTTCTGAGCAATATCCCCCACTTGCTTGTTGTCCACAGTACAATTCAGAAGGCTTATAAACCGTAGTGTATTCGCGTGCGCCTTCAGCAGGTCCTTGATGACACTTTCGCATGACATACGCATGCATGGTCTAAGGGCGACTGAAGAGATGGGCGAGGCAGCTAGGTTCATTGTTGAGAATATGGCAGACCAGAGTGCTCCTACGGCAGCCGATGCATTTCGGGTATGATTATCGGAGTCGAGGGCGAGATGACGGAGGTGGGTGAGCGCTGGGACATAGCCTGGAAGCTGGCGGTGATTGTCCTAAGATAGGTGTAAGAGGATGTACGGTTTGGTGACATAAGGGGGGGATAGAACAAAGACTGACTGCCGTAGACATGGCTAAGCTCTCTAGAAGAGGTGTATGCGAAGTAGCGCGAATGATATCGACATGGTCGACGGGGGAACATCCGATGACATGGAGGCCGCGAAGCTTTGGAAGGTGCGACAAGGTCCCTTGCAGGACTTGATCATTGAGATCGTGCGCGAGCTATTACAGAGTCGTAATCGCAAACGGAGTGAGTTTTGGCGAACCACGGTAGAACCTATGTTGGATATAGACTCACGTGTATGGTGAGATGCGTCAGGGTCTCCTGCAATTTCTCCGCCCACTTTGGCAACGAGTCCACCACTATCCAAGACGCGTTCTCCAGCGTCAAGCTCTTCAGCCCTGTTATCGACGTCAAAAGCTCCGTCTGGTCCGTTGTCAAGTGGGCGTTGATTCGAAGGGTTGTGAGACGTTCCTTATTCGGCAATGAAGAAAGAAATGAAGGAAGAATCTCTTGGGGAGTGCAGGTGAAGGTTTGGAGGTTAACAGCAGATGTGAGGACTTTTGCACATTCAAGTAAGAACCGGGGATGAGGCTGTGTCTTGAGATTTGACTCTAGCCGGGGTACGTAGCGAATCTCTGACAATAGTCTTAGGTCGAGAGATAATAGAATCAACGGAGGTAGACGCACCGACCCTTCGGACATGGATAGCGAGGTTCGGATGGGCCAAGATAACTGCAAATGGCGACATAACCTGGGGAGAGCTTTATGCCTTCATGTACGAGGAAATTATTGATATAAACGCACCTGTGAATATAGCTTCGCATGGCTCATACGGTATACGATGATCTTGTACAGGCGGGGAATGACGCCTGCCAGAAATGACCGACTAACTTGAGCGATGGATGCAAGATCATAACCAGACAGGTACGAGAACATGAGTTCGAGGACATCGAAGTTGAGATTGTCGGCAGAGACCATTGCTGAACGTTGGTCGTTGGGTGTTGGGAGCAAAGTCCTTTCGACTGAGTCGAAGTGTCACAATATTACCAAATGGACAATGTCAATATTGTGACGCGTCGGTGGCGTGAGAATATCATGCGTTCAGAGTTCGTGTGGCGTCGTCGCTTACCTGGGGATGCTCTTGCTCTCGTCCACATCGCTCCATTCGATCTCCCTTGAAGCCTAGCTCTTCTCATCATGAGGCAGCGTCTAATTCATAGGACTCAAATATGTCTCCAGAAGTCTGCTCTTGCCCGCTGCCCACCCATAATCGTTTCCCCCTTAGACTCGAGCATCGATCACCGAGACAGCTTGCTTGCAGCGATCCTGATAACTCTTGAACTCAATCATGTATACAAAACCTCCTTGTAGTTTCTGGCTTCAAGGCAAATGCACCTTTGGAGATAAATGCAAGAACCCCCATGCGGTCCCGGCTGCTTTAACCCCGACAATGACGCCGGCGACGAGGTGGCCGAAGCCTCAGGCTGAACTTGGTATATGTCCCTACTTCAGTAAAGGTACTTGCATGTTTGGAGGGAAATGTCGACTAGCTCATATCTCACCGCCGATGCAGAGTCAGTATTTTGACCGTTGATTTTTCAACAAGCTTCATATTGATTTTTGTAACCTCTGCAGCTCCAACGACCGTACCCTTGCCAAAACCCTTTGGTCCATGCAAATTCTTCGCCCAAGGAAACTGTAGCCGTGTTGACTGTCCCTTTTCTCACTACGAGCCTTCCCCGAGCGTACGAGAAGTCATGACCATATCACATCCCCCTCCTACTCCCTTCGTGGTTCGTAAGCCTTGCCAGAGACGGACACCCTTGTTGCTTGACTGATGAGGAGGTCACTCTTAGAAACCCCCAGTGGCAAACAAAGCTGCATGTCGATTCTTTCAGCAAGGCCGATGCACTCGAATTGACTGCCCATATTCACACGACGCACTTATTCAGAATGTGGAGGGCCCGAATGAGACTCTTTCGCCCGAACTCCACGAACAAGCCAATGCGCCACCGCTAGTAGTGCGTCATTATTGTCTGTGGTCCCTCTGCTTCTAAAAGTTTTGAAATCGGGTGTCAATCAGATCACAGATCAACCGAGCGCTGTACACGAAGAGGAGCAAACGAAGGCCCGCGGGGAGATCGCAAGCCATGAAGGCCACAACCTGGCCAACAACGACTCGATCATCCGCAATTATTCTGGCTGCAAAGCTTACTTCGGACCAGGAGCGATCGTCCAAAGGCTCATAACCGCATTTGAATCAAAAACAGTCGCCGTCTCCAACGTCCCAGCTGACGCATCCCGTCTCGCCTTCATCGAACTCGCCGAATCCTTTGGAGAGGTCAAGAGCATCACATACGATGGAACATCGGCCAGGATCGAATACACTGACGTAGCCGATGCAGCATACGCAGTGGAAGGCCTCAGCGACCGCGAACTGGGACAATTCACCTTGTCAGCTCGGTTTGATTTGCGGGCGGTAGCGGTTGGGCCTGCTACTCTGCGGAGTACGAAGGTCAGAGTTTCTTGGTATGCTCCGAGTACTGTGGCATGGGTAAGCCTAACCGTTCTTCCCATTTTCCGATTCCGCCTACGCGTCGTCCAAGCTGAATAATCTGCGATTCTTTTGCAGGCCCATTATGGACACCTGTCTAAGGCAAGGGCCCAGGCTAAGCGTCTCAACGGGCAAACATTCAAAGACCGTACGGTCCATGCTAAATTCCAGATACCCACCGGCCGCGGGAATGGACCCTTCAGCGTCACCCTGGAGGGCCTCCTTCCTTTACTCCCCGCCGATAAAGTGAACTTGAAATCATTCACCCAGGCAAGCCATATCGCATTCGGCCAACCATCCTATATCAAACACGTCGCAATCGACCGTATCCGTGACCTCCTCACAGGGTACGGTCACCTCGACTCCTTCGACGTCATGCCCCTCTCCTCCAAAGCCACAAAAATGACAGCATGGGTCCAATTCTCCGCTGCAGAGGACGCCGCCCGAGCCGTCGACAAAGTACACCAGACACGTCAAGAGTTCCTTCGCAACGGGCCGTTGTGGTTGGAACAGATTCATACCGTCAAGTACCTCCTCCCCCGTGCACAATTCATCGTCCTACGTGACGATTTGGATCGGTTACGAGCTACGACGGATGGATGTTGCCAGTTGCGGTACTATGACCAAGGGGAAGGAGGAGTTCCGGTCGATCCTGTTTGCGTTCGCGTTTATGGTCCCGATGCGAAGTCTCTCAGTTGGACGAAACGAGCACTGGAAAAGGCTGTTCAAGGTCACAGGCTGATGAACTCGGTTGGGGAGGTGCTGTGGCACGACTTCTTCGCCACGATATCAGGAAAGACCCTCCTCGATGGAATACAGACGGAATCTTCTACTTTCATCAGATGTGATCCTCGCCTCCGCGAGATCAGAGTTTGCGGCGATGACCCGGTAACCGAATGGGTGGAGAACAAGATTGTTGCCAAGATCGAGGAGATGTCGGCTCAGCACCATATCATCGAGGTGCAGAAGAGCTGGTTGAGGGCATTGTTGGGCGGCGGTTTGCGGGATATACAGAGGGATCTTGGGGAGGAAACGGTTGTCTTCGACATCGTGACTCGGACCATTACTGTCAAGGGAGATGACCAGGCTGTCGCGGCCGTCCGTCGTGCCATCGACCGTCTGTTGGCCAAACAAAGTGCGACGTCCCCAGAGGTGAACGGTGACGAGGAAGACGTCTGCCCCGTGTGCTTATGCGAAGCCGATGATCCAACCAGTCTGCCCTGCGGTCACGTCTACGACACCGATTGTCTTCGCCGCCTTCTCCAAGCCGGAACCGACACCACGTCCTTTGACTCCTTATTATGCGTCAAGGAGAAAGAAACCGGTCAGACATGCGGGACACCAATCCCGCTCTCCGTCATCCGCGATCTCCTCTCGCCAGACGAAGAATCACGTCTATTCGATAATTCCTTCCGTTCCTACGTCAACGCCCGTCCCCACGACTTCCACTACTGTCCCAGCGTCGACTGTCCGACCATCTACCGTCCAGGCCGAGCAGGAACTGTCCTCCTCTGTCCCTCCTGTCTCGAACGCGTCTGTCCGAACTGTCATGCAGAGTATCACGACGGCTTAACGTGCGAAGAGTTCAAGAGCGGAATCTCCGAAAACACGAAGATGTTTCTGGAGTGGAAGGTGCACAATGGGGTGAAGACGTGTCCAGGATGCAGCGCTGATATCCAGAAGAATGGGGGCTGCAATCATATTCGGTGTGCGATGTGCAAGATACACATTTGTTGGGTGTGTTTGAAGACGTTTAGGGATGATGCGAGCGATGGTGGGGTTTATCGACATATGCGGGCGGCACATGGAGGATATGGAGGGTAGGGACTGTGACCCATTGTACTGTACAACTGTCGATTCGAGCACAGAGTAGCGTGATAACAGAGAACGAACACATGCATATTGCAAGCGAAGGGTGATGAGATCGATGATACAACAGGTGTATGAGCCTCCTACAATACAACACGCGTGTCCCAACTCCAATTCTGAGACCGCCACCGCCACCCGACAAGACATCTATCCAGTCCTGTTCTTGCTTCTCTTCCCGACCTGGGCTTGGAAACCAGACTTGATTGCGTTGACGGACCGTCTTGAGCCACAAGACTCGCAGGCCATGAAGAAGATACGGTTCTCCTTGGTGAGGAGTGTATCGGGGGATTTGCAAGTCTTGCAAGTGACGTACTCGACTGGTGAAACCGAGTATTAGTATTATTGGACTGATCAACGACAGAAGTGATGGAAATGAACAACATACCGATGTATCGCCTCAAGACGTTCTCGATCTGCTTTTGCTGGAAACGACCCCTGATAACCAACCGCCCGCTACCGTCCACACTTCCAGTCGTACCCAACTCAGCGAACAGGTACTGAATAACATGCTCCGGCTGCCTATGCATCCTCTTGCAGATATCACCGATGTTGGCGAAGATACTCTTCTTGTTTCCCTCCCTATGAATGCTCGGCGGGGCGATCGTGTACCTCTTGCCAGATGAAGTGAGGAGAGCGGGGTTGGAAGCATGGAGGGAGGCGTAGAAGCGGGAGAGGAGTTCGGTATAGTAGTAGTCGCGATCGGAGGTAAGCCATGGCTCGGTTCCGGCGTCGACACCTGTGGGGGCCTCGCCACCACGATCGAAGATATCCTCCCCAAGCTCAGCCTCATCGACATCTTCGAGGTCTTTACCGTTAGGGATATCCTCGCCATCCTCATCTGCATCTCCGTTGGCGCCATCGGTAGCCTTCGACTGATTGAGCTCCTTTTCGAAAGCCTCGAGATCGAAGGTAGTCTTCTTCTTCGGGTTTTTCTTCTTCTTCTTGAGATCAGAGAAGTCGAGGTCTTCGATGATGGCGCCGTCCACAGGTGCGGTTTTCGTGGTGGGGGTAGATGTGCCAGAGGCATCCTCGCCCTAAACAACACATGCAAGTCAGTGATATGTCTTTCCAAGTAGCATGCTATAAACAAAAGATATGAGATGTGAAGAATAGACATACGAGGTCAAGAGGGATATCCTTCTTCTTTTTCTTCTTCTTGAGATCACCAAACATTGCCTTGAACTCATCCTCCTCCTTGGCCGTATCCTTCTCCTTCTTAGACTTTTGTGCCTCAGCGTCCTCGTCTGCACCAGCACCAATACCATTCTCTTTCATCTGCTCATGTACAGTCTTCGGTCCAAGGTCGACAGTAGAGTCATCGATGGCTGGCGCAGGGGTAGTGGGGTCGGCGTCTGCACCTAGAGGGTCTTCGGAGAAAGCAACAGTCTTCTTCTTACTGCGCTTCTTAAGCGAGGGATCAAACAGCGGTTCTTCTGAAGCCATGATGAGACGATGTATAAGGAAAGCTCGTCGACGTAGGGAACAGCGAGCGCGTAGATGTGGTCGATGTCGATGAGTGCAAGTGGCGAAGGGCTTGACTCGGGCAAGCAATGAGTCCAAATTACATAATTTACTCGCGGGCGGAGTCCGAAAGTGCCGCCACCGTGTTCCGACGTCTCCGAACGCTGTCGACGGCGACATACACGCTCTCTGTTTACCCTCCTTCCCCTTTCCTCTCCACCGTCGCCATGCTTGCCAGGCGCTCCGTCGCACGTCTTGCTGCCCAGCAGCCCACCTTGGGTGTTGCACCATCTGGTGCGCGCAACATGGCTACTCTCCGTGAGCTCGAGCTGCGCTTGAAGTCCGTGCGGAACATTGAGAAAATCACCAAGGTATGTATTTGAGGCATGTTCATGTTCGCGTATTCGAAGTGCGGGAATTTATGGACGAACTGTGATTTATTTTGACCTTTTTGCCCGCTACCAGTCCATGAAGATGATTGCGTCCACGAAATTGGCCAAGGCCCAGCGCGCCATGCAGAACGGCAAGGAGTACGGCCGTGCCAACAACGGTCCGTTTCTCCTCACATCAGTGCACAAAACGCAACCTAATAATAAATACATTATATCCACACAACTCTATCAGAGGTCTTCGCTAACTCTACCTCCGAGGAAGTCTCGAAGCGCAAGCTCTTCATCGTCATCTCCTCCGACAAAGGTCTGTGCGGTGGTATCCACTCCTCCGTCTCAAAATCCACCCGTCGCATCATCGCCGCTGGTGAGGCCGGTGCCTCCACCGACTCTCCCATCATGGTCATCGGCGACAAGTCCAAGGCTCAGCTCTCCCGTGCCCTCGGCAACAACCTCGCGCTCACCTTCAACCAAATCGGCCGTGATATTCCTACGTTCGCCGATGCCGCTGGTGTTGCGGACCTTATCATCAAGTCCGGCGTGGAGTACGACTCTGTTGCTATTGTCTACAACAAGTTCGTTTCTGCCATCTCGTACGAGCCCGCTATCATGGAGGTTTTGAACGAGGAGCAGTTGAAGGAGTCCCGTACGTTTCTTTCATCTCTCGCGTCTTATTCTGCCGGACCTTCTCGGGCGGGTTTTTGGCTGATTGGAGCTTGTGTACATAGCTGGCTTCAAGGCGTACGAGATGGAGGATGATGTCACCAAGGACCTCGCTGAGTTCTCGCTCGCCAACGCTCTCTACGCTGCTCTCACCGAGGGCCACGCGTGCGAGCAGAGTGCCCGGTACGATCTCTACCTAGAACTCCCGTTCTGTACTTCTTGCTAAGACATAGTTTTTGTTACGCCAGCCGTAACGCCATGGACAACGCCTCCAAGAACGCCTCCGACATGATCTCCTCCCTCCAGATGAAGTACAACCGTGGTCGTCAAGCCGCCATTACCAACGAGCTGGTCGACATTATCACTGGTTCGTCATTATCTTTCTCATGTAGACATTCAATTTTTCTGATTCTCGTCGTTTTCAGGTGCCAGTGCTTTGTAAACCGCTTGTTCGCTTGCTATGGGAATATAGATCTCGGACGGAGTGTTCTCGATGTTAGTTGCTGTGAGATCGCGTCGTGAACAGGAGCTCCCTTCATACTTATCTGTATCTCTGATGGAGGAATTGACTTGAACACTATATCCTCATCGTGACTGGAAGGTGCTCTCCGCAAGACCTTTAGCGAAAGTCACAATGTCTGATGTATGAGAAACGCGTGCCACAGGACATGTCGATACTCCAGTGCTCCGAGGTCAAATTGTAGACGTAAGTTCGTATTACAGAAGGGCAAGCCGTCTACGTTCAAAATCCAACATCCAACGTTCAGAGCCACAATTTTCCATCATAATTGCACATTACGGTCTCGGGGTGTTCGTATCCGTCATCTCAATCAGTTGTTAACGTTAGACGTTTGCGCCTTCGACACTCCGGTATGAAAGTGCGCAATTTTGATGGAAAAGGGTTGTGAGACCTTACCCGGATTGAATGGCGAAATGGTCAGGTGGGATAGGATGTCGAGGACGTCCTTAGTATGGGGCCAAAGCCTTCTTAATTCATTGACGCGGGCCAGTTGGAAGCCGAAAGGCTAAGTCAACGGAGAGCGTATGGTTGGTGGATTAACGTTTAACGCCCAGTCAACAATGACAGGTCGCATCGTGTCCCGATTCCTGCATGAACGAAACAGGATACGAACAGGACAGGAAGTTGCTTGATCATATCTGTCGAATCCTGAGAGCGTTGACGGAGCTTGTATGCCTGATGGACGACTGATGTATCTCTGCCGGGTCTTCGAAGTGTAGTGCGCTGCTGAGCTGAGGGCGCTTGAGATATCTTTGCACGATGGTGATGGTCCACGGAACCTCAAGAGCTGCGTCCCAAGTAGCTTGGAATGAGAATCGACCGGAGTATATTATACGGCCAAAGAGAAGGCGCTGTAGCCCGGTATACTAAATCTCATATAAGGGTGTAACAAGCGGGGTACCATCGTCCATATAAGTATGATACCGTGACATTGTCCTAGGGTGCAACACAACTATCCAGAATTGATGCAGAACACACATGCAGAACACACCATCAATACCGTTTCCAGAGGAGAAAAGGACAGACTCACTGAGAAAGACGCGTATAAGAACAACGATAGTTTGTGCCCGAGCCTCCCTGAGCTCGTTAGCTGTGCGGCGGTCATCCAGCCTGTGCCATAGACTTCGACTCTGTAGGTTGTGAGTCCACTGTTGGTGCAGGTCTCCTCTCGTCTCCTCCTTCGTCAAAGCTATCTTCGCGAGCAAAACTCTTGTCAAAACATCCACAAGGGCCACAGGTACCGCACTTTGATCCGAATGGGACTGGACAGCGTATCAGCAAGTTTGGAAAGAGGATGTGCAGTGAGTCCTAGTGAACACGACGTACCCATGTTGCAGAATGGTTGCCAGATGCTGATGCAAAATACAGCTGCACAACGAGAATATTAAGGTGGCGGGTTAGTCTCCGCAGTGATTATCCATATGTGTGCGGTGAGGGTGGTCTACATACCGCAACAACCTCCTACGTCCGCGCCTGCTTCAGCCATGTCGTCTGAGCTTGTAGTAGGCTTTAGTAATGTAGAGAGTGGGTAAGACTAGCGATTCTAAGCCTCCAAGAATATAGTGTAAAGGATATCTTAACCGCCGTGATAGATGGGTGTGCAGGTCCAAGCTGTGGCAAGCATTGCTTTAGCAGCGGGAGAGAACTGAACAGACTTCGCACGATGTCATTCCAAGTCAAAACCAGCGGACCACCTTCCTACTTGGGCGTAAGTAATGCCGACAACCTCGGCGCGGCCCGATCCCACGTGGTGGCGTTAACGACGCCATTCCTCCGCGCCAACCGTCGAGGTGGCAGTTCTTCACAGCAGCAAAACCGAGATGTCGAAGGACCCATACAAAATAGACGAACAACCAGCGAAAACAAATAAATGACCGAGCAACTCATCGTACAGTCCGAAGGAGATGCAGCAACGGTCCCCTTTCCATCCAAATCCGCGGACTTGTCGCCCAACTCGAGCGAAACCCGATCCTCGACCACTGCAACGGACGATGTTTCAGAATCTGCTATCCCGGATTACGGAAACTAGAAAGAATGCCACTCACCCGTATGCCCATCTACAGATTCATACAACACCAAACACAAATCCCGAACCGAAGGAATGAAGAAAACCATCACCACCACCACCACCACCACCACTCAGCTTCTCGACCCGCTTCCAAATCCACTGTCCGTGTTCGCTGACGCAGTCATCTTGCTCGACGCTGTAGGCTGTTGCGCCGTAGGCTTCACATTCCCTGGTGTATTCGAGGGTTGTTTTTGTGTGGGTTGTGCCGTATCGCCAGTACCGTCGAAACCGCAGATCCCACAGAACGATCTCAGGCAGAGCGAGCAGACGGAGCCTAAAGCTGGATCAGCACTCCCGCTCATCCCAGCAATCGTTAACGCCTTCAAAGCCACTCACCGCATGTTGATGGTTCATTGGCAGGCATCTCGCGTATATAACAGAGCGTCGGTCTAGTCGAGCAGGTGGGCACCGGGGGGAGTCGTTGGCGACGAAGGTAGTGGTCTTGGTCGGCGTGGTCGTGATGATTGTCGCTTGCAGGGTAGATGCAGCGCGCCCAAGAGAACCATGGTCAAAAGACTTGCCACCGTGTATGGATACGTACCGCCGGTATCCCGCGAGATCTCGATATCAAAAGGTATAATTCTCTCGGCAGGTATAGGGTGACGCTGGCTAAGGTTCAAATGTTGCACGAGCAGAGAAGGAGGCAGAAAACCCCGCCTTTCCCTTAGGCTCTGGAGACGCTGGGCCTGAGACCGGAATGCTATAGCTGTAACCTAGGCCTGTGACGAAGGTCGCACTGGTGGGGAATCTAGGCGGCCGTCCTCCGTGTAAGCTCTCTGTAAGGTCGCTCCATGCTCAAGATCTTCTTTTGATGGCAATTTACATATTTCTGGAATTAGAAGCTCGAATGGGAAGAAGTGTGTGCGGATTTGGTAGGTGGGCAGCGAACTCAACCTCAAGGGCAGCCGTAAAGCCTGCAGGAATCCAACGTATGCCCACCGCCACACATTGAGAACCTTCTCAGCTGCAGAGACAGCCTGAGAGCAGGTCGTCGTGCATCGAGAGTTATACCGAGTAGCCCTGGTCCAGGGTTGAAGAAAGTCTTCTAAGCAATTGCAAACGCCGGTAGAGCGAACAAGATAAAGAACGATCTCCCCGAATGGAACGGAAAAGAAGGGCCAGACAGTTTCGATTTTCAGTAGCGGACTCGAGGTGGCCCGAAGGAAATTGAGGGAGCGAAATTGAGGAAGAACAGGGAAGAACCTTGCTGTGTCTGCCGGATGAACGTGATATATCGCTTACTGATGTGCACCGACGCTCATGAAGATATGCAGAGCCAATCATGACGGAACTCAGAACCTTGCAGCTTGTGGGATGTCGTAAACATGGTCAGCATATAGTCACCGCGTGCAGCATGAAGAAGTATTCGAGTTCTGTCTTTCCCGGGCAAGCCGCGTTTCGAAAGCTCAGATCTCAGGAGTTGGAAACGGTGAGGAACAAAATCGGAGTCGATGAAGCCGGGGAGGCTTGGCGAGACTGGATGAACACTGGATAACGTTCAAGTCTGCTCGCGTTCGCGTTCGCGTTCGTTCGGGAGCAGAAATCGATGGGTATCGAGCGCGCTGGAAGGTTCACGGCTCACGACATGAGAGAATCAATAGAACAACAAGGGTGCCCCAGATGCATGAAGGAGCACTACTTATGGGTGCAGGGTAAGTTTGCAAGGAGAACAAACTCGAAGGGTCGGAGTTTGAGACTCTGCCGCGTGATGATCGCGCTTGGACCCTTCACTGTAAAGTTCGCATCTCAACTATGAAAGGGAAGATGAACCGAGTAGATGACGAGGATAACCCGACGCGATAAAGTCGCCAAATACATAGTCAAGCCTGGTTTGAGAGCTTGAGACCATGATGACCTAAGGATGTGAGAGAAGGTTGAGAGAGTTTGACCTGAACGATGAGAAGGACATCGGGTCCATGGAGAGAGACGATAAATGTTAGCAGGCTCAACGAAAGTACCGAGGCCAAGGTGTATTAGTGCGCACCAAGCAGACGAAGACAATGAAGGCAACGAAACGGCCATCGATGTACAATGGAGATGCCCATATCAAATGATACATCATGCCACATAGGCTATACACGTCTCCGTCAAGATGTTAGAGAGGTAACCCCCTTCAGAGATTTGGTATAGTTTGTTATGCTCCATGCCGTGCAGCGTGATGGCCGCGACGGCAGGCCGATGGGGTATAGATGGAAACAGAACGAGACGGAAAAAGCAGTGTGTCCCAGACAGCTCGCGTTGTGCCACCGCAAAATGACCTCCTAGATTGTCACCACTTGAGCCCCAAATCAGTTATTTAACGCTGTCATTGTGCATGGAATAGACCGTAGACGCACACCTCTCCGCATCACTTCTCTACCACCGACGTAGGCCCATTCACCGGGCCATTGCCATTAACATTTCCGTCACCATTCCCGTGAGTTTCTGGAGAAGGTCTTTCACGCCCTGGGTATTGTCCTGGTTCTTTGTTTTGCGAACGGCGATTCGAAGGATCGTAAGGGTTGGAGGAGCCGCGACCAGTCGCGGGTGCACCAGGATCTTGAGATGGGTTTTGCATTTCTGCTTCGTAGCCTAAGTCGACGTCATCTTCTTCGCGCCGCTTGCTTTTACAACAGAAGCATATAGCTATGAATAGAACCATGCATGGGCGTTAGAGGAAGGGAAATGAAGGATTAATGAAGGAAGAAGAGGGGAAATGAAGTGCGTACTGGGTCCAACTCCATTTGGCGAGGCGCAGGTGAAGATAAAGCCTAGGGGTATATAAGACGGTGCGGTCGGTCAAGATTGCAAGAATAAAGGGGACATTTTAGGAGGACGGACAGCATGAAGAGCAGAGGCAAAAGATGCATTCACAAACGTCTCCCATGCTATACTCGAGTTCCTCAAGAATGCTCTGGGTGGATGATGACTGGCGGGGGCAGATGGGCTAGTCCTTCACGGTGCTGAAAGGTTCGCAGGCAAACGAGTGTGAGGTGGAAAGAACAACAAAAATTGTCAGTCAACCAAGATGCGCCGTCTCTTTTATAAACCGCGCGTTCACGTTCCAAGAGTAGATTCTGATGGTCGTGATGAAGACGGGTAGGAAGGCAGTGTGCGAACAGTCTCAACTGTGAGGCAGGGGTTTGAGCACGATGGACAGATGGAAAGCAGGCCTGATATGAGGAGAGGAATGCCCTTATTATGAAACGCGCTGTACAGCCTCGCTTATGAACTGTGCGTAGTGGATACGAGTGAACAGTCTTGGCAACGATAGCCTCCTCAGAGTTATTTTCTAGCACCCGGCGGAAGGAGCTCCTCTGCACTGTACATATGGACGGTAATGGAGCACCTACTTGAGTTGTCAGAAGAAACTTCTGCGCAGTGAAGTCCTTTGATGCTCGCCCTTTCGAAAAGAATTCTGAACGAGGCACAGATACAACTTACTCGTACAGCCGTCACATACCCATCATAGATGCTGTCACGAGTCTGGACAAGGTCAGAAAATCGATGCTCGACTCATACAATCATCGAACCTGTTGGTGGCCATCCCTGGGATACAAGCGAGGAGAAAGACAAGAGAGGCCGCTCGATATGAAGAAATCCACTGAGTAGTCTTGCCTCGGAGAACCGCGTGTCGGAGAAGAAATTCTGTGTAGGAAACGCCACAATGGCAGGTAAGACACCGATGAGCTTGATCTCGAAACGCTGGTCGCCTTCCAGTAGGGAAGAGAGTAGGTAGAATACCTAGCACTTCAATTCTTGATGTCATATCTGCTCAACATCTCGTCGATGTTTCCCTCGCCGCCACCGAACGTCATCAATCCAGCCCAGCCATCTTTGCTGATCTGCTTTGATTCGGGGATAAGTGACCAGTTTGGTGATGGGGTCGTAGTGATGATATGCGAAAAGTCGAGGACGTTCACATGATTACTTCGAGACTACAGGAGGGAGACTGCGATTAACGACCAAAACTAAATGAATCAAGGCAGTCTCTCACCACCTCTTCCAAAGACAATGACGGATCGATGAAGGAAGGATACTCAGAAAACAAAATCTGTGAGCAATGTTCTATGATGGGACTTGAGGGTATGTTCAGGTATACAGCGACATCCTTGGAAGTATGCATTCGAAACTAGTTCATCAATATTGTCAGCTCCCTACGAAAACGCTGAATGTCGAATCTACTCGCCTGGTGACACGAAGATACAATAATACACCCCTCGAGATCATGGAGCAGTACACTACCCGATATATTTGGCAACAACACAATTGTTGAACGAAGGTTCCAAATATGCAAGGCCGTCAAGGCATGCGACCAGGGCTGTTCCGAATCTAACTGATACTGAGCGGTTGACGAGCACAGATTGACGATGCAATGGTCCAGATCCGATATGGTTAAGTCCGACTGTGGCTGGCCTGGTGTTGGGGGTGGAAGAGATGCGGAGGTGAGGTACCGATGAGCATGCTTTTGAAGAGTGTAAAACGTCGAGGCTGGCTCTGTGGCCGGTACACGTGGCGCAGGTGTGCCCGATTTTATTGTATTGCCTACAACAGAGGAAGAAGATTTGTTCGTCTTGCGTTGAAAGGAAAATTTTGGTTTGGCTGTAGCAGAAGACCGGATGCTTTCAAGATGAGTCTCTAGAGCCGTCATTTGCTAATTATGTGTCACAGATTTCAGTGCGGGCAGATGATAATCTAAATACGCTGAGACCTACGGCCTCGCATTGTCTTTGATCGTAGGCCGGAAGAAGGTCAGTACCATCGACTAGTCTCTTCCGTAGTTGAGCGATCTCTTGAGAGACTGGTTGCAGCGCATCAGCCGTAGGCTTCGACTTGAGCAGACCGTCGAGTTGCTCAGTGATTTCTGTGTATATGAAGGTCCACGCGGCCATTTTAGTAGGATATCAGTCTCGGAAAGAAAAATAGCAAAGACGAACTAAAGCGGGAGGACTGGAATGATGTGTAAAATTCTTGGGCCAGGGCCTTTGTGCTTGAGTTGGGGTCTGAGTCCATGATGTGATTCAAACTTTGAGCGGGACAATTGACGGGAGCAAAGAATCTCTGTTCGTTCAGCGAGACTAGTCAGTTCCTCTTCTCTGAGGTGCGAAGATCCACATACTTGCAAAGTGGGACTGTAAATGAGGTCAAGGAACCGGAGCCAGCCGAACTAGAATAGACCCATCGGTTAATCCCGACGTCGAAGATGAAGGCGGTGGCCCGGTGGAAGATGCGATACGGGTTTTGAGCAACCAAAAATATAGAATTCCAAGACATTTTTGTACAACAACATAGGGGAGAGGAAAGAGAAGCATGTATTCGGAAAACAGGGAGGGGAGAAGAAATCACGGGAAAAAGTCGATAAGCATACTACAAAAAGAGAGGTATCGTAAAGCATCGTCAATCATCACTTCGTAAATCAACCGAAGATCCTCATCAGTCGTCGTCATTCGTCAGATCAGACACTGGTTTACATACAAACAGCTTGGCATTACAGAGACAAGAAAATCAGGAATAGAAAAAAGCCAAAAACAAAAAAGTACACAAAGCGTTCATCCTCGAACAGAGTTGTTAGGCGAACGAGGGCCAAATAGGCCTCTCGGGGCCTCAGGAGCAAGCAACGTCTGTGGGACAGTAGGTGGTGGTGTATACTCTATGTTGGGATCAGCTGGGAACACGCACAAAATAAATCAGTCAACACGAAGTCACTTAAACACGGGAGATGACATACGCTGCCATGTAGCCCAAGAGCCTCCAGCTTGGTGGTAGCGCGGGTCCATCGTCGGAACTGCCTCCGGAGGTGGGTTCGACTCGGCTCTGCGGCGTCTTCCACGGGAGGTTCTCGCAGTCACGTTACGCCAGGCCGTACGAGGGGGTTCCATGGGCATGGGAGGAGGTACCTCAGGAGGGGGTGCCGGTTCGGCTTGGGCTGCCAGAGGGCCGCCGGTGGGTTTCCTATGGTCATTGAAAGGTGGTCAGGTAAATAAATAAAAATCCTGAGGGATATAATCTCACCAATCGGGGTCGAACTCTCCACCGGGACCGTACTTGCTACGCATGCATAACAGCCACCCCATCTCACTGCAAAAGATGTCAGTTCCGAATTTTTATTTTACGAATGACGTGGACACTTACTGTTGAAGAGCTCGCTTTTCTTCACGAAGTTTCCCGACTTCACCTAGGAGCATACGCACCTCAGCAGCTAATGATTTACTGAATTCATCCAGATACTAATTCACCGAGATCAGCGATCAATTATAAGTTCGTATGAAGATGATCAGAACTCTTACTCCTTGCACGTTAAACGGCACTTGCTCGTGGGCGGTATCTCGGATGATCTGCACGAGCTCATCATATTGCTTTTTGTTCTCGGCGGTCCAAGCTAGGGTAAAGAGACCGTCAGATAATGGTCTAAAATTAACATAATGGATACTCACAATCAGTGAAAGTCTCAAACATCTCCCGCAGAGAATTGTTCTCCCGACGCAGGTCTTCGACGAGGTTTTCGATGTCTGGTCCACGAATTAGCACGTCTACGTGGCCATCAACGACAACGAATCTTACCAGACTTTGTAACAGCATTTGCTCTATCCTCTTCGCATGCCTCCTTGGCAGCACGCTGTACTGCCAACATCTCCGACATCATCTCCTTCAGGGCGTCCATATCTGCCTTCTTCTCCTCCCTCCTCGTCAACTTCTCGTTCCATCGCTCCTCGTTCAATTCCTTCTTCATCTGGCATTCGTCGCGCTGCTCCTGGACGAGATTGGTGATGTCACCGAGCTGCTGCCTCACCGCCTCGTCGCGCTCTATCGTCTCCGCCCTCTCCATCTCACGCCGTTCAGCTTCTTCCGTAATACGGAGCTGCTTTTCGTTGTCAAGCTCCCCTCGTACCCTAGCCAACTCCTCCTCTAGCTCCACAATGCGTCTGTCGCGTTCTTCATGCAGGCGTTGACGTTCTTCGGCCAGCTCTTCATCATGACGTCTGCGATCTTCCATGACGGCGTCAAACTGCCGCGCTGTTTCCTCCCGTTCACCCTTGACGATCTCGGCGATCTGGGTATCGCGTTGAACCGCTGCATCCCTAGCTGAAGAGCGGATGGTCTCGATGATAGACGCAGGACGCTCAGCTGAACCCAAGCCGTCTGCGCCCTCGCCGTGTTCTTCAAACTCTTCCTCTCCTGCTGGTACGGGGATGGGCTCCTCTGTAGGAATAGGAACGGGAGTCGGCGAGGGGGCAGGCAGAGTAGCAAGTCTACCCTCAAGGTCTCGCCATATTTCGTCCCTCCGCTCGCCAGCTTCCTGATCCCGTCTCGCCTCGTTCTCCTCGAAGATGCGGTCGCGCGATTCCTCGTTGTGGCGGAATGCATCTTCGCGAGCGTTCTCAGCCTCCTCAGTCGCTCGTGTAAGGTCCAACATCTGCCGCTCAACCTCGCCGAACCTCTCATGCCTCGCCCGCTCTGCATCATCGTAGGCAAGATCTCCCGGACCAGAAGGACCAGAGGGAAGAGGGTGTGCGCCAGTACGGTCCTCCTCGAATGTCCCTTCCTCGCTCAGCAAATGCTCCCCGTGGAAAGGTTCATCGTAGACAGCGCCAGGTGGAGGAGGGCGGGACGCACCCGCTTCGGACCGACTGGTGGGAATGAATGGCACGCCACTTGGTGTCTGCCGAATCTGTTGCTCTAAGTCTTCAAGCTCTGAAGGATGTGCACCTTCCTCATACTCCTCTTCAAGTCCCTCTTGAGGATGTTCATAGAGAGTGGCTAATTCAAGGGGTAGGAACTCAGATCCGGTGACAGAAATATGAATCAAGGAAGAGATACTTACAAGGTGCGCCTCTTTCGGGGCTACCCCTGACGTGGACGACTGTGGGAAGTGCCCCATGGGAGATGCTAGGGGCCCCTTCGCTCCGTACATGTGCGATAGTCGGCTCGCGATCAAGAGGTTCGACGCCTTCATCCTCCACTTCCTCCATATCCACGCCTGGCGGGGCTACATACGAGGCCGATCGGCGGGAACGGGGAGGGATAGCACCGGGATCGTAAGGCGTGTCTATTGGCGATCCACGACGACCTCCTGCTCGTTCTTCGCGATCTCGAGCACGGTACCAGAGAGGAGACTGCGACCGATCCCCATAATGTCTCCGGTAGTAATCGGAGGAAGCAGAACGACCATGAGCATGCCTGTCACGACGTCTGTACCACTCAGGTGAGTGAGACCGACTCCTGTAACGTTCGGTGTAAGACGGAGTTCGAGAGCGAGGACGACCACGGGGTTCCTCGTCGTATCCGAACCCGGGAATTTCCGTCGGGGCATGAGACGCTGCGTGCGATGGTCTATGTGAGAATGGCACTTCCACCACCTCCGATGATGGGACTCGGGATGGGACTTGAGTTGGAGCTCGAGTACTAGGTCTGCGAGATGGACCCTGTGGCCCGGGGTATTGCTGTCGATCCGCCCTATCACGCTCTCGATAATGTCTTGGTGACTGCGACCTTCCTGCGTAATGTTGCTGATAATAATCGGTAGAGGGAGAGCGATCAGGATATCGTTGTCGTGTACGATACCAGGTTGGAGAGTGAGACCACTCCCTGTAAGGTTGGCCATAGCGTGTAGGAGTCCGTCCTCGCGAGTCGACTCCCACCTCCGTCGGTGGTCTATGGCTTCGGCGGCTCGTGGTACGACTTGGCTGATGTTCGAAATCTGGGTGCTGTATCACTTCCTCCTCCCCACCGAAGTCTTCGACCATAGTAGGCACACGCGTCGGTCTTCCGCTAGGAACGATGGAATGCGTACGCGATCCGGGGTGTGGATAAACGTCACCGGATTCGTACACCGGAGAGCGAGATCGAGGCCGGGGACGATAGTGTCGATGATCTGCGCGGTCACGCTCGCGATAGTAAGTCGGTGAATGAGACCTACCCCGGTAATGTCGATAATGGTCAGAAGAAGGGGAACGACCTCCTCGGAGAAAGTCCCTCGCGCGATACCAGAGAGGTGAGCGAGAGCGGCTCCTATATTGTGTGCGGTAATACTCAGGTGAGCGCCAGCGTCCTCGACTGTACCGAGTGCCACGTCCGGGAGACCTCGACCCATATCCATACCTGTCATCATAGGGGGAGCGCGACCGAGAGCGCCCACGATCTCGATCCCGCCTGTAATAATACTCGGGTGAGTGCGACCGATCCCTGTAGTGATGGTCATAGTAATCCGGGGAGTAGCGGCGACGGGAGCCCCTTCCGTGACTTGGGGAATACGTCGGGGAGCGTGGAACGTGCACGACAGGCTCGCTAACAAGTACAGGAGACTCTCGTCCTGAGCGATGGGAAGACCTTCTACTTGGTACATAGCCTGTCATCATCGGAGGTGGCGGGAATACAGTAACAGGTTGGCCCGTCGGTGTTGGATACGGTTGCGACGCTGGATAACCCGGGTGTGTAGGGCTGTAAGGACGGCCATCATCTCTTACAACAATTGGTGGACTGTGATGACGGCTACGACTAGAACGCCGGGAAGATGGATGCATCTGGATGATTTGAGGAGTAGGTGAATGTACCGTAGGTGGACTGATAATGACGGGAATTTGCTGGCCGCCTCCGGGCTGCTGGAATCCAGGACCTAACGTTCCCGGTGGAGGAACAGGACCAATGATGATTGGTTGAGGCTGCGGCTGTATATCTGGATGTCTAGGTGAACCGACGCGAGGCGTCCCAGGACGCTGAGAGGGTATATATGTCTCAGGGGCATGGATGACCATAGGTGGCGAAGGTGCCGCAGGAGGCGGGACATATTCGTGTCGAGGGGAATGGCGATGTGCTGACGAGGTGGGCGACCTGGAGTAATCCGAGCGAGGTGTGTGTGTATGAAGTGGTCCGGTCCCTACTGGCGGAGGCGGGAATACGGTGATGTCTCCTGCTGCTCCGTGCGGCGGGATTGGAACAATAGAGGAAGATCTGGAGCTCCTGGAATCAGAGCGCGGCGAGTGCTGCATCCTTGGAGGAGGAGGAGATGGAACAAAAATCTCTTCCTCTCCGTATGGGCGAGAGGGACCGGGCTGTCCGGGCGCAGGGGGTTGATAGACTCCAGGAGGAGGGTGAGCAGCACTAAAATCAGGAGCGTAAGGCCTGTCGTCCCTCCCTGTACGAGGAGGAGAAGGAATGTAACCATCCTCTTGCGAAGGGGAGGAATATGACTCTGGAATGACGGGTGTTCCGACGCCAGGGCCAGGTGGTAACCAATACGGCGGACCACCACCCGAAGGTTGGATTGTGATGGGTGGTCCGCCTTGCATTCCAGGAGGCATCACCTGCCCTGGAGGGGGCATCCCGACTGGACCTGGCGGGGCCGTACCAACTCGTCCCATGTCTCCCGGAGGAGGAACAACCCACGGGCCAGCTTGTTGGCCTTGCTGAGCGGGAGGTCCTGGCGGCATACCGAAGATAGGCATAGGAGGAACAGGAACACCTAAAAGAACACATTAGTAGTCGATAGGACTGCGACCTTCCAAGCTAAGAACAGACCTTGTGGTCGTAGAGCATTCGCGAGCCTGTTGATATCGTCGCTCAAACGACTCACTCGAGCAGAGACACCGCGCATCTCGTCTTGACGGTCGTTGACGTCTCGATCGAGCCAATCATTCAAGTTCGTCATGTAACGCATTAACTCGCGTTGTTGGTCGAGCGAAGCAAGATGCATGTGGCGATTATCCTGCGAACAAATATGGTGAATTGCCGCATACACAGTAAACCATGGAAGTAAATACTTACCCGCAAGAGGGTCATCATATCATTGAAGATGGGAGGCAACTGAAGCACCGCCTAGAGGAGTCTCAATAAATTTATGCAACAATCACCATTTCGAATATATATGACATACTGGTCCTGGTTGTGCAGCAAATGGGGGTGGAACAGGAGGTGGTACGCCGCCCATATCCCCAAGTCCATGCGGTGGCGGAGGTGGTGGCGGAGGAGCACCATCCTGAGCCTAAACGACAAAAGAAAATCAGCAAAGGATTTCATTCCTTTCGAGAGACCGAAAAGAATTCGTGCTTACTGGAGGTCTGTCTGTGTACCATGGCCTTTGACTCACAGATGCAGGCGCAGATGGAGGACGGGGAGGTTGCTCCTATAAAAGAAGAAAAAATAGGTCAGTTCTATATTTTTCCACCGACGCAAGAGGATACAATAAAATAAAGAGAAGGAACAACGCTTACGCCCGGGGTTTCAACATTGA